CAATTCCCCGTCGCGAAATCTGCTGGCCCACGCGGTATCATTCTGGGAGCTATGTTCTGCTGCGCTATGGGTCTAGGACCAATGTTAGCGGCGAAGTCTCCGCCTCCGGACTCGTCTTCGGGTCGGGCATTCTTCCTCTTCTTACTAGAGAAAAGCGAAGGAAACGGGTGACTCATTGAACGTGAGTGCTGAGCGGGGCGGTTCGGCTTCGTGACGGGTATGTCGTCGTCGTCTGAACTCGAATCGACTTGTACTTGAATATTCCTCAACGGTTCAAACTCGGGACGTCTCGAATTACCTCTAGGGCGGCGAAATGGTTCGTTCGCTGACGGATCACGGGGCGGGAAGTCATGATGGCCAAAAGGCCGATTAGAGCGAGACATATTGCTTGCTTAGGTTGCTCAGGTATATAGCTCGCAATTGCGGAAATTGGGTGAACCCAACAGCAAGAACGGGGGAATTATCTCTGCATCTACCTAGCTTCTACCAAGATATACCTAGACAAGGTAAGTGACAAGGTAAGTAGAGTCTAACTCGAGAGAATCGTGGCAGGTGAGAAGCTTATAGACAGGTACCAGATCGTTTGACGGCGATGGTAATCTCTACCCGGGTAGATCTCAATAGGAACAAACACTGACGCAATACTTATTCTGTATGCCTATAGACAATAACAAGATCCGTCGGTGACAATATCTTGTGTGAAAGATTTAGAGGAGACATAGATCCTAGGGATCACTGCAAATAGCAGCAGTGTATCATGTGGTAGATCGTATCGTCTCGTGTGGGAAAGATTAGGAATTAGGAATTCTTCAACAAACTGAATTTGGCCCAAAGGTTCGTACCGTTTTGGAAATTGGAGGAGCTTATGAAACAGAATGAGCCAACCATAGCGCTTGCCGCTTCCCGAAAACCCCCTTGGAATTAGGCCTGACAGGTACCTAACGGTTCTAGCCTGTTAGCGCCCCGCTTGCCCCCCAAACCTGCCCAAACCTGCCCCAGTCTCCGCGAGCACCCCATACAAGATCCACCATCTTGCGTTGCACGACATAATGAGGTACCTTTCTGACGGTAGGTGCCACGCAGGAGTAATTCGTATCCTCATCCAAGTTTGAGCAGGGGTGAAGCATGGGCAATTCGATAGTTCTGACAAGTTGATTTCCCGCCGACGCAATCTAATCCAGGAAGTTAACCGTTTTAACTTGCCGCCATAACTCAATAGCCTTTTTCTACAACACATGCCAACCGCGTAATTACGATACGCTTGCACCTCCATTTTATGTTGTAATTAAAACTTTACTCGATCAGCCCCATCCGATTTTGCAGAAGACTCTAGGTTACACAAGTCTCCAGCATTGATTTAGTTGATAGGAAAAGTCAAGATGCCACATTTTGAAACATTACGTAGTTGTGAGCACCACTAACACTGGACGTTATCTTGTGTTTCCACCAATGACAACATATTGTAGAGAAATATTAGGAGAATGATTGGTTTAAGTTCGGGCTCAACCTTGCTATATTAAGTAAATACGAAATAGATCTCTTGAAATAAAACTCAGTTACAGAGTATTTCTGTAATTAACAACTAATACTTAGCCGATGATTGAAATATATTTTAAGAAAGGTCCTTGATCGTATAAGTCAATCAGATTTCTAATGTCTTGAAGAGAGTTATCTCGCGGTTAGTTCGTACTTTTATTCGCAGCAACTTCAGTTACCCAGTACTAGATATATTTTAAGCTTCGGTGTCGCGAAGCACATGAATTCAAGGAACCGATAAAGATAATATATTAAGAACCCCAAAGCGAGTAAACGTTTCGTTGTAGTAGCATTAGTTACTTGATATAAGTAGATGAACTGAAAGGCCTGGGTTGGGCCATTATATATTAAACAATACTACAATCATAGTGCTTCTAATGTCAGTGTATTGTATCTACATCAGTGATAGGGATATAGGGATCAAGAACAAGTAGGTATCATCTAGTGTATCGTACAACTTCTTCCCTTGTCACTTCTACATTCACCTCCAACATCATGTTCTTATATTTAAAGATTGCACTAATATGATATGTTTGATATATTTATTCCTTAGATATCTGCTACCTTGCTTGTTAGAAGAGAGAGTATGGTTAGTCTATACGCTGGCAATGGCGCCGGTCATGAAATCGTGTTTTACCCAGATCAAAGGGCGTCCGTCACAAAGGGCTTGCATAAATACGCAATTGAAAGTAATCGCATGGACTTTTACCAACTGCACTCCCATAGACAGACCCTTGGTTTCTTCAACTTGGCTAAATAACCCCTTAAGCTGCTCCTTACTCTATCCAACTAGACAACTATGGGCTTAACTGCCTATCTAAGTGAACAGACTTAATTGTCTCTTGGTGTACTAACCAGAGACAGCGCTTTTGCCACTTGAGTCTAACTAGGGAGATTGCTTGTGAAGTTCAACACAAAGAAATATATATTGAACAGTTATTGAGTCTTAACTTGCTAACCAAATTAGAGTGTACATATATTTAGTTAGTACCTAGAGGAATATCGTACTTATCACGAGGCAGAAACTAAAAGGTACCTAACCTATCATCTATTGCAGCATGCCACCTGCCTTGTCTACCTTGTACACTGTACACAAATAATAAGCAGGTAGGCAGGTACCTATCTAACTGCGGTACTGAGTCACAATGTTGTCGAGCAAACTGCTAGACGGCCAGCTGTAGACAGCATCGTGACTCCTGTATCAACTGTAAAAAACTCTTTACAGACGGCGTCCTCTACGTACCGAAGCTTCCTTAGTCACTCGAGTTAATATGTCAGCGGGCTTACAGTTGTTAGGTACCTTAGGTACCTAAGCTATGCCCTGGTTACGGCAACCGTTAAATCCGGCAATATCTTAAAATGCCGCCATCACCACCCTCGTCACCGCCCTCAGGCGACGATAAAAGTCGACGCACATCCGGGCACAGTCAAGAATTTTTTTTCCTTTCTTCTCATCACAAAAACAACTTAGGTAATAAACAAATCAACTTAACTACCTAACCAATAATCTTAATTTATTGTAACATCGAAGATACCAATAGCGATAGCTCGCTTAGAGACGATGATCTTGATGACAACAGATCTCGATAACGGTGACGCCAATGATCAGGCACATGTTGCATGAGCAGCAGCAACAATTACAATAAACTAACTAAAATAAAAGACTTATTCCGATAATTACAGTCTTAAAAAAGTAAGTTTACCATTACTATATTTCTCTATCTTCACAACTTATCGGCAACACTAAAATACTAATTGAACAATAGTCTTTAATCTACCTAACTTAAAGTCTTCTCTATACTCGAAGCGCATCGATCGCAATTGAGAAGGTATGTCTTGTCATCTCATTCCAGGTGGAATAACTATAAGTTACTAACTACCTATCATCAGTGACGATTGCTCATTGAACACTGAGGGCCCAGGACAACCCTCGTCACTCTTTAACACCCTCGTCCTGGCGAGTAGTCCAATCTGGACCAATGTGCACAGCGCAAATACAGTGCCAACCATTCGTCCATTCACAGGAGGACCATAAGTAACCTAACCCCAACCCCAACCCTCGCAATACCTTGCGAAACCTCGCGAAACAATAACAAACCCTAAACTTCTAACCTACCTTCCACAAGCAAATTACTATTCAGGTGGGCGCGCGGGTCCTAGCCTTGGTGGTAGCAATCCTCAGGTTCGCTTGTCCTCCAAAAGACCACCTTCCCCCTCCTCTACTCCTTACCCCTTGCATTTTATTTCTTACTCCCTACCCTTCAACCTTCTCATAAACCGCCAACCATCGCCGACAATGTTCAGGATGCGGTGTGCCTATTGCTCCTACGGGTTCAAGTCTACGGGCAGCAGTGGTTCTAGCCGAAGCACTAGCTCTTGAAGGGACAAGCTGTCGCGCGTTCAGTAGTAGTAAGTAATAACTACAGATTGTATATGAAGAGCAAGAAACTAATTTGAATAAACTTTTTTTTATTTTTTAGCAAAGTGAATGTTTCACTCCAGGATGGCATGGAGAATGCTACGAAGGACTTTTAGACCTACAACTCGTTTACCCTACACTATGAAACCTTTCAAATTATAAGAAATATTAATTTCTTCACCTATAATCCTCCCTCTATACACTTCTCTTCATACATAGGATGAATTGAATGTCTGTCTCGTCAGAACCTAACAATAAACACCAAAGTGAGTAAGAGCTCTTGCTAATACCTCCTCTTTTTATGTTCTGCCTATTGTCTTGTATCATAGTCTCAATCTTGATTATTCTCGATGATATCTCTGTAGAGGTTGAATGGAGACATATCATTATTTTTCGAGTCCATTGCTAACATTAAATAAGACATCGGAAACAATGGATTTGGGAAACGGCACGGTCGTAACGATCACATAGGCCATCATGATGGTGACTGTCTTTAATAACGCAAGTTGGGACTTGCTCAAGACTGTGGATTGGGCAGCCGTAAGTATCGAGACACATTCACTAAGCAATGCAATCTGATCTACTACTAACGTTAAGTAAGATGTCAAACCAAAGAATTGACCTAGGCAACGGTGTTACCGTAACCAAGACGAAGGTGGCCATGATGGTGGCCATTTTCAAAAACGCAAGCCAAGACCTGGTTAAAACCGTGGATTGGACCGCGGTGAGTCTCGAGACAGGCCATGCCTCTCGAAATTCCGCCCGAGACACGTTTACGACACACTGCAAGGCGTTAGAGTCCAATGGCAATATTAAACAGAATGTTTGATGAGCAGATGGACCTCGATCATGGCCGGGGTCTCACACAGCCACACGTAGTAAGTATATTATCTTCTTACCCGTCTTTCAATAGTGATAAGAGCCGGGGCTGATATTCTTCCTTCCTTAGCCCTTCACATACAAATCATACTCTCCTTCGCTCATCATCCAAATCACGGCATAATTGACTCAGAGCCACGCGGCCGTTACAGGTGGGCGGCTCTCTGCCAGAGGACATTAAGCAGGCCATGGATAGACTTTATAAATCGTCTACTCCCTACTCCTCGTCCTCACTCTCCTGAGTCAGCATAAACTATCTTAAAGGTGGAGGGATTCTATATAATACTGTTGTATCTTGTAAGTGTTTTATCTTCTTACCCTTCTCTCAATAAAGATGTGAATTAGGGCTAACATTTTTCTCTAGCTCCCGTGGTCCCGATGGCGTCAACGGCATGGCCCCTGTGGCTGCAGCGGCTGCAGTCATACTTACAGCTTGTCGCCGTTGTCGCCGCTGCTGCCCCTATCCAGGCACCACTACCTGGCAACTTGGCCCAGCATCAAACAAGCTATAGAGAACCAAGGTCATGCCTACCTATATATCGTCTACCCCTTACCCTGGCATCTAATATTTTCAACACGAATCGCCTTACGGGAAGGGCTATTCTAAGAAAATATCAAGAGGGCTATGAAGGGCTACAACGCATCTTGTAAGTACTTTATCTTCCTGCTTTTTCCTCGACAGTGATGAGGATAGGGACTAATGCCTTTCCCTACCTAGTAGTATGCTCGTCGCCTATCCTGCCTTGAAGAATAGCCGGAGAAGACTAGGGGAATAACTATAATTAACCTATTATCAACTCATGGCCACTTTCTCCTAAGGCACGAACTGCCTTAAGTGGAGGACTACAGCATCTTCCAGGCGTTGTCGGCTGGGTCATGGAGAACCCGTGATATACATATATCTCGTAAGTATTTCATATTTCTTACCTTTCTCTCAACACCTTGTAAAAGATAAAGGTTAATTTCTTTTTCATCTAGTTGCCTATAGGTACTTTCGTATTTGCTCTGAATAACTCACCCCAACACTCAACAACCTACTCCCTAAGTACACCTCCAAGTCTCTCTTACCTATAATAATTCAACCTTGAACAAACCGCTACCCAAATATGGCTCTGGGTCGCCGCCTCTAACACTACTCTAATTACCTCTACTTTATCACCTACAACAACCTTGCTAAAACTATGGTTCTATGCGACAGCCCGAAAGAGCCCTATTGTGTCATTGCAGCCAGACGGGCATTACAATAATAATCTATATTAACAACCTACCCAACACTCATAATATCGAGGTCGGGAGCCATGGCAATGGAAGCATCGCCCGGCCCGGAGGTCAGCAGATAATAATCGTTAGTACTTCGAAGCGGTATTCTACGGAGCAGGAAGCAATCGCCTTGTCTCCGGAATTGACCGAGCAAGACGACGCTATTACAGCACGTCCCTGCAACAAACAGCCGTGCTACAATCACACTCAAGGTCGACAACCTGATTCACCCAACGTCAATCATGGTGGCGACAACGACCCCGCCGAGGTGGGGAGCCGGCTAAGTAACAATTACTACTCCTTCGCAGCCGCAGCCGCAAGCCCGGTGGGGAAGTGATGTACCCTCAAATCAGAAGAGGGATGGTTGGCGGGCGACTCCGGAATCGGTATGACCAATGGTGCTTGGGGGCTGTTCCAGGCACTAGGCATGGAGCGCGAGGAACGCGATGAGCGTGAGGAACATGAGGAGCGCAAGGAACGAGCACAAGTCGTCCTAATTATGTTCCTGGCGAGAGAAGCTATGGATGAAAAGGGTATTATATTATATTTCAACGCTATTAGTCAAAACTCTAGAAAGATAGGAAGCCAGTGCCGCAACTATACTCTACTGAAGCCGTAGAGGGCCATGTCTAGGGGTCATTGGCGAAGAAGCCATCGTCGTCGCCCCCGACTCGACACGCATTCCTCTCCCGCACCGACTGCAATAGCTTAACTAGGTGGAGCAGGATTTAGCATTTTGGCACGCTCGTGGCACATAGCCCAGCAAAGCTGAGAACAACAGGGTCGAAATAAATAAACTCTAATAACATTGAATTCCATACTTACCTAGGTTACGTACTTCATAATGTGAACAATCTGACAATACTCGTGATCGTAGCCCTATGTACACAACCACCATCCCAACCCAAGCCCCAACCAACCGCCTCGGGAATCCCCTCGCCCATCGCCGCAGTCATCGGCGTCCTCACAATTCCCGGGTGCACAATATCAACCGCAACCCCGTCCCCCCTCATATCCACCGCGACATTCTTAAACACGCTGTTCGCAGCAGCTTTGCTCGCGCGGTGCGCGGTACGCGTACAGCTGTTGTCCACGATGCTGCCGACGCGGCTCGACATCACGGCCACCTTTGGACTGCCCGACTTTGAGCAGGCTGGGGAGGAGGGAGGGCTTGCGTAAGTAAGTAACAGGGGAGCAAAGGCGTTCACGCCGAATGTCTTGGGTCGGAGTGGCGAGCGACACCGTGGACAAGGGCGTGCTCGTCTGGGGGGCGCCATGACGCCCGCCATGTTCAGCAGTAAATCAATTGGTCGGTCGCCACAGGACGACGCGAGCGAGGTGATTGAGTCCGGGGACGTAACGTCTAGCTGTACTCTGTCGCACTGGTGTGATTGTTACGAGGCGGTTAGGTACCTATGTATAATAATATGAAAACCAAACATAATAGACAATACCTCTCGAATAAGGATCTAAGCGAATGCATGCATGCCCAATGCCAGAGCCGGCTCCCGTCACAACGACGGTCGGCATATTGTCTGTGGGAAGACTGGACCAGAGCGGAGACGGACGGTAGGATTGTTAATACCGTATGTGCATGAATGGTTACCCACGAAGGCATGCTGGCCAGCCATCAAGGTCGTGGGGTTCTCGATCCTTATATTGACGACGTGGACCACCTAGCTGACAAATGGCATTCCCTTTGCATACTAATGAACCACGCCGCTCGTGTTCCTCATCCCTATTTAGGAACACACATGGTTCCTTATTGGCTTATGTCAACCGCAAGGTGAAGCATCGTCTTATACAACCCTGGAGGCGCAGATCACAAAGGCAACGAATCGGAGATTTTGTTCATTCAGAATAAAATGTTATTTTAACTACAGTTTTACTAACTCGGCTGTCTAGCTAAGTAGTAGCATTGATCATGTAATAGATATACTTTTCCTTTCGCTTGTATCCTATCCAGCTTCCCAAATTAATCAAAAACAATAGCAGCCTTGATGGCAGACTTGTTTCGGATGCTCTCAAGAGCTTCGCCCCACTGCTCAAGCTTAAAAGTCTTGTTGACGATACCCTTAGTCTTAACCTTACCGCTATCTAAGTAGTCAACAGTGGACGGGAACATGTAGGTCTCGGAGAAGGAGCCGATGATGGTGATTTCTAGGTAATCCCGGTTAGCCTGATATTTGCATAGTAACAGCATCATCGTATAACTTACCATCACCGAAAATCTTGGCTGGGGACCAAGAGACGCGAGCGGCACTGGGGTAGACGCCGTAGCAGACAAGCTTGCCTCCTCGGCGGACGTAGTTGATGGCATCCTCGAGAACCTTGGAGCTACCGCTAGCTTCCACAACTATATCCCTATTAGCATCGTCGAGTACTTTTAGTATATACGGTTTGCCTACCAATGTCAAAGCCATATGGGTTGTCCTTCTTGATTTGTTCCCACTGGGGCGCAGGGTTTGATCTGGAGAGAGGAATATAGAAATCGGCAGCGTCGAGGCTCTTGGCTAATTCCATCTTGGAACCTTCGGGGGCTGCAATAGTTAATTGCGAAACACCATTCTGTCGTCTGCGAAAGAATATTAGCACATATTTATAAAGGGAATTAAGGTCTTCCTTTCGTACAGGAATTGAGCCATCATGAGACCGGTAGGACCAGCTCCAATCAACAAGGCATGCGATCCAGCCTTCGGGGCGATCTTCTCTAAACCGTGCATGGCGCAGGAGGCAGGTTCGATTAAGGTGGCATCGACATCGCTGAGGTTGTGGATTTTGAAGAGTTTACCTTGGGGGTAAGAGGTCTACATTTCGGGAGCATGCGAGTTAGCTAATAAAATACCACAAAACGAATAGGTAGGAAGTACTCACGTATTCGGCAAACCCGCCGTCCAATCCTATGACACCGTGAGCCTGGAAGTCCTCGCAGAGAAGTTCTTGGCCTCTTCGGCAGTAGAAGCTTTGGGGATAAATCAGCTACGTTAAGAGTTTAGAATATGATAGGATTTATCTTACCAGTGACCGCAGAGCTCCGAGTTATCCGCAGCAACACGGTCTCCGACCTTGAATTCCTTAACGCCGTCGGAAATTGCTAATCGTGACAATTAGTTGGTATTACGTCGCATTTTATCCTCTATATTTTCTTACCGACGACCTCGCCGACGGTCTCGTGGCCAGGGATTAGAGGGAACTTGGCAATGAATTCTCCCTCGTGGATGTGTAAATCAGTACCGCAAACACCGCATGCCTAGAGTAATTCCGTGTTATTATGGCTGCGAGGTTGTAGATGGCAAGCGAGGTTGACTTGCCTTGACCTTGATCAGGACGTCACCGGGTCGTAAGGTGGGTAGAGGAACCTCGACGATGCCCCATACTTCTGGCTTCTCATATCTACGAGGGTATAGCTGTCAGTAACTACGTACAAAGAGAATTGACTAAAGGAATCCTATAGAGGCTTCTAGAGGCGGCCCTCAATTGGCATAATACAACTATATGGAGGACAAGACTTGCCGGAGAGCCTTCATGGTCTTTGGAAGGGAGGCCATTTTGTTTGTTTTAGACTCAAAAGTCTATCGTGGGATGAGGGGTATTATAGATATGATATCTGTACAATAACTCCAATGGAATAGAGTCGTATAAGAAGAGACAAACACAGGAAGCTGTTTGTATATTGGGAGTGACGTAGATGGACGTAGATGGACGTAGATGGTCTTAGATGGTCGCAGTATGATTTGGTCAAGAAGGAAGTAAAGGGAAAACGAAGATGTTTGGGAATGCTGTCTTCTTATTACGTCCCGCGGGGGAGAGAAGAGGCGCAAGCCCCAACCCATTATTCACACTTTCTAATCGGATTGGTTCCAATGATGAGTTTGCCTGCAAAGCTATCCATGCCACCAAGAAACAAAGGATGGGAAAAGGAGGGGCAATAGATCAGACCTATGCTGCTACACCCCGCCATAACAACGGCATCCGTTCACCTCGCAGATAACCCTAGCTGATTGGGTTAGTTAGCCGGAAACAAATCCATTAGAGGTATAGTTCGATAGACCCAAGACTCGTAAACACTACCTATCTACGTCGAAGTTGGTCTTGCTAGTGTTGCGCGTGTAAGTGACTCCACTCGAGCAATATCTGCCTTGCAGAAGCTGACTAGCTTGGTAAGACAGCGCTGGTAGAATGACCTGATGAAAATGTTTGGCTAGAGAAGTGCCCCCAATGGAACCCAGACGTCATCTTGCGTGGTCTATGCAGTACCATTGCGCTCTCCGCGAAAAAAGGAAGCGTGGTCTGTCGGTATTCCACAGGTCTGGGTCGACATGAGTGTTCATATTCATATTCGACATACCAATTTGTAGGTAAATGGCATGAGCATCACCTGCAAATGTCATGGTCAATGCTGTATATGTATGTTATATGTTTTGATTCTGACTTTCACCGGATGGTTCGGTCAGACTTCTTGGAATTGGAGGCGGCCGGATGTGACCCCCGCGATCCGTGTAAGTATTTTTTGTAAGGGAGTATACATAGAGCGAGGTCCTTTAAGGTGAGATTAGGTACTCCTCATAATCAATTGGTACTTATTAAGAGAGGCCTATGAAGGCTGACTAGCCAACCGAGTGAGACCTGAGGCTGCAAGTTGCGAGGTTGGGTGTCAGGTAACACAGCGTTAAAGTTGAGCGCCGCTTCGACGTCATAAAAGCATGGCTACATCTGTCGGAGCTTTATAAATTTGCTCGGTGGCAGAGCTTCGGGATAAAATTCACAGTGGTCGTGTGCCAGTTAAGATTCTGTCGAAGCGGCACAGAACCAACTACGGTATAATGTGTACGGATCTTCTGCCCTTACTGTATGCGAGAGGGACCTGACGATGCTCGAACGAATATTAATGTACTCATAGATCCGTCCGATCGAAATCGATTTGAGAGATCTACATAGTATATAGTATGCGCAAGGTTTCACCTTTGAAGAACTTGACCAATCTGTAAAGGCTAATGATATACATACACAAGCCATGCCTATTGTGCTCAGGTTTTGTACAGCGATTGGTCGTCATTGGGATGAAAATGGGGACATTCTGGAGATGTTCTGGGGCTCGGCGCGCTATTATTGTCCAATTCGTTGTCTAAAGATGGAAGTATCGCGGGGCCTCACCGAATTTGAACAGGATAAGAATTACAAAAATTCCAATTCTATTACTAACGTAACCTAGACACTTAAGGAAACCGCCGTGAGGATCTAATCAGTAGCACCGGAGCCGGGCGGAAGTCTCCGATCTGCAAACCGAGGTGGATAAAGTATTAATACGGGTAACTTGCATATATACCTACCTTATAGTACCTTCCTCTCGATACCGTCTAAGTCATACCACTGGGTCACCACATGAGGTAGTTACAAGTATGTATACCTGATGCAAAATCTCCTTTTCTCTACGTCCAAAATTGATAGGAAACTGGCAATGGGAATACCTTGATAATAACTTATCACTCTTTTCCCTTCCGGAATTTAAATAAAACACATACTTCCTTAATAAGTTGTAGCCATTTGCATGCTAATCATAGGGCTCATAGGTCTTGGCTTGGCCATATTTCCTCGCACTCCATTAACCTTTCACCAATCCAAGCATCTTTAATTGGGAATTTTGGTCTCTTCACAGCAAAAAGCATGTCCATAATTCATTGATGGTTTCCGAGGATTTAGCCTCCTAATAACTCCCAACCGTGCATCCGAGGTTCCTCCCACGAGTTTCTATCACGTACAGAGAAGTGAGACTATGCAGTTGCTCCATTCCCTAGAGTACATGTCCATACCCGGCTACCATGTGCGTCGAAGGGATTTCCAAGAGTAGTAGTAGAAGCTTCTTACGAAGGGGGAGCGCCACGGCCACGACCGAATCCACCACGGCTGTAGATTAGAGTAAGTATAAGATCGTTAAAAGGGGGATAGTCTTGCCGGTAAGAACTTACAATTGAGGGTTGAATTCGCCAGGAGCACCACCGCTCTCCTTGCCCTCACCAGCATCCCGTCTTCGGTAGCCACCCTCGCGGTCGCCACGGTCGCCACGGTCACCACCACGGCCACGGCCGAATGGTCGGCGTTCACGCTCGCCCTCGCCCATCATTCCTCGGGGAGGAGCGTGCGATCGCTGCTGCTTGAGGTGTGTAGTGGGGACGATCTCGGCGGGGAGGTGAAGCCATTCTCGGAGGTAGTCGAGACCCTCGGGGGTAAGGGTGTAGTAGTAGTATTGCCAGGAGAATTGGGTCTTGACGTAGCCGCGGGAGTTGAGCGACTGAAGAGCCTTGACAACGAAGAGGTTCTTGGTGTCGATATCGGGATGCTTGGGAAGGTTGAAGTCCTTCTTCGCGACCAATACGCCCTCTCGGAAGAGGTACTACATGGCGAACAAAAAAAAAATGTTAGCTCGACAATTCTCGAATTTCCAAAGAAAATTTTTTAATTATTGAGTTGCTCGTCTAACCTCGTGGATCTTCTTGCGGTCAGCCTTCGGAATCAGCATCTTGGCGGTTGGTTACGGTGACAAGATGTTGAACTGGGTGGGTGGACGTGATTGATGTGAAGTCGACAGGCTGATGGATACTTTGCGATGGATTGAAGGTCCAGGGAATTTTTGGTTGTGCGCAAAAACCCTATGGTGGAGACGGAAGCGACACTACGAATTTGAGTGGGGTGTGGGAAACTGTCGCTTATGTAATGACCTGACAGCCCTGTTTCGTGCACATACCACCTAAGGTTGCTCAGTATCTTGTGGCTGAGGTAGATGGCCCATTTTAGATAAGGGACTTGGCACGGATGCGATAAGATCCACTCTAGCCATCTAGAATCATCAATCCATTCCCTTTCTACTTTTCAACATCTTTAAGAGCGACGCCTTAGACCATAAGGCGGATAACGCAGCGAGTCTTTTCATATCACCATACAAACCCTACAAAATGGCTCCCGGGAATATCAACGTCTTCGTAACAACCTTCTCGGGCTTAGGCCTACCTCCTACTCTATCTCTTCCTATCCCTTCAACCGCAACTCTTTCAGACCTTCACCATCGCATCGAGGACCGACTACCGCAAATCGATTCGCGACTTATTCTGACTACCATATCAAACAAACAAATCCTCTCTAATTCTAGAGATTTAGTCTCTACTCTCTGCGACTCCGATGATGCATTCTTATCTCTACGATTATCAATCCCGCTATGTGGTGGCAAAGGTGGTTTCGGCTCCCAGCTCCGAGCAGCCGGTGGCCGAATGTCTTCGAAAAAGAAGAGGAACCGCGGCGACGAAAACGCATCTAGCAGGAATCTAGATGGGCGCCGAATAAGAACAGTTAATGAGGCTAAGGCGTTGGCTGAATACCTAGCCATCAAACCTGAGATGGAGCAAAAGGAAAAGGAAAAGCGACGCGCGCGCTGGCAGCAGATCGTCGACGCCGCGGATGAGAGGGAGCACGAGATTAAGAACAGCACCAAGGGCCGCTTAGATGGCAAGTGGGTTGAGGACAAAGAAGAAGCTAGCGAGCGAACGCGCGAGGCAGTTCTCGCTGCTATAAAGGCAGGAAACTACAAAGACAATATGCTCGGCACATCGCACGGTTCTGCCTCCACGGAGGATATGGACGAAGACTCAAGCGAAGGAGAAGATTCTGAGGAGTCAAGCGGCTCTAAGGCTCCAACTCGGCCAACGAATACCAAGTCAAAGAATATCACGTCGAAGAAGCCCGTCACGAGAGCGTTCGCCGGATTTGACGAAGATGACGAGTTTATGAGTTCTTCAGATGAGGACGAGGAGAAGAAATAAGGAAACAAGAGCATGTTACTAATGATACCCCCAAAAAGACGAGATAATCAAGACCTACCCCCGGGTCAACTACCTAGGCCCCTATACTTCACCTTGATTCTTTACACCAGCCATCCTATTAATGCCAATCAGGTATGTGTATGTAGTTGAGTTTAAGGAGCGTGCTTTAGCCATTAATCGTCGTTATGTACCTGGGCTCGTATTTCATGTGCTTGTAACCTCATTTACATATAGGAGGTATGGAGGTTCGAAGCAGCACTACGATCATGAGAATGACAAGAGTATCGTGATTACACAGAAACCTGTGCCGATGCTTGGGATGCTAGCTTCGTCAAACTATCCCCACGAGATATCTAGCTTATAGACAAGACTTAATCAAAACACAACCAAATATACGCTACCCAAAGACTCAGTGTAGTGATTCCTCAGCTCTAAACACGAAGCCCTTGCGGAACATCCATGTCTTAATAAACATAACAAACACTAATCACACTTCTTCTACCTCACAAGCTTCTTCATACTCTCCACATCCACATTCCCCATCCCACAACTAAACTCCCTCCACTCCTCCAACTGCCCCCTCACCCTCTCCGTCTCCGCCGCAACCATCTCCCAACTATCCCTCCCCAGCGGCACCCGAATCGGAATCCCCCGCCCCGTCCCCACCACCGCATATATCCTCTCCGCCACCTCCTCCGTCCCCGCAAACCCAGCATGCAACTCCTCATTATCCATAAACGCCAGCATCTGGGACGTGCCCCCGCCCGCGCGGTCGTAGGCCTCATGCCGCGGCATCCGCTGCAGCGAGGTCGTCGTGTACTTGGTCCGCACGCCCCCAGGCTCCACGTTGCAGATGTGGATGTTCCACTCGGGGAAGACCTCCTTCGCGATGCTCTCCGCGAACCCCTCCAGCGCGAATTTGCTCGCGTGGTAGAAGGCGTTGCCCGCGCTGCCCAGATACCCCCCCAGGGAAGACATGTTCACGATGACGCCCCCGCGCTGGCCCGTCTGCGGGTTCACGTCCCGGAACGCTTGTAACGCGCGCTTGGATACGTCGACCGCGCCCCAGAAGTTCGTGTCGAGGAGGGCGCGGGCGCCGGCGTTGCCCGGGGGGGAGGATTCGGCGTCGCCCATGAGGTTGTACCCTGCGTTGTTGACGACGATGTCCACGCGTCCGAAGTGTGCGAGGGTGGTGTCGAAGGCGGCGTCGATGGATGGGACGGAGGTTACGTCTAGTGCTAGCTTTAGGACGTTAGGGCCGTCTGGGATATCGGAGAGTGAAGCCGGGTTGCGCGCCGTGGCTACTACGCGTTGCGAGGGCTTCTTGGTGGCGATGTATAGGGCGAGGCCTTGTCCTATGCCAGAGGAGCAGCCGGTGACTGGTAGTATAATATGTTAGCAAGTCTGGTCTTCTACTTGATATAAGTTGGATATTTCGACTTACTGAGCCAGACTGCATTGTCCGGTAAGTTATACGGTTTAGTATCGGGTATTTCCATCTTGACTACGCTGTAAAAAAAAAGACGTATATATAATAGCGAACAGGTCTACTGCGTCACGCTTCTCTTAACGACTTGCCTTAGAGCTTTATATCATCGAAAGCTCTATATTCCTCGGGCCCCAGCCCAGCCCCCTTTGACAATCTTGATTACAGCAACATATATATACATGTATGCCAGGTAGATCATCTCATCTAACAAGCCCAGCATAGTCACCAATCGACAAACAGAAAACTGCTTCATGTCCTATGTCTAGATACAACATCTACACTTTGCGAGACCCAATTTATGCAAGCCGGGTATGCTTAACCCCTTTCTATGCATAAACTCCGTCCTAGCTCCGCTATAACTCCTGCTTATCCCTGGATGGAGATATCCGCTTCACACATGCCGAATCATTTTTGGAGCTTAGCTATAGAACTGCTACCGAGTCGTGAGACTATTAGTAAGCTGCAATATGAATCCAAACGTGGGTAAATTATTAAACCAATTATCTCTTAGCGACCTTACTACGAGAATCACATAACATATCACGTACACATACAACTTGAGACTGAAAGATAAATAGCCTAGTAGGCATTCAGCAATACATTAAAACGATCCCTACTTTTTAGCTTTCGGCGGCCAACCCATCCATCTATGTAACAACTCTACATATACTCGTCAACAGGTCTGTTACTTCGTCAACATGATAACTGTTTCTCATCTATCCGTGAGTCCGTAACGTAGTCGGTGCCCCGGTTCATGCCCTAGGCCGTAACTTTGCTCATCTGGACCAACCGTTTAACTCCAACCTATGATTTTGTTAGCAAGAATGTCTGTAAAGATAAGGGGTTTTGACATACCATCCAGTTACCGCATTCCTCCGTCTTGTCTCGTTGAATCTCTACCTGCAAGCGCTGGGCCTCCGGATAATTCTTAGACTCCAATGCATGAGCTAGCTGGGTTAATTCCTCGATGGTGTCCGGTTTCACGAGTTCCTCATTGTTGAGATGATCAAATAGCAGACCTAACCGCTTTTGCGTATCTTTCACCTGAGGAGCAAACGAGGCCGGTGCCTTGGAAGCTACTCGTTGCATATCGCGACTCAGGATATCAACTAACTGTTGGGCATTAGGGGGGATGTGAGAGCGATCACCTGCAGGGTGTCGGGGCTTTGGCGGTGCCGCGGCTCGTGGTGGAGGGGGCGCAGGCGAAGTCGTTGCCGGTGGGGGACCACCGATGCTCGATGGAGGGCCGGTAGAAGGTAGCCCTTGCTGTACCGGTGAAGCACCATACGGGGATTGACCGTATTGATTATGAGAGGGCGCTGCCTGGGGAGGTGGCGCATAAGGGTTTGGCGGCGGCGCTCGACCAGCATGGGGCGGGGGAGCCTGCTGGGAAGGAGTACCGAACGATTGAGGCGCCGGTGCTGGGGCGTACCGGCTTGTAGGCGCAGCTCCTGTCGGTGGCGGGTTGTAAGGTGAAGACATTCTGGGGACAACGTGACCCATTGGGGGTGGAGGCATACCGGGGCCTCCCTGTGCCTGGGCAGGGGGAGGCGGGGCGTAATTTTGTGCCGCAGTTGATCCGGGTCGAGGAGGAGGCGGTAATTGACCAGCTTGGGGAGGGCCACCGAGGGGAGACATTATCCTCCCGGCCGCTGAACCTTTAGGAGGGGGAGGTGGTGGTGTCGCTGTTCCGTGCTGAGAACCGTAGGGACTCTGCGGTGGTGGAGGCATTGCCTGGTTTGCTTGGTTAGGGAATGGTGATGTGATAGCGGCAGTGCTCGGCGTGTTTCTTCGGGGAGGCGCCTTTGTCACTATGGGTACATCATTCCAGTTTCCTGCATCCGAAGCCCTTGGGGGAGGTTTTGTCGATGGGGTTGATGCTCTTGGGGGAGCCCCGAAAGATGTTGGTGGAGGACCATAGCCTTGATGCTGAGATAGTTGAACAGGTTGCGGCTGCGACGGCTGGTATCCTTGCGGGGCGTAGGGGTTACTAGCAATCGGCGGCGCATAGGGATTCGCTGCAGGAGTCTGGACAGCCGGGGGCGCGTAAGGATTAACAGGATTGATACCGGTAGCCGGTTGAGGTGGTTGATATCCTGCAGCTACGGATGGTGCTCGAGAAGACACGTGGGAGGTCGCCGCGGGCCTCTGAATAGGCTGTCTGACAGCAGACTGGGGAGCCACCTTTTTCGTTGCTAATTGCACACGCTCGCGTGCCATGTCGGCAGCATCGTACTTCGACGGTAGAAGGCTTAGGTATTTGTGTGCGATCTCTAATTGGCCGTGGGCTGCGACGATGTTTGCATACTCGATGTATTTGTCGTACAGCGAAGATAACTTCCAGCCTGAGGTTAGACCCGTCTCAGCGTCTTGGAATTTTGCTACGTGGCGGAAAACCGTGACCTTCTCGATGAATTGCTGGAGAGACCTTGCGTGGATAGAGAAGCTGGAATCGTTAGCCTCGGCCAATCCAGCCTTCTCGGCTTCCTCCAGCTCGGCAACCCAGATGTCGATGACCTTCTCGAGCTTGGAGCCAACTAGATAACAGAAGGAGGCATCCTTCCTGGATCCATATTCAAAGATACGGTCTCCCAAGGCTTCGCATAGATCAGGGAACTCGGTCGGGTCCGCATACGTGCAGAGCGTCACCATAGTCTCCTTCCAGTCTGCTAGATCGGCATTATAGACAACATCCCATAGATTCTTAACAATAACAGAACCCAAAAGCCGCAAGTAGCTTGGGATGCCTGTCTTTTGGGATAAATAAGTGGACTGGACCTTGTCGACGAGCTCCTTTCCGCCACAGTTGGCGATAATGAAGGCATCCGCAATGCGACCGTCCTTCAGGGAAATTTCACTTGCTTTCTCAAATTGACCCAACATCAAGGCCTTCGTAATCTGTTTCTCAACACCTGTATCACCCTCGCCAAATAGACGGAAAGGGTTATCTGTTTTAGCACCCTTTGTGGCCGACAGACTTGCTAGGAAGTCTTCACTTTCGCCTTCGCCTCCATCGGAGAAGAAAGTCGAAATACGTTTCTTATGGGTCTTTACTCCTAAGCCGGATTTCTCTGGCTCGGGTTCCTTGGTCTCGGAAGCTTCTTCGGTCACACCATTAGTTGATTCGTCGTTTGCTTCTTCCTCGCTAAATCCCAGATATTCGACAATTTGTTTTCGCGGATTTTCAGTGAGCAGAGTTTCCAAGACACGCCAGTCAGCTTTCTCTTCTTCTGTCTGGGCTTGCTCTATGTGCGATTCACATATAGCCGTAACATCACCAGATTTGAGCGACTCCTCAAACTTCTCAGTCGCGCTGCCAATGTCTGAATCCACAGAAAACTGAGAAATTTCAATTTTAGAAGAGCGCTTATGGCCAGGCTGATGAGGGTTCTGCTTGACGATGACGAGCTTTCCACCAAATCCAAACGAAACTCCAACGGGCCTCTCGAGCCACCTGGGAGCCTTTCCTAAGGAGAAGGCTGCGCCTTGAGGCTGTCTCTGGGCCTGAGTAAAAAAGTCTTCACCATCTAGGCTATTTTGAGTCGCGTTCTGTACAGCCGAAGGATTCGTGTTTTGGAGCGTCTGGATAGTAATCTTTCCATCGAAGGACGCGGTCGCCGAGATACTAGGGTTATGAGGGTGGAATCGGGTAAGGAACGTCCAGTTGGTGACTTCGGGAAACTCTCCGTAACGCTCGCCTGTCTGAGGGTTCCAAACTAACGTCCTATTATCCTTGCCAGACGAAATCAAAATATCGCCATCTTGCTCGCACCAAGACACCGAAAGAACACCTTGCTCGTGACCTTGGAGTGTCCTCTCTGGTGCATTGGAGTTTCGCAGATCCCATAGCAGGATGACTGGAGTAGTATCATCGGGAGTAGCGGTCAATAACTTGGTAGAGTTGTTTGGATCCCATGCAATAGAACTAACGGGCTTTCGGTTATTGTTAAGTGTTAACGAGGCCTTCTTCGTCTTTAAATCCCAAACAGTAACGAAACCACCAGTTCCTCCCGTAGCAAGAATATGGGCTACTTTTGTGTTCCATGCTACACACTCTAAGTCGTCGGAACGAGCCGCAGCAGTGCCCAAGCGGAAAGCATTTTCGGGGTCGTAGACGTCATAAATGAATAGCTCTCCCTTCGCGCCGGCGGTGGCTAGGATCTGGGGTCTCAGAGGGTTGAATTGTAACGACTTAACGGGCCCCGTATGCTTCGTCGTTCGTGATATTAACGCATCGGATTCGCCTGCGATGAGTTTCGCGGCATCCCAGAGATCGAGCGAACCGTTTTCGAGAGCACCGGCGATGATGCCCTGCGGGTAGTCTTCGGAAGGTTGGCCCCAAGCAATATCGTAGAACCTAGTAATCGATTTGTTAGCAAACCCCATAAGTTTATTAAGACTATTGGGAAGTTTATTCACCTAGAGTCGGCAGTGATGCTTGCAATAGGTTGAAGCTCAAGTCCTTGTTCTTGGTTGTCAAGGCTCAGATCCCACAACTCCAACTGCGTCTCGTCGGAGAAGTCGGCGTCAACAGCTCCAGCTCGGGTTCCAGTAACTATTAATGGCTTCGTAGTGCCGGGCGACCAGGCGAAGGCCGCAGTACGCGAGATCTCGCGCAACCTAACCATGTTGTCTTGTCTTGTAGTGACTACTCAGAGGGGTAGTCTGGCCTAAGGTTCAGGTCGGTCTTGTCGAAGAATGAAAGAAAAGGGGGATTCTAAGTGAGATTGGCTTAAATGCCAGTTGGCATTGAGCTCTCTAGGCCAGCTAGGAATGTTGGCAAGGGGTCGAATTATAGAAAGAGAGATTGGTTGACTAAGTTTCTCTATGTTTCCCTATACTAGAGAGCGGTAGAGACTTGCTAATTCATTATGTTGCCAGATAATGCAGTCCAACTGTCCCCAGAGGTGTGGGCGCATGAGCTCACAGGCCAAGCCGAATCAAGATCCTGGACTTAAATCTGTTCCCTTCCTTGGTTGTTGTGGAGACTTCCCTCCTAGAAGGACGCATCAGCCACATTTTAGTTCACGTGATATTTATAAATAACGGGCTTGATGACGAAGATGCCTGGCTCTTATGTAATACATACATACATGCAGATAATTAAATTAATCAAAGCTTCAATTCAACCCCATTGAAGGTTCCATTCAGGTTCAGGTCACATCTTGAATGTACAAAGTACATAAGTACTTAATTTCAGTGAGCCACACTCTCGGTTCAATAAGGCATCAGGTGCCTCTTATTTAATAAAACCTGAGCCTCACGCCAAAACTCACCTATTATATAAGACCAAATTCACTAAAAGTCTGCCTAGGTACCTAATATAACCAAACGGACGCTCAATATGACGGACGCGGCCCGTTGGAAAGCCACTGTATACGTCGGAGGTCTAGCATCTGTTGTCACCACCGTGAATCTTCACGATGCTTTCATACCGTTTGGCGAAATCGTGGATGTAACTCTACCCAAAAATGATGCGCCAAACTCTACCGAGCCGCATAGGGGGTTTGCCTACGTAGAGTATGAGGATGCCGAGGATGCCAAAGAAGCAATCGACAACATGGATCAATCAGAATTATTCGGCAGAGTCTTAAGAGTATCGGCAGCTAAGCCTCCAAAGAGCGCAGAAGAAGGACTAGGTAGTAAGACTGCGATTTGGGAACAGGTATGTTTATATTCTCAACTATATTGCACTATAGCAGGTTTACTAACAAGCAGAATAGGAAAGGTGGCTTGCTGAGAATGCCGTCAGCGAGGAAGATCGAACCGCAGCTACGGGAGCTAGAGCTAGCGAAGATGACAGGCCGGAGGACCCGATGCAAGGACTGGAGGGACTTGACGTTGCTGGACCAAAGCCGGAATGAGCCGGGACTAATAGTATCTACGTGAACTTTCTCGCATAGCGTTGGCGTTAGAAAAAGGATTCCAGGGCACAAAGGGAAGTCTTCAGAATAGGAGCTTGCGACTGAAGTCTATACCATGCTTAGTCTCTCATATTTGACATTTTTCACCCCCGTGGCTACGTGTAACATATACAGTGCTTTGCTTCTCCAAAAACCAGAATGCGCCCTTCCCCAGTGAGCCCATTTCGATTGACCATAGTTCAACCTTGCGCTCATGTCATGTAGACCTTGCTTAGTGTTCCTCGCCGTGCTCCGGGGAGTCCTCCTTACGGTTTTGGCGGCTGAGTCTGAGGTTCTTGTCCACGGTGAACTTGCGAAGGCTGGAATAGGTGGCAGCAAAGACGGCGAAGCCAACGACAACTCCTAGTTGTATAATTAGCACACATGATCCGTCCTATCCTCGTATATAATCCCGGGCCGTGTAGGTTAGACTAACCGAGAGGGATCAATTCTGCCGGAATTTGTCGCAACTTTCGGAGGCGCTGAGAGACGGTATGTGCTAGAATATGCGTTAATATCTATATCTTAATTGATTGCATTCCGACGTAAAGTTCTTCGAAGACAGAATGATAGGTTTGGGGCGTCAATGGTTCGCGACGGGCGAGAACGTACCGCTCTGTTCCTCTTTCTGGTATGGGCCATTAGCAAACGTCATAGGTTTATGCGAAAATAAAAAAGGGTAACTAAAAATTCATACGGGAATAGGAAACATCATGCGCCTAGTAGGCATCATTCTCAAAGCTCGTGTAGCATACATTTCGGCGAGTTGGGAGGAGATTGTTTTGTAACTATAAGGGAAAATGAGTGTAAATCACTGGAGGCCGTAACGGAAGCTAGGATGTGTCAAAGTCAAATGTCAATGGGTGGAATTGATCTTTCGTAGTTGATGGAAGGTTTTGGGGAGGAGTAGCTTCGGTAACTTGATAGGAGCCACAACCAGTAAAAAGAAAGAAAAGAATCATAGTGGGGTCCCTTTCCCCCAAGCATCCACTGTATCATGCACTGTATCATGCCACCAAAGCCTGAGGCAACTAAAATTAACGCTCCATGATTCGATTCGGCAAGAAACCGATGGTCCGAGAAGCTGCGATCTTCTTTAACATACATCACATCACCACTTTTCATTACGAGCCGTCGCCATTGAGTTTGCCAACCAACATCTTTTTCCTGCAAACAAAATCACTTCAACCGCCAACATGTCCGACGAAGAACGCGTAACAAAGCCCTTCAAGTTTGTCACTGGTAAGTCGACTCCCCTCGAATTCCCTCAGACCTTTGACATCCGTCCGTTGTGTCGAATTCTGACAGTAACTAACTAATTAACTTCCGATAGCCGGTAAGAACCCCATCTTCCCCAGATCCGCCGAAGACGATGCGACGATGCGACGATGAGACGATGAGACGATGAGACGATGAGACGATGCGACGCGATTGAGATATGGATTATTGCTTAACCCCTCCGATCTAACCCGCGCCCAGGTGTCGACGCTCGATTCCCCAACGTGAACCAGACCAAGCACTGCTGGCAAAACTACGTCGATTACCACAAGTGCATCAACGCCAAGGGCGAGGACTTTGCCCCGTGCCGTCAGGTAATGCGACCTTTATAATCCTGTCGTCTTACATATATGCTGATTAGCCAAGTTCTTCCTCGCATATCGATCTCTATGCCCGAGCGGATGGTACCAACGATGGGATGAGCAGCGAGGTCAGTAACCTGTCGTCAAGCGTAAGGGACCAATGCTAACATAGCACAGAGGCTGGAAACTTCCCCGCCAAGTTGGATGCTTAAGTGCAACGCTATGGATTTTTATAAGCATCCGTCGAATCAGCAAAGTTGGACTTTTTCAATGTAGTATATTACCTACCTAAGACTTTAAGCCAGCCAACAACTAAAGATTCGCCCCAAGCCTCTCGTTTATTACGCCTATGTTTATATGACTACCTACCTAGTTAACACATTGCCAGTCTTGATTTTCACTATAGGCAGGAAAGCCAAGAGTATCATCTCAGGCATGACTCCTTTATGTATGATACGGGTGCCTAAGTACGTCATAAAACATAGGTAGATATTATCAATATTCGGGCGTTTTACAGGCTTTCTAGTAGCCTTTAAAATCGTATATAGGTCTTGCAATTCATCTTATTTCAGTTACAGTAAATATCATCTTATCATCCGAATCACGTAAGATCCATGCGAATTTCATACGCAATGTCATCATTTCCATTTCCTAAGCTCCCTATCGAGCTTTGCTTTCAGATCTAGGAAGGTTTCCTAGAAACTAAAGAGCGAATAGTAGTCGTAGACGCCGGTAATTAAGCAGTTTATCCCATGAAACGACACATCTCACCCTTCTTGGTCGTCAATCGTGAAAGCCGTCAGGTCGCCAAAGCCTTCTATTCATACATCGTCAAAGTCTACCGCATTTGCGATATAGGCAAAGGGATCCGTCGGGGACAGCCTTTGGAGGTACTGGCAGGAATATTACATCTCAACCTTGATCGAGACGTCGTCATGAGTAGTTCATATTGAGACAAATATTTTAAAACACTAGACGGGCGCGACTTGAAATTAATGCGCGATCATACTACCGACACTCTCCACTATGACCGTCGTCACATAAAAGGCGCGTACACCATTAAGTACTTTTTCGGATTCCATGGACTTAATTTGCCCTGCTTTAGACTTCTGGCTTAGTCGTCTGAATATAGAGCAAGACAAAGAACAAGCGGAACTCTTTTTTAGAGCATCAGCAGTCTTTGGGGCGCGATATTCAATGACTAAGAGAACGGGTATATACTCTCCCAAGTTGACGTTGTCTCCTAAGGCCAACGATTGTGCTCGCTTAATGGTAGGAAGTGAAACGTTCACTCGGGACTAATACATTGCTATTATGCACTTGCCGATACACACATACACACATACACACATACGGAACTCCTTGATGGTATAAGGAACTATCCTTTACTAGCTCTGTAGCACACGCCGCCTAATATATTTATCCTAGAGAATCAGCAGCATATAGTAGTATAGGACAGGGGTTCATGAGAGTGTAAATTGCAAACAGTATATATTATAGTCTTATAATCGTATTAGATATATACGATTAGTTATTCTCGAATTATTAGAGTTAATATCGAATAGCCAAGACTATCTACAGTAGTGATACTAACCATTAGAGAGGACTCTTTTAGGAAGGGGTTGGATCCTGGAACACCCATTGAGTTTGCCATTCAATAGCCCGCCCTCTGCCATGGCATATTGCTGTTATTAACTAAATACGCTATGAAGCTATATTAAGAGTACGTAGGAAAACTAAATTTATATTAATCAAGTCGTCTAATTTCATACATTGCCCAATCATAATAGCATTAAGTGCAAGTCAAATTAACTTTAATACAAATATCATAGAAAGATATACGTGGCTAACCCTGAAATCTTATATATTCTATGAAAAGTAGCAAGGCACCTTAGCTGATGGTTTATACAACTATGTAGGTTATGTTGACACCACAATTTAGCTAAACACAGAGTATACCGCTATGGCCAACTGCTACTCAGCTGATTCAATTACGTATCCAGGCACTTTTCTCGGCGACAAGAAAGTCTCTTGTATGTCAGGACAATCAGAATTAATTATTCTGGGTATCCAGTTTGCCTTGTTTGTTGGGTCTGCCAGTCTCCCCATCTCCTCGTTTAAAAATTGAAGCTGTTGATCGTGTAGGAAATCCGGAGGATCCCACTGAGCATATAGCTTTAAGTGGGATTGCCTCATATTGAATTTAGATGTTATGTTAATTAGAACATGATAACAGAGCCAACAAGGGCATCTACTACATCCAATATAATTGAAAAAATTTGGAATGTTGCGCGGTAGTAGAAACCTTAGCATTTGCATCTCGCAATGTTGCCGAATGCTAACCAAGTTATGATCTACGTGGCACAAATATGTCATTTGGGCAATTGTTTCTTCGTTGAGCATTCTCGTTTCAATAACTGTGTCAGAGATTCCACTCCACTCTAACTCGTAGGGCCCTGATGTTGTAGAGACGTCGCCGAGTTGAAGGTTTATCCGTAAAGTAGCTGAGCTATGCTGGGATTTGAAGTATTATACGATGTCATACCATGCACGGAAATAGTTTGACATGGTGTAAATTAGCCGTCGAATCTTCCATAGCGTAGCCCTTCTGCGTTTCATAGTTTCGCTCCTATGTCTCCGCTGAAATCTTTTATCTAGTATATAAAAGAATTCTCGTATATGCTCTGCACGGGTTTCTGCCGAGTTGAAACATAGCTGCATGAAATTATGAAGGAATTTTACATGTTCCCTATCCAACGGATCATTAGTCACTGGAAGATTCAATATTTCGGAATAGATACTGGAAGGGCCAGAAAAGAACGTTTTCAATGATCCCAAGATATTCAATGTCCCCTCTCGAGCCTCTGGGAGCCCGAATGGGACGGTATTGAACACTATATCTTTAATCCATTCTAAAGTGTCCGATAATTCGTTTTTCTTTTCTTCTTCTGTTCTCCCAGTACATGCCTCATATATGGATTCCGAGATATTATGGTAGCGTTTAAGAAGAATACGCCTCCATAGCGTGCTCTGAAGGCTAAGTGTGACAGTATTTGCAGCGTCTGTAGTTCTATCCGCAAACCATGCTTCGATTTCATGGGCAAGAGGAATAAGTATATCGGTCGAGGGATGGTTCTTAGAGATATGCAGAGTGTAAACAGTATGGTCTTTATTGCTCTCCATCGCTGTTGCTACGACACCCCCGCCCTGGGGTTCAGCGAAGATTAAAGCAAAGGAGTCAAGGAGATTCTTCCCAAGGCGCTCCCTTTTCTCATTCTCTACCTGGCCCCCCTATCAAGTCCTCGATCGGCCTAGGTTCCTCCTGGTCTAGAAATACCCCACAGCGCGTTTGAGACTCATGTTGTTGTATTTGTTTATAGTTGACTACGAAAGCCCTAGCATAGAATTCTTCTTTAGAAACACCAGCTCTATGGAATACCGGATTACTATAACTTGGCATGGTTTAGGCTTCGTTTGTATTGATATTTTAATATGAACTTTGATAATTCGTTGAATTGAGTACCCAGTTTACAAAATAGTGTCAGTGGTAGTGGCATAGATGTAGTTTATATAATATTTGTCTATCATGGTCTTCTGATACACCTACAGGGTTGCTCAACTTGGATCATCTACCTAATTCTCATATGTATTGCCTCTAACCACCTCATGAATGGGGTTGAATCGGAGGTATCAAAGTGATATGTTTGCTGGCATTTTGCGGTGACAACGCATAGCATTAACAGGCCAAAATTTTGATTGTCGTCCGAAGTAGCCTCTGCGTAGATGGCCGCGAAGATTCTGGATGAGTATTACAACGAATTAGATGATGTTGTGATATGACTACTACATATTTATGATGCATATATACTTTGAAGCATTGCGCTGTAAGGTGATCCAACCTCCCTAAGACAAACCGTAAGCTATTGTCAGAGGTTATATAAAATAATAGATTATTGTAGCCATAACATGGAAGTAAACTATGGGGGTAAGTAAGACAATACAACAGAGGTCTCTTATTATGTCATAGTAGCAAAGTAAACATATGCTATTGTGACGTGGTGTCTTTTATCTTGTAGAGGTTTGTGTCGGATCTAGTTTCAGAATATTGTACACTTAAGTCATGTCTGGTCCTTATTAGAAAAATGGTTTCCGGTATTAATAGCTTGTTTATACAGAGCGGACCTATAAGTTCAACCTTGAAGATGGCACCGTGTCTGAAATACTTATTGAAGTTATGGCCCTGTACGAAATAATACGTGCTTGCTATTTCCCCTTTTAATTCATGTGGTGTTCAAAATTCTTGAATCATTATAAGTTCAGAGAAACTCGACCTTACGAGGGAAAACGGTGGAAAAATAAAGTACGAGTGTGGGCGAGAAAGAAAATAGAAGAAAAAAAACGAACCCCCAGAAACCCACCGCCCAGCCCATGACATTTAACGCGTCCGTCTACCGGTCATGGCTACTGCGCGCCCTCCTTTCGTCATTAGGTACTTCTTTGCAATTGCCCGCCCTCGCCTAGAGGCTGGAATCTTTGGCCATCATCGCAGGGGTATCTCGGCAGTATGTGTCTGAACGTGATTGAGGCTGTCGTCAAAGCCCACCCGAGTGGGAATCGAATGGGTAATCTAGGACTTACGTGATTCCGACCTGCCTAGCCACTCGACCAATCCGTTTTGCGGTGGTTGTGTGCTTCTTTTTGTAATTATAAGGTCTCGTTGCCTTGGGGGGTAGAAGTGCGGGCCTACACGTTGCTGTCGTGGTAACCGCCGGACGTGTCTGCATCTGTCGGGCGACATGTTTGCGTTGGTACCAGCTGGTGAATTCTATCTACCTAGAAACGCAATTTCTACAGTACTCCTTGGTTGATTTAAGAGTGTTATCGCACTTAATATAGGTACTTTGCTTGACTGCATCATACTAGCCAGGTCAAGATGACAAATATTTATATTTCTGTATGAGCCCCTAAAATCATTCTTTTAGTCATTGTTGTGTCTGTATATTTACTGTATAGTTAGCTGATGAAACTCTTCGTATCTATTTACAATAGACCATACATAATTCATAACGAATTCATAAGGACTATACTATGTAATGTTTTAACGCCCTTGAAATAAGACCATAGTAGATTTTCCACTTTCCGAAGTAACAGCTTTAATAGTTGAAAAATAGTCCATTTGAAGCAGATGATGTACAGATAGCTGATATCACAATAAACTTACACTCTAAGTTCTATCCCCCCCTTCCCCTTTATTCGGTTCAGGAATTAAAGGGGGGAGGTTAAAGTTATATGGGCCCTATAGTTAATTTAAGAATATCTGATTTAAGAATATCTGATTCAGGAATATCCCCCCAAAATGAATTCGGAGTATTAGCGGCCCGCACTGAACCGGGATCGCTGAACCGCGGGATCCCCAAAATTTCAATGCGCCCACTACGAATACCAACAGTTTCTACCATTTCGACCTTTGCGCCAGCCGAATTGGAAACTTGATAGCGAGCTGAGAGAAGCTCGCAGGACGGTTAATCAAGATGGTGAACCCGGGAAAGCGCATGCACATACTGCAAGCCGTAAGCACATATCCTCAATTATTTATCCATCCTTTTCGAAATTGAAATTGCCTGCTGCTAACACATTAATTCAGAAGGTAAATCGCATAACCAATTAAACTATAAGCCCTCACGTCCTGATACGAAACGTCTCTAGCTACTGGCATTACGGCATGGCCCGGGAGCAGCGATATTACCACCCGAGATCACACGGATACACATGGACTTCGCATTGAAGTGGAATGACGGACACTTGGGACCGAGGTATGCTGGCTTTGCATTGCTGGCTTTGCATTGCTAACCTCCAATTCACTCCCGCGACCGACTGCTTGCTAACTAGAAACTTGTCTTTTCCCTCGATTATAGGAAATTCTGGAGGACCTGCCTCCCACGTCTAAAATTCTGGAACCCCGCGATACCTATGCTCGTAAACCGAACGCCGGACCAGTCAGCCCCGGCCAAGATGTCCATCTACTTCCGACAAGCCTCGCTGGGCTCCGATATCCCTTCCGCTCTAACCACCAAGCTTAGCGAGCTGCCACTAGCACGGCAACCGCACTCGAGCGTATCGAACGAGCACCCAGCACCCGAGCCCGAGGAAGGCGAGCGTGTTGTGACGATAGACATGAAAAACGTGCACTCGGACGACATCCTCAACGAATTCATGACTAAGACGGGTGCTACTCTCATCCACCCGACACCCGACGAGCAGGTTGAGATGCGGCAACTCGAGGAACTTAACGAGAAAGCTGCTATCGACCGATCAATCATGAAGAAGTATATCGACGATTTGAAGCGCGAGGAGCGCATACTGGCTCTAGCTCGCCAAGAAGCCGATGCTATCAAGATGGCCAACGATTAAGATCGCCGGGGGCCACTATGTAATTTCTCTCGGCCATTTCTCTCTCCCCCTGTCTTCTTACCGATCTATTTTAGGCCAGAGAAAATTTTCTGCCCCAATAAATAAAAATGAGGTGGTTGATATATAAAAGCTGGCCGAGAGCAGCTACAACAACAACAACAACAAATCTTTCGAGAGAACCTCTTTTACTACGTTCGACTCGTCGCTCTACCTGTACCAAGACGTGTATCATACGCAGACGATGCTAGGCGCATAAAACTGCAGGGGATATTTATATGTATATCCAGAAAGGAAGTATATACCGCGCCTCTGCAAGAAGGCGACGTCCATGACGGGATGTCTACCTTACTTATCAGGTACTGAATGAATAAAAATAACAATCAGAAGACATGCTGCATAGTCTTTTCTCTCTCTTTTGCTTCCCTTTCCATCCCCCGGTTTTCACTATCACAAACTCCTTGCATACACTCTGAGATATCTGCCCTGATCCCCATGGCTTATCTCAATTTTGCGTCAAGGAAGATCGATCATGACCACATCCTATTCCCCGTGACCTCCTTTGCCCTAAAGGTACATGGTTTATCTTGTTGGCCTACATTTCTCTTACTAGGAACCTGGACTTGCTTGAAAACGTAGTATCAGTTTTTAGTCTTTGAAATGGGTTGTAATTATGTCTCCGTTGTCCCTCAGATCTGGACAACTGTATTTCTTGCCATCATGAGATATGTAATGTGATACTTGTACTAGAACCGTATTGGTTAAATTATACACCAATGGTATCGAATGATGTAAGAGTATGCCTTAATTACCTACTACACTTTCGATTTCGTGTCTTATGCTATCAACTCAACTATGCAAAGTATACAATATTAAAACATCCTCGAAAGCCACGTCCTTTCAAGGTCCCCCCCCCATTCCCTCATCCCCTAAACTATTATCCCCACCTCCCTTCTCTTCTCCCCCAATAAAAGAAAACAATACACCTCAAACTTCCGTCTCAACATCCGGCTGCCGTCCGTTCAACGCCCCCATCCTCGTAACCCTCCTAACCGCAAACTTGGCCTCGTCCTTGGCAAACTGCGCATTGCGCAACGGCCGCCACTGCATCAGCCCCCGGTGCTGCCGATGCAGATCCCGGCTCCGGTCCCGGTATTCTTTGTACTGGGTAATCGGGTTCCGACTGCTTCGACTGTGCCCCGAGTCGTTCGTGCTCTGGCTCGCCATGCTGCTGGTGCTGGTGCTGGGCCGGCCGGGTATGTCGTCGCTGGCGCGGGGGGACGCGGTCGTGGCGTCTTGGATGCCTAGGTCGGTTTTTCTGTGCAGGAGCTCGGCGGAGCCGATGGGGTTGGTGGAGAGGGGCATAGGGGTTGCTTCGTCGGTTGTGTCGGGGATGTCTGGCGCGTCGGACGTGTCTGGTATATCCTCTGAGGTCGCGTCAGTTTCGTATTCCGTCTCGTCGCGGCCATCGCGACCGGTCATTATGGCCGTGGGATCCTGGCCGAAGGCGCCGGTCCAGTCTGTGCCGTCTCTCGCGAGCCACTTGCGCCGGTCTTCCTCGGAGACTGTAGCCAGGACGTCGCGGTCTTTGGTTAACGAGTCCTCGTGCAGCTTCTGGACGGCCGGGGGCAGTTCCTTGGTGACTTCTTCCTGGCGCACGCCCTCCGCGAAGCAGGCTTCCCATGTCTCGATGGTCTCGCGAGAGTCGTTGTCGCTGACGAAGCGCAGATGATCACGGTCTGTGCCGGCCTTGAAGCGCCCGCGGAATTGCAGACGTCCGACCTCTTCGATCTTGAGGTCTGGGATTAAGTAGAAGTTCTCCTGCGTGATATAGTTTTGCGATAGTCGCGTTGCGTTGTTGCACCTCCAGACGGGGATATCGAAGTCCGTGTCTTCGCTATCGACGAGCTCCGGTAGCCATATCGCTGCGAAATATTCCAAGTGCCGCTTCCCGGGTAGGTGGAATTCGAAGAATATAGGTGATCGGTAGCGGTATCGAACAGGAAGACGAGGACGACCGTTATTAGTCACGCCGTTGATGTTCCAGTCTACGATATCGCCTTCGGCAGAGCATTGCTCGCGCTTGACGGTTGCGGAGCTGCCTCCTGTCCTGAGCTTCAGCTTTATCTTGCCCTTGCCTGAACCTGTAAAGGTCGAAGTAATCTTGTCCGAAGTAAATTCGAATGTGCCGACATCCCAGCCCAGTTGTGAAGGTGGAAGCTTCAGTTCAACGGACCGGAATAGTAGGGAAATGCGGATTCTGCCAAAGCCAATTCCACCGTCCAATGGGTACCATCGAGTGACCTAGTTCTTAATATTAGCCCGCAGCCTAAAGGGTGACATATACAATGCGCTCGACCTACCTGGCTACTAGTCTGCATAAGGTCAGAGATCTTCAAAGGAACGACACCGATGATAGGATCGTGCTGCCTATTGCGCGAGTCACGAACCGTGACCGTAAGAATAGCAGACCTCCAATCCCGAACGAATCTTTCGGTACCGGCGTTGAAGATGGGCTTCGAGGAGGCCACCTTAGTACGAGTCTTGTAGACCTGCGCGATATTAGCAGCAGCATAGTTGGCGCCGACTGGAAAGCCTACCAGTTCGTCATTGAGCAAAATAGTGCAGTAAGCACTCGGCAGCTTCTTGCTGGATTCCTCCTTAATTTCACCAGCATCACGAGCGGGCTCGTACTCTCGCCCTCCCTTCCGCTTTCCGCCTTCTGAGCCTTTCACATTGGCTAGCTCGAGGTTAACGATTTGGTGGACGACAACGCTAAGAATACCAGTGGGCCAGAGAGGATCCGGAGGTGTATGCACAACAGCGTCTTCCTCGTTGTTCTGAATGGCACCCTTGTCATCTTGTAACTCCTTATTATCTCGGATTTCCTTCGGTAAGGTGACGTCCTTGCCGTCCGTTCGCAGACCGGCGCGGAATTGCGTCTTGGTAAAATAGCCCACTTCCCAGTGTAGCTCACCCGGCATGCTGCTGTCGGCCTTAACGCCACGCAGCTTAGAGACTTGCTGGTACATCTTACCAGGGTGCTGGATTAGCTTCTGGAGCGAAAGCTCGACCTTGCCGACGACATCATCGGCGCTCGAACGGTCACTGTCCCAAAGCTCCATAGATAGCTGCTCATCCGCCTTGATGAGGTCAGGGGTTACGGAAAGAGCGCAACTCTCTTCGAACACGGGGTTAAGATCGTCTTGAATGACGCGAGTGCAGTACATAGGCTTGCCGAACTTGGAGAAGCTAACGGTGATATAGGGGTCAGAGCCACCACCCTCGGAGCCTCGGCGGTCCTGCTTCGATAGCCCAACAGCCTTATGGATGCGAATGAAGAGTAAACCCAAAGCCTGGGTTTCCTTCTGGATGTCGTCTCCCGATAGCATCTTGCCAAGGTCGAGCGTCAGGGACTTTGGCGCGACATACATGCTAGCAGCGGCCTTGATGGCCCAGTTGACGAAGTTGGAGATCACCGGTAGGTTGAGAATGTTAACTCCATGCTCCATCATCGGCGTACAACCGGCTTCGACCTTGGGAATTCCCATGAGCGTCATAGTAACTGCTTTTAGGAATGGCGGCTCGGGGGCCATCTGGAGTCTTAGTCGCACAGTTCCCACCAATCCGGTCAATTCAACCCCTAAATATGGTCAGCAATTGAATCAGACTTGAATAACACGAAGACTTACAAATCGGCAAGGGGATGCCGAATAGTCCCTTGATACCAAGATAAAATACCAACTGCATGCCCATGTTCTGAGCCTTTGCCGAAACAGCGCCACTCGTGGGCTTCGCATGGTAAGCAAAGGAGGCTTCCAAGTTGTAATAGTCACCACCCTCTTCATCGGCGGCAAGCTCCTGCGGATCCTTGACCTTCTCATTCTCCTTGTGTATCTCGTCCTTGATATCCTTCATGTGGCTGTCGGGAAGAGCCCGCAGACTGAGGATCCGGATCGGGTTGTTACCCTGGTTGATATCGGCTACCTTGACGTTCTCAATGATTCCTGGTACGGAAGCTTGCATAACATCCTGCTTCTGTTAATATTCCCTATGTTCGACACACATGAATGAGACTTACTTCGAGGGTGTCGGCTACTGCGGAGAACATATCAGGGTTAATGAGACCCCAGACGATGCCAAGGAGCGTGTTCATCCACTCGACAGACTCGGGAATCAGGTTGGCAACGGCCGTCTCGCCGCGCTTCTGCTCGCTCGACCATTCGATGTCCCGACCTCGCCTAACCAAATCCTTCATCCATAGGAAAACACCGGAAGCCACACCGATAGCCAAGGGAATTAGACCCAGCAGTCTGCCTCCGAAGAACTTGCCCATGAAGATGATGCCAAGTACGAGACCGACGCATAACACTGTTGCTCGCTGTTCGATAATGGCGTACATTGGCTCATAGCTTACCGACGGCGTCGGGTGGAAGAGGATATTCGTCTTCTCACCATGGATCGGCACATCTGAAGTAGCCCCTGTAGCTACCGGGTCTGGCGGCGCTGTTATATCCTGGGCTTTCCTGTATTCCTCTCCCGACTGTGTCGGATCTGTCTTTACCGGCGTATCCTTCCCTAGATTTGCATTTGGCACTGATAGCTAACATGTGATATTAGTTACGTCGCCAGTGTTTTTTTCTCCCTGGCTTACGCGACTTACATGAGGATCCTGTACGGCCTTCATAAAATTAGAATTGACGTCGTCGATAGTGACCTGGTTGCCCGTGACGGGATCCGTAACCACTCTGCCCTTGCCCCTGTACTGTTCAACATCGTTCTCATGTTCTAGGACATCTCCATTATTTCCGGTCGTTTTATTTTGGGCGTCGATTTTTGCATCTCGTTCCTTCTTGTCCTTATCGAGAGAAGCGACGAATTGCTTTATGTTGGGGACTCTATTGAGCCCCGAGTAGTGGCCCCCTGGGGCGTGGTGTTGCTGTTCGGAAGCCATGACATGTGCTACCTATCTGTATTATAGAGACGGAAAAGTTCTATGATGCGGGCATGGAATAGCTTCTCCAGGGGAGTATAATAATAATAATAATAATAATAATAATAGTTAACTAGTTATAGGAAATATAAGAAGGAGATGCCTTCTACTACTCGTTTGTCCAACTACCAGAGAGCAGTAAGAAGGGAGATCTCTGTTAGATATGCTATTAAATTATAAATTACATAGGTAGGTAGCTAGCTACAACTACTAAATCAAAGTAGACTTGTCTTTAGACTGGCAGGTTTACATCATCCTGTCAAACGCCTTTTCTTTCAGCTGCAGAATGTGTAAGATTGAATCGTAGCGCGGGAGTGTATGACGTCGGTGGATGCAGCTAGGTTAAGTCTTTGTAACCTTGTATACCGTCTCTTACTAATTCTTGGACGGCGGGGAGCTTGTATGCCCCACTCCGGTCTAGCCCGTTGCAGCCGTTGTGGCCGTATCGCATATCGGGTTTGCGATACTATGTACTTCGACCCAGGTGTTATAGGGTTTCTTGGCCATGCGAACCACCGGACCGGGACGAGTCCATGCTATCTGTTTCGATTATTTGTTTCTATTACATCTTGCGTTGATCGTCGAGGCTCGTGTTGCATACCCCGTCATTGGACTTGTCTTTAGAACTATCTATCATAATCCACTTATACATACCTATGTACATTAACACTATCAAAATACCTGTCAAGGAAGATAGATTAGCAAGCGAAAACCATGGCGCATCTTCTGCAACGTGGGCGGGTTGGGGGGGAGCAGCACTGACAAGATCTACAGCAAGGATTAAGACAGGCTTGCGTCATTCGCCCTCTAGGCCTACAACATAATCAAGATTGATACATACTTCCAGTGCCGTAGCCTCGCAAGCTGTTCCTGATCAGGGATGATATGTTTATTTCTCTGGACCCAGACTCGGCAATGCGGCCCTCAAGGACTACGTTTGATATATGAATTTTAGGTGCATTTGCTGTTTGACGGATAGTATGTTGATATACCAATTTTCGACAAGCCATAACAGCACACACACTTTGAGTTAAATCATATTTATATCTTTATATTCGTATTCTCATATAACCAACCATTTTGCCATGCCAAACCGTGAAACACACAATGCAATGGTATCGAAAAACGCCTATGCTGATTCAATCAGGTCGCCCAATGCGCTCGTATTCCTTGCAGTATGCGTTTAATCCCCTCTGTTCTCCTATACTATAGTTTCATACCGATCCTCAGGCTTAGGGCTTGCCTATAACCAATCTTCATCAACAGCTGAAATATCCCAATGCCTCTTGGCCTCATAAATTATGACTGCTCACTGCTCACTAAATCAGGCGGTATTGGTGTATCCCTCCTACTTCCCGTCTCAAGGTTGACTAGGTCCACAACCCCAAGGTTTTCTATAGCTACAGTTGGTGTCTTCGTCTCCAACTCGATATCAGGAGGCGTAGTAGCTCTGCTCGACGATATGCTACTCGCGTCAGACATCTCAACATCCACCCCATCCCTTGCTAGGTCTGAACTTGATTCTGAAGACTCAAAGCTAATTTGAAACGCTGTTCGTGGTTCCGACGTGGTTGCTTTCGCATGTCTAGCCGTAGGTACAGAGAGTAACAGTGGCGCCGAGGACCTAGGGGTGGATGCTTCTGCGGCAGCCTTGAGAGCAGCTATAGCACCACTTTCATTCTCCTCGTCATCCTGGCCGATAGTCCAAACCCACCTTCGCTTCTTCTCCTTTCTCTTACGCTTACGGATTCCATCTGGTCTTGGGGAGTGAATCGGCGTCTCCGTGCCTAATCCCGTCATACGCCTTCGCATTTCCTCAAAAGGCCCAGGTGTCTCCCCGCCATCACGTGTTTCATCCCCTGTATATGCCATTGCAAGATCAAGTATCATGTCGGAGTCCTCGGCAGCCGGCGAAGGCGTATAGGGAGATGCATCGTCCGCGAGGAGTTCAACATGGGACTTAATGTACTTCTCAGTTGTGATAGTCTGCGTCAGCGGAGATACGTATCCTACGTGCCTGGCCGCGTTTTCCTGTAGTCGAAGGGACTGTCTCCGCTGGGTTATAGGTGATATGGCACTTGGAGGCGGTAGAGGTGAGTTGCGTAATATGCTATGAAGAGATTTATCGCGGCTATATGGCGCTTTTGCAGGAGATGCAAAGGGTGCATAAATCACTCGACGCCGGGTTTGAGCAGGAGAATATAGAGGTTCCTGTTTATTTACCTCGGTGGGTGCGAATGTGTAATTATTAGATGGCTCGACGGCCCCAGCGGACAGCGGAGGGGTCGATGTTATGGTACTTGGAAATACCATGTCCATCTGCTGAGCCGGCGAGACAGGATTAGCAGACAGAGGTGTGTCCGGCAACGCTGCGGTGTAAGGCGTCTCTGCCCTCGACTTGTGAGCCCTGAGAGATTCGGTGTCGGTTTGAAGCTTTAATGGTTGAAGAAGATTAATAGCTGTTAAAGGAGTCGACTGGGTCGGCGTCGACCTCTCAATAGCAGTGACGTATAAGTTGGTGAGAGTATTGAAAGCCGTCGGTGATTTAGGATTGATATTAGGCAAGGTAGCTTTCGACCTGCTGGGTCCCTGCGAAGGTTTGGTTTGAAGAGACAGTCGGGGTCTCTTCGATGACTCGGTACCTGCCATGGCGATGAAGATTTCACGAACTGGGTTCGTTTAGATTCAACCTCTATTATGATCCACGAACGACGACACGGGAATATATGGAATATGGAAAGGTCGTCGAGTATGCCACTTCGTCTGAGTTACCAGCAGGCGAGGACGCCCAAACAACCTTCCCACCAGCCGGGGTGTATTGAAAGCAATAAGTGTTAAACTCAACGTAAGATAAACGCTGGTAGAGGGGGTACGGCGGCTATAAAATACCCCTTGGCCTCAAGAGACCGATGGGTCCGGTAATGTGGGAATGGAGGGTCAGTTTAGCCAGTAAACTGTTCAAGAATAGAACTAATGCAAAATGCAGTGTGAAGCAACAATACCCCGGAAGCGAGAAGGGGGTGAAAGAGGGAATTGCGGAAGCGGTATAGACAACTATAGGATCTCAGGGCAGTGTGATCAGTGAAACTAGACGGTAAACGGAACGTGGAGTTAACCACTCGCAGGTCGATTGCAACAGTAAAATGCAGTCACTTCTACGTCTGGGCTGCTGGTTGGCTATAAAAAGTGACGAGGACTTAAGAAGGGAGGGATGACTGAAGACGCAAGCGCCAACGTATCCCTGCTTACTGCGCGATCCTAGCTAAGTATAGCCAATGGTGAAGATGGCGAGGTCGGCTAATGGGCCACATCGCGTATACGATTGCCGCCTCTGGCTTCTTCCGGCGCCTATTCCTTTCCATGTCGACAGCCATGTTTCCCCCGCACCTCGGAGTAAAAGGTTGTTTCGCAGATAGTTGAATTAGTTAGAACCTGCTAAAGCGGTGAAAGTAAAACACGCAGCTTGGAGATGCAATAGACCAATAGTATATTCGATACTTGGTCTAGTCGACTTTGTCCACGTATATTCTGAGAAGAGCAGGTGACTCTACATCGGGCTCAGAGGATCCTATCCTTTTCCAGGAGAATTCTGAGCCCTTGCTAATCTCCTGATTGCATAAGCCACGTTCCCACGAACCCATGAACCCATCGGTGCGGGTAGAAATAATAATAGTAAACTCCCCCGGAGAATAGAAATAAAGATGGAACTCGTTCGGGCATGATGGGCATGCTCTCGGCATTTTTCCATCTCGGAACAATCTGGTTGTAACGCTGGAGCGGATGGTCTGTGCCGTCCCGCTTACCAACCTAGAAGGAGATCTCTTGGGGATCTCAATCCTACCTATATTAAGAAGCCAACTTGTTTTAAAACATGTAAAACTTCTCTTGGGAAGTCCTTCACTTCTCATGTCGCAGAAACATTGTTTCGCCTGTCTAGATTAGGTTGTTGTAGCACTATGTTTTTGCAGGCTTGCCACATTTAGACCAGCACTCCCTCGGTCGGTAGCCAGCTATATTACTACATAGGACAGGATAAAACATGGCGACGTAGGAATTTCCTATAAGGACTCGAAAAGGCGACGGGGAAGCCGTTTAAAATGGACCTAGGAGAAAATCACCAGGGATGAGAGAGAAAATAGAAGCAACATAGTCAATGTGTTCTAGAATATGACGTTTAATCATTCATCGGGTCATGGGGAATTGTGGATGTTGTGGGGAGGTTTGAGAATACTAAGGTAGGATCCATTGAAACTTTGCGTAGGTAGGTACCTAGGTACCTACCTCTTCATAGGTAGTGTGCCACATTGAGTCTCTGCCACATTACTAGGTTAAGAGGTAACCTAGCTCGGGCAGTTATGGATGTCATGTGGCTCGTGGCTGATGCTTACCTAAGGCAGCGTGCTTCGGTTCCTTATTGTATAATCCGACATTCAGGTCACTCTACACAACACACTCTCCATTAAGCCGAGACATGCTGAGGTAGTTCGCGTATGACCACGCGCCACACTATCGAACAGACTAGTATCATCAATTGATATTCCCCGATTGCGTGGTCATCGTCTAAAAATGGAACAAGATGAAGACAGCAGCGCTGATGTCGGGACGAGCCAAGACGATCGCCGCCAAAGCCCCTAAGAGGAACGACGACCGCGTCATTCTACACTTCGTAGGCCAATCTTTAGCTCTTATCTTCCTTCCAGGAGTCACGAGCTAAGAGCTCATTTGGTCTCATTTCACAAGCAATTCACTAACCAGGGCGCGCAGGACTACGACTGCTTCTACGCCAGCGTTCTCGAGAATGCAAACCCCGGCCTCAAGGGTCAGCCGCTAGGCGTCAAGCAGAAGAGCATCCTAGCGACGTGCAACTACGCCGCACGTGCCCATGGCGTTAAGAAGCTGATGTCTATCTCTGAGGCCCACAAGATCTGCCCGGGCCTCGTTGTTATCAGCGGTGAGGACCTGACGCCGTTCCGTGACGCTTCTAAGAGGCTTTGGTCCTTCCTTAGGAGCCATTCTTGGAGTAATCGTGCGGAGCGCCTGGGGCTCGACGAGGTCTTCCTTGATGTTACTGAGGTCATTGCGTATAACCAGGAGCTGCTGAATCGCAATGCTTTGCAAGACTCGTTCTTCCAGCTTTCTCGGCACGACCCTGAAAAGGGGTTCGGTTTTGATGCCACGCAATTCTTTGGATGTGTACAGCCGTCGGTAGACCCGACTGATTTGGTGCTACTTCTAGACAATCCATTATGCGTTCGCCTACTGCTCGCATCCCACCTAGCCGGCTACTTGCGCCTCAAACTAGAGGAAGACTTCGGGTATACCTCTAGTGGTGGCGTCTCAACTAACAAGACCCTTGCCAAGCTCGCCGGCAGCATAAACAAGCCGCAGAACCAAACCACGCTTCTCAGTCTCCGTGAATATGACGTTCAGGACTTCATGGACGGCCACAAGCTGCGACAAATCCCAGGCATCGGTTCTCGCATTGCGCAGCTAATCCAAGATCATGTCCTATCCATCAAGACAACCCCAGACCCGCATGGCTTAGAGATAGGGGCCAAGGTAACAGCCCGCGAAGTTCGGCAGTTCGCATCCATGTCCGCCGACCTCCTAGAGCGAATCCTTAACCGTCCCGGCGCCGAGCGTGGTAGCGGTGAAAAGGTATGGAATCTCCTCCATGGCGTAGACAGCTCCGAGGTCAAGGAAGCGAGCGACGTGCCGACGCAGATCAGCATTGAGGACACATACATGGCGCGGCCACTAAATACTCCCTCTGAGCTAATGAGAGAGCTACGTGCCTTGGCCACGTCTCTCATACGACGAATGCGCGTCGATCTCGTCGTAACATATGATCCTGATCCCTCAGATCTCTCATCGCAACAAAATACCCAGCAGCATCTACGCTGGGCCGCATATCCTAAGACCCTACGCCTATCCACACGTGCGCGCCCAAAGCCCAACGGAACTTCCACCCCAACCCCTGAGATCTTCAGCCGCAACTCCCGTAGCCAGCCACTCCCGAGTTTCGCACTAAACCTTAAAGACGCAAGCATCGAGGCCGTCGCCGAGCGGCTAGCATCTGAAGCCCTGCTCCCCTTATTCCGGCGTCTGCACCCGGAGCGGCAAGGGTGGAATCTAGCTCTGATTAATGTCTGCGTGGCGAACATGGTGATGGTAGCGGGACCCGGTGAGACGGGGAGTGGTGCGGGAGCAAGAGCAGCGCGAGATATTGGGCGCATGTTCCGCACGCAGGAGGATAAATTGCGCGAGTGGACTATTTACGATAATACGCCTGTAGCGTCTGTCCTCGATACCGCATTTTCCTCTGCGAATGTCGCAGATATCGTCAAGAGTATCCCTCAAAGTGAAGAGGAAGAGAAAAGGGAAGATACCATAGACGCTATGGACGAATTGGTGGAAGCATCCGAACCGATAGCAGTATTATTAGACTCAGACGTAGATGCTTGGGAGGACTCAGACGAGGATGAGTCCCAGAGGTGTCATCTCTGCGGACACATCATCCCAATATTTGCAATATCGGCGCACGAGAGGTTTCATAGCATTGGGGATTGATATAGACTTGCCAATTATTAGCGTTTGATCTTTATTTCATATACTACTAGGTTAGTTAGGTAGTTACCGATACCCCTTTTTGAATTGAACAAGATACCCCAACACACCAAGCCGCACCTACTCCTATATTCTACGTCTTCCCCCCCTCTAAAGTAATATAATAAACGTATATACCCATCCACAACATATCGAACGTAGCAAATTAGTATTTAAATTTGTCTGGCAGTAGTAGTAGTAGTAGTAGTAGTAGTAGTAGTAAGAGGTATGTATGCAAATCGGCCGTAAACCTCATAACTTCATATTGTCTTTCCTACGCCCTTTCTCACAAGACATGACAAAAATCCCGCCTGCAAAAAAAGATCCAGTCTCTGTAGTCCATACCTATATAACAACTCCGGAGGTATCAATAAAATAACCGAAGGGATGCACCCAAACAAGGTGCGAATCTAAATCAGAATACCACCGTAACCACGGCTAACCCGCCTAGAAAAACTTTTCTCGTCACCCGGCCTGCTACGACCCGAAACAAAAGGCCTGGCCAGGTTAAACTCCGACGTAATAAAAAAGATCGCGAGCTCACTAAAAGTCGTAGTTCCCCTGACAGCTTGACCTCTCGCGCATTCATGAAAACATAATAGGGGAATCGGCCACACAGATGATTATAATCGTTCCAGCTCCTCGTTGCCTTTCAATAGAGCCTCGAGCCATTCTCCCGCTATCGAGAGCATGGTACTTTTACTATAGCCGCCTCCCCTAAGATTTGGAACAATCTCGCTCAGATCGTCGAACCCCTCTTTTATTGCACCTCTTCTTTTTTGCTCACTCTTAATGTGGTTTTCTCTCTTCTGAGCATCCGTAAGATTTTCTCGTGCCGCTTTCGCCGCGCTTATAGTAGATTTCCTCCGCTTGCCGGGCGTCTCTTGGCCTGTCGAAGATGCATCTGACGTTCCTCTTAGGTCTGGTTTCGATTTGCGCTTCCTCGCCACGGACCTCGGTGGTATAGATGATAAGTCTTCCGCCTCTTCCTCAATTTCTTCTTTTGCTTTGCTCTTGCTCTTACGTCGCTTTGCAGGTGGACCTTCTCCGTCGAGTTCTTCCTTAACGTGACCATTCGTATTACCATCACGCAAAGGATTGGACGAACTTTCCCCGTTACCTACGGGGGTTGGGGGTCTAGTCGTCGCTGCACTTTCACTAATTGAGAGAACTTTCAAAACGCCCAGTCGCTTCTGTTCAAGCAGCTCGCTGGATTCATGCTCGGGTGGAATGTAGCCTTGGGCTCTGGCAAAACTCGAGTCGGAACCCCACTGTAATTCGGGCGGCTCGATCGGTCGTTGGCTTGGTAATCCCTGAGAGGATCCGAACATCATGTCCGTAAAGAGCGTATCGATCTCGCCAGGCGGAGCGTGCCTAGGCCGAATGGAGCTATTCCGTTCGGGGCCAATGTGGTTTCGAACCGATTGTCTTACTTGATCGACGGCGGTTCCATGTTGGGAGGGTACAATAGGTGTGCGATTTATGCCATTGACACTGGATGGATACCCATTCTGGTGACCATGGTGAAGGGATGTTAAGACGGCGGCCACGTCGGCGTGTGTGTTCTGCTCGATCGGTGTATGGGGGGTTGGTGTGCTGTGGTGTTGATGCTGAAGTTGTGGGGGATGTTGAAGTTGTAGAAGCGGTTGCGGCGGAGGTGGTACTGGTGGCGGCATCATGTTTTGGCCAAAAGTAAACACATCTTGGTATGTAGTTGCGGGCATTCCGTTCATGGAAGAAGCTGACGGCTGCTGCGGTTGCTGCCCGAAGGATGTCGCATGACCCAGGAAAGCTGGTGGAAGCTGGCTTATCCACTGGTCACTAAAGTTGAGACCTTCGCCGTACGATGTGGGATATTGATTAGACGTCATGTCCTCGAAAAAAGAATTCAATAGTCTAGAGTCGTCGTGACTGAGTAAAGGGTCTCCCGGGGGAGGCGTAGGGGCTCTAAGAAATAGGAAGTCTTCGGAAACATGATCTATCGAAGAGTTAGCTTGCTAATAACGGGTTGTATATAAACACGGCAAAAGACGTACAGCCAAACGGCGCATTGCCGTCAGGCGGTTGCGAAGAACCCATTTTGGGACGTTGTATACACGCGGCGCTCATGGATGCTTCTGATCGGGGTTGGCCGCAAAACTAGAGGTATACAAATACGTTCAGATCAGATTAGAGCGACGGAGCTTGGAGCGGAAGGCGTAAGTCGTGTTTCGTTCTCTGTTCTAGTTGTACTCGCGAGGGATTCGTGATAGTCGCATAGAAGTTTACGAAATAGGCGCGGTGTGGATGTCGTGACTTCATAGGTAGGCATACGTGATATAGAGAGGGTCCGTAAGATAGTATAATTCGTAGAATACCGTACGTATCAGAGCGGGGAGAATCGGCTTGGTATATGGAGTAGTGAGTTTATAATTAATTGTCGTTAAAACAAAATGCGGTTCAACGTCGCGACAAGGCGGTTCGACTGCAAGGCGGATCAATGGTTAAAATAGGAATAGTAGCGGAGTCGTTAGAGAGTCATGTACATGGTCGGGCTGGAATTGTTTCTTATAGTGGCCCCTTAAGTGTAAGGGTAGAGGATGGAGTCGACATCGATTAAACTAGAAGAGTAGTATCTCCAGCCGTCGGGTCGTTCAAGCTTTTGGGATGATCGACAATGCTCCATGGATACCTAAAGGTAGGTAAGTGTAGGTGGAGGTAAAAGGTATTGCTTGTGGATAAGTCGATGCGGCCCAGTGGCTTTTGAGAATAATCTAGTTGGAAGTCAACGGCTCGGCCTCTGGTGTGGTTGTGTGCATGTTGCAATTAAGGGAAAGACGCTTAAAAGGTGATGTAACACGTCAAGAGTAGATGTATAGATGTTAATTGGACAGTAATTGGACAGTAGTTGGACAGTAATTGGACAATAATTGGACGAAGGGAAAGAATGACGAGCAGGAAGTATTCGGAGTCGGCCACTATTCGCTGGAGAAAACCGAGTAATCGATTAGAGAAGCTACCATCACTTATTCCTTTACTCCGCAAAGAAGTAGCAGTCACCTAATTGCAGTCACCTAATTGCAGTCACCTGCCAGCAATAAGTACCGATATGTAGTAATTATAGCAAGCATCAAGTAACGAGTAACGACTAGAAGTAAGGAGCAAAGCTCAACAAGCCACCTTCTTTCTATAAATCTTTTTTTCTCTTGCCTTTTTCTTTCCTTCCACACTAAGCTAATATAAGGCAATGGCATCCATGCTTACATGCATAGTACATTAATAGTACGGAATTAAGTACCGATAGTAAAATGAGATGAGGGGTAGAAGAGGAGAACTTGAAGCTATGAGTCTATCGATGATCGCCTTCTATCTTCTATCGGCCCATTGACTTTTACAAGTTGGGATATTTACATAGTACTATTGTCTGGTACTATGTAGGAGGCTAGGAGTCGCTTTTCCCTACAAAGACTATTTGATAGTACATAGTTTCTCAATTGGTAATAGGTCACGGTATGTTGCTGGAGTCTAAACTAGTGCAGAACTCTTCTCCACGCTCCGTTCTTGTCTTGCAACCTGCACGTTTAGGATCTGGAGTTATGTTATATTTTATGTTGTATAAAAAATGAAAAACACCGAATGTACGGATTACCTACCTGGGCATGTACCTAAGGCAAGAACGGGGTAAGGTGACCTTCAATGTTCTTACATAACATCATAGCCGAGGTGTCTAGGTACAGCAATAATTTCCCTTGCAGCTGCCTTTTAATGCAAGTTTACATACCGACATCATGTAAGATGGAGGTAGCTTATGTACATACATACCTACCTTATGTAGTTAGGTATGTACAAAGTTACTTAGGTACTTAGATACTTGTGCTTGACTCGAAGTGCCAGAGTGCCCAGGTCCTGCATTGCATAGACGTCTCTTGACTTCCATCATCCAAAAGTTATTCTTAGCTTGGCAGGGGAAACGCCCCGAGGCTCAATCACATGTCAATTTGTTTCTCTTGGAGCATCCAGCTTCTCTTGCCAGCTTGCCCACAGACGGGTAATCCTAACATCGCCAAGCCGAGTCAAGCTGTTTTTCAGCTGTTTTTCTCAAAAAAAAGAGCAACGCAAGATATTCCGTTATAAATTGACTCATCATCATCTAGTTGCCACATTGTTGTCGGCTTGCACGTTATATTCTCGCTCCCCATGAGCGAAGACCGGAGCTGTCTCCGACTGCGTCCAGTTGTTTACGTCCGTTCCTTGCCTTGACCATGCTTTGTTTGCAGACTGCAGATAACATAGTTAGGAATTATTGTATGTATATTCTTTCTATCACCCCAGCATCCCATCAGTCCATACATACGCAGGACAATCCAGTCCGTCCATCGCGGTCATCGTTGCAGTAGCAAACGCGCTCGTCACAAATCAAACCGGTAGCACGTCGCCCAAGATGTGTCTCTCTATCCTTAAACTCAATTGCATATAAATGCGAATATTCGGCCGAGATACATAGCGTTGGACGATCCCAGATCTTGGCCCCGGAATTCCGGGGTTCGCCCAGCACAAGAAATATTCGGTGACCGATTTGGTTACTAACTTCTGCTTCTTTAGGCCAGTTTATGTCCCTTTTATTAATCTAATTCCACAGCTTTATATGATCACTACATAGTACAGCTCGCAGCGCAGGTTACATGCAAGCATGCATGCATGAACTTCACTCCGGTTTTCTATTTTATAATTTATATGTGGCTCAGTCAAGATATTCATTTTATTTCCTCGGGCACCATCGCCAATGCACCTCGGCTGAATCGCCAAAAGAGACTAGTGAGAGCCAACCTTACGTTTAGCAGTGTTCGCTGTCCGGTACGGCATGGTGCGGCTTTGCTTCATCAGCTAGCTCATTACACGGTCTATCAGTTAAAGTCTTTAACTTCAAGTCGATTACCTCATGGTTGGTCTTCTAGTATCGATATTTCTCTTCGGCGCCCATAGCTTCCGCATTTCCTCATCAGACCCAGTTTCCGGTTTCCGGTTACTTGTTGCGCAAATCGACATACCTAGGTAGACTACATAGACTAGACGTCAATTGTCTTACCAAGGTCTTCTCCGGAAACCATTGGCAGATCTAAAACACCGACGCGGAAGCTCATATCCCTCCGAATGCAAACCCCGTTGTTCGGTTGCTCGGCCCCTTGTCAAAGTATTGAACCAAAAACAAACTATCTTGATTAAAGCTTCTCATTCTAAACCGACGGCATGTCTCAAACATTATAAGAGCACAGCAAAACTATCTTAACATATTCTTTTCATGGACAATCCATAAGTATAAACTGACAAACACTAAGACCTCTCGTCCGCAAGTCGCGTTGTCGCGTAGTTCAACGCGTTAGTCGTGAGCATTGTAACCATGACATCGCCTCTACTTCCACCAAGAAACCGAAAGAGACTGGATGAATCTATACCACCTCTCCTAAGACCTCTTATTCGGGCCTATGTCTTAGGCTACACTTCTGCTGTTGCACCAAGGCTCCTCACGTTGATTCTCCAGCATGTAACTAGAAGGCGGAGAGACAAGGGTGCTGCTGTCACGCAGCCCCACGACTCCTTCATCTCATCCCTGCAACGTATCGTGCGTGGGGGGCTAGAACTTCAAGGATTTCCAACATTCTGTGCGGCCCTCGTAGGCGGAACTACGTTACTAGAGGCAAGATTTCCCACAACTAGCTCATATATGCTCGAGTGAGGTCTATAGACAATGCTACGTTAAATAATAAGAAAGTCTAAGGCTAACTTGCTCGTTGAAGGTTTTACTTAGTAGAGCTTTGAGTCGTCTATGGGAGGGCCAGCTTCCTACCCCGATCCTAAAAAGGCAAGTCGACAGCTCTATGACAACTGTGGATGTTTCATTGGGGGAGCTTGGCACCAGTATACTGCCTTAGCGCATATCCCAACCCATCTTCACTTGACGTTCAACTAACCTTCATTCAATTCAACTAGATTTTCGAGATGGTTATCGACGTTTGTTGCTGCCTGGCTTAGCCTCCGGTTACTACAGTCAAAGAAGAGTGATAGCTTTTCAGAAACGATCACTGCCAACCCAGATGATCCGCAAAGCGCCAAGCAAGAAACGGTACGATACGCTGGACGAACTCTAGACTTGACCTTATTCGCAGTTACCAGAGCTCTTGATGTGATAGTCAGTGAGGCATGGTCCCGGAGAGGACAACGCAAGGTTGCCACAAGCCAGTGGACTTGGGTATGACAAAGCTGCTATTAAGCCAACGGAAACTTGCATCGCTAATAGTTTTTAGGTTGAATCTTTGATATCGAAGTTAGCTGATCCAATTATCTTCGCCACATCTTCCGCCCTTATTATGTGGGCATGGTTCTACTCACCTTCACAACTACCTAAAGCATATACGAAATGGATCAGCTCGGCCGCGGCGGTAGACTCCCGCCTTATCGAAGCACTTCGGCGTTGCCACAATGGGGATCTCCAATATGGCGAGGAAACGGGACAAGCACCGCTCCTCCAATCAATGTGTGTCGACTATAAATTGCCGCCGGCGTGGGGCGATCCTACTAAGTCCATCCCGTTTCCGTGCGAAGTCGTGCATATGGGTTGCGGGTCGTCTTGCGAACACCATGCCCTATCCCGTTTCTACCGATCCTTTAAGTGGTCTATGATCACGTATCTACCCCTGAACTTACTAGCCCGGAAGAAGAATCTTAAGGGGGTTCGAACCGCGCTCCTATCTGCAGCACGCTCGTCGTCATTCTTAGCCGCATTTATCACCCTTTTCTACTACGGAGTGTGCCTAGCGCGGACGAGGCTCGGCCCGCACATCATCGGGAAGGATACGCAGTCTAGACAGGTTATCGACGGGGGTGTCTGCGTCGGATCTGGCTGCTTCCTATGTGGATGGAGTGTCCTCATAGAGAAAGCGGCCCGCAGAAAAGAGCTAGCACTTTTCGTTGCGCCCAGAGCTATGGCAACGCTCTTACCAAGACGGTATTCCCTTGACAAGCAATGGCGGGAGACATTCATCTTCGCTCTTAGTACAGCAGTGGTGTTCACGTCCGTAAAAGAAAATCGAGAGAGCGTTCGCGGTATGTTTGGGAAATTTCTCGTGGCAGTTTTAGAGCCATGACGGGTTATTCGGCGCCCATCTAAACCATACATCTAGCTTTGGAGGTTCTTACTGTTTTCATTTACTTAAATGTTGTAATCTTACCCGGCTAAGGGAGTGGTGTTCTTCTAAGGCAATCTTGCATTGGATAGAGGGAAAGCATTAAATGGAATACATAGAGCTTAAAAGGGGGGCATTAGCACGTTGTACAACTGATCCAAGTACGATAATCGTATTTAATCTATCTAAAGGGGGAAAGCAAGCTGCACATGAGAAAATGGTCACGATAAAAAAGAATTAAACTAACTAGTTAACGAAAGACTCGGAAGTAATCTCAGATCTACTACCTCCATGATTGACGAACGAGTTCGCGTGAGTTGGCTTCTTATAAAGTCATACATGTCTATGTTAGACACTCAGACACGGACGAAAAAAGAAAGACAAAAAAGTAACTGAGCCTTGACAAGCAAATAGAGATGAAGATCGCCGAAAATACCTCAGCATCCACTACTTTCACTACCAGTTCGTAGATGTTCATCTTGATATTTAGGTCATATCAATGCAATATTATATAGATGTAGACATTGCTGTGTGCATACTCGATACAACGTCTAAAGTAGGATCAAACACCGTAACCTCGACGGAGGGAAACAAGCAGGCATGGCTATGATACCAACCCAACGTCATCATTTAAAGGAGCCAGTCAACACCGTTCCAGTGTCCTTCCACACATGATTTCATGTCGTATTACTACCCACCGCGTATAATGCCCAGTTCTCATCATCTATCCCATAATCCCCACCCCAGCAACTAGACAACCAGTCCCCCCCCCCCACCCTCACGATCTCAACCACGAACAAACCCCCAGCACAAACACACAAACCAGCGCATCGCTTCTAACCGTGCCCAGCATCTGCCCATAGCGCAGCGCATGCTGGGTATACGTCCTCGCGCGCCCGGGCAGAAACCCGCTCGCAGTCCACATCCAGCCCTTGGGCGATTCCCGCCCCTTATCCAAGAAATACCGCGTCGTCAGCAGCAGGGCCTCGACCGAGGCGAACACGGCGAAGAAGTACGCGCGCGCGCGCTCTACGCTGTCTGTTTCCGCGCCGTCGGAGTTAGTAGTGTTGGTGTTGGTGTTGGTGTTGGTGTTGGTGTTGATGGCCGAGTGCTCGCGCTCCGTCAGCGTGCCGGAGAAGGTGGTGGATAGCGCGACGTAGAGGCCGAGGCCGAGCGCGAATACGGCGTGCAGAATGCGCCAGAGGTTAGCGCTCTTGTCGGCGGGGGGTTGTTGCGCTTGCTGCGTGGGGTTGTTGGGGCCGGCGCTGGCGTTGGGGTTCATGCCGCCTAGGCTGCTGAGGAGGCCCTCCATAGGCGTCCCGGCGAAGGGGTTACCGCCTGCACCGCCGGGCATGCCGCCGGACATCATTTGCGAGAGCATCTTCATCATGGGGTCTTCGTCGACGCCTTCTGCGCCGGGGATTGGCGGTAGGGGGCCATCGAGCGGGTTCCGGCCCGGCTGTGGTGGAGTACCGGAGGACTGGCGATCGAGGCCGAGGATCATCTGCCGCAGTTGAGCTTCGGAGATGTCATTGGGCGGGGTGGCGCTTGGTGGCGGACGGGCGGTTGCATTCGGCTCGTAGTAGTGCTGTGATATGTCGACTTCGTCTGGGTCTCCATGCTGTTCCGAAGCCTGTGTGGGTTTCGTGATTGGCGTTGATGTGGTTGAGGTTTCTTGTGGCGTGCTAGTTTCTGATGACAGCTGTGGTACTGGATCTACATACACTAGTTAGATCATTGGGGGTTTCAGTTGGGAGACTAGAGGTTTTACCTCGTTGTATGCCTCCTCCTAGTCCTGTGATCTTGTTTAGTCGTGCGGCTCCTCCAGCTTTGATCTTAGCTTCTCGGCGTTCCTTGCGCAGACGTGCTTGCTCTGCAGCTCGCGCCGCCGCTGGATCATCTGTAGCTTGGGGGTTTTCTGTCATTGTTAAAGTGAGACTTGAGTGTTTGGTGTGAGTATGTTGGGCTTAGATAGCTGCTGTGCGATGAAAAGATGTACCTAGAAGAAATATGCAGGGGTGAGCTGAGCTGAGCTGAGTTGAGTTGAGTTGAGTTGAGTTGTACATAAAGGACAGAAAGAAGGACAGCTGGATCCAATAATTGACGTAGCAGCTGACACCTGTACAAAGTACATACATAGGTACATAACTCGGGACTTTCATATCGATAACCTTATCGCTCGTGGTAACAGGGGTAAAGAGTACATACAGGGGTTCTTTTAGCTCTAACGTCACTGGCTTGATGCGACCAAAAATTTCTAAAAAAGATTTCGGTTAAACCTTTTTTTACTACAGACCCTCCAGTCTTCTCCCATTGTACGATAAGATGCACCGCGCCTTGTCGTCAAGATGGCTCAATACCGCACTTAACCTTGCGGAACACCCAAGAAGAATCGAGTTGCCTCTGTTTTTATGTCCGTCCCTAAATCCTGCGTCGTATCACCAGAGACTTGGCGCTGCCGCATCGTCTTCTCGAGTACGGCCTTCACGATGGAGGGTACAGCATCGTTGTTTGCACATGCAAGCTGATGCGTTTCCAGAGGATTCCCCACTTCCTGAAAGTGACTCCCAGAAGGGTATTCGTGTTCAAAGGCTGCCAAAACAATGCCGGGGTTGTGGTGCCTTGTCGCAAACCACTTTTCCTAACCAACCTGGATATTATGATCTGAGTCGCAAAGCTGTTCGAAACTGGATCCGGCCTGAGGTGGCGAACCGTTCTCGCCGTGAGGATAAAGTCTACGAAGATGCGCTTAAACACTTCGATCACGAGGAGCTGAAAAAGAAGGGAGTTGACGTGGAAGCGCTTATGCTAAGTATAGTTCCTCCAGAGGCAAGCCAACGACCACCCCCAAAGGTACCCTTATGTGATAGATGCCATTCGTTACTACATAATCATTCTGGAGAGTCGATATATCACCCTTCGATCGAATCTATTAGGGATACTATCCTCGAATCCCCGTATAAATATAACCACGTCTATCATGTTCTCGACGCTGCCGATTTCCCCATGTCCCTACTACCGCAACTTTCGCACCTGCTCGATACTATGCCTCTAAGGACCAAGAACCGCCGTGCTAGTACGGGAAAATTCTATAGCAATCAGAAGATGGAGCTAAGCTTCGTGGTAACGAGATGCGATTTACTCGCGCCGACGAAAGTTCAGGTAGACAAGATGTTTCCATGGTTGCAGGAGGTACTTCGGGAGGCTCTTGGACGGACGGGACGTAATGTACGTCTGGGTAATCTAATAGCCCTTAGCGCAAAACGGAGTTGGTGGACTAAGGAGCTCAAAGAAGATGTATGGAAACGGGGTGGTGCTGGTTGGATGGTCGGCAAGGCAAACGTTGGCAAGAGTCAACTTTTCGAAGCTATCTTTCCCAAAGGCAGAATGAATCTAACCCCTTCGAGACATCAAATCACAGTTGAAATGCACGCAAGGGCACCAAGCAAGGACGCAACTTCAATGGAGAAGGCCGGGACCCAGCCAGAACTAGCCCAGGAAGACTTGGCAGCTCGGGAGATAGAAGATATGGAAGAAGAGGAGCTTGACGAATACGCCCTTTTGCCGCCCGCAATCAAGGAGACTAATTACCCAGAAATGCCGCTAGTTTCCGACCTACCAGGGACAACAGCATCGCCAATCCGGATTCCATTCGGCAACGGCCGAGGAGAGCTAATCGACCTTCCTGGTTTAGAACGCACTGGTCTTGAGAAGTATGTCAAGGAGGAACACCGCTTATCTTTGGTTATGCGCTCTCGAGTCACACCAGAACAAATGACGCTTACACCAAGTCGGTCCTTACTTCTTGGTGGCTTCATCCGCATTACCCCGAGAGAGCCAGCACCAATCATGCTGGCATATGCATTCACGCCAATCGAGGCGCATGTTTCAAGGACGGAGAAGGCGATTTCAATCCAGAACCAGAGAGGCGAGGTCAACGTTGAAAATATAGCAGTACCAGGGACTGGCGAGAAGACCAAACTAGCAGGCTCTTTCGAGCTCAAATGGGACATAACAAAGAACCGAACTGGACCGTTGATGAGAAAAGAAGCCGTTGGTTTAAGCATAGACCGGCTACCGTACCGAGTTCTATCTACTGACATCCTAATTGAAGGTGTCGGGTGGGTAGAAATCACTGCTCAGGTGCGCACGAGGGACCTTTTCAGGGAAAGACCAGTATCGGAAGTGGACACGCCGCCTGTTGAGAAACCTGAAGAGAAAAGAGAACTTTCAGCATTAGAAAGGCTAGAAGCTCTTGTCGATGGTCCTAAAAAGAAGGCTCCCCCTCCTCCCCCTGTTGAAGAGCAAGGCGAGAATGCCGAACCCAACTGGCCTATCGTGGACGTGTATACTCCCGATGGCAAGTTTATCTCTTCTCGTAGGCCCATGAACGGCTGGATGTTAAACAAGCCAAAGGTTACTGCAGCGTCGCGGAGATCCCGGCCCCGAAGGAGTATGAAGGGCAGGAAGAAACTTGAGAAGCATCGGAGGCGGGAGAGAGAGGCTACTGCTGCCGCTTCGTTTTAACACCATGACATCTCGACTCCAACTATTGTACGTCTAGTTAAAGGAAATAAATATGCACCAATATAAAAATATATAGATTGTATAAATCCTGTACCATGCGTGTATTAGTTAAGAAAGCCGACATACGATGATGAGATTTGAAGATGCAACTCTTTCTCACGTGAAATTGACTTTTGAACTTTAAATCAATTACGTAAGATGGGTCGGACCCTGAACCGGGATCCTGGGTTAGGTGTGTACACTGTGCAGTACAGTATGTACAATACATAAGCTTTGATGAGTAAGCAAACTACGACGCGGGGCAGTGGTGGGGTGATGCTTTGAACGGTAACAACCTGATTGTTCTCCTTTTGGTCCATTTTGTCCATTTTGTCCATTTTGTCCATTTTGTCCATTTTGTCCATTTTGTCCATTTTGTCCATTTTGTCCATTTTCCCCACGACATGCACCACTCCCACCCATTGTCTAGAAACTTCAAGACTAGAATGCAACATTCCTTAGTGACATTATTTAGTATGTTTATTATAAATTGGGGTTATATGAAGCTTAAGGCGGAATAAGCCAATAATCTAAATCCCCTCTTCATTATTACTGGTTAAGCCTCTTGTCGGGTTACCCGTTCCTCTGTCTCGTGCTTCTAAAAGTGCCCAGTCAGCGTTGTTATTCTAGTATTACCCCAAGCTTTTTCTTATTATTACATATTACATATTACATATTACATATTACATATTACATAGTGTACACACATACACACATACACACACATACACTCGGGTGTACCTCGTGCGCGACTTCCTGAGCGAGGGAGAGGACAGACAAGAGGCTGCGAGACAAAAAAAAAAGAAGCGGGGGACAGAGCAGAGTTGACGGCGCGGGGGCGAAAAACAAATCAATACGAAACTTTTTGGAGACTTTCTGAAATCTCATATAATCGCTCATTCTAGAAAATCCAACCCGCCTGCATACAAAAACGCGCACCCCTCGGGGCGTCCGAAACGTTACAGACAAGAACAAACAAACAAACAAACAAACATACAAACAAAAAATAAAAATAAAATAATACTGCCGAACAACTAGAAGCCCTAGAATCAAATCGACTGCGGGTGAAGCCGAGAAAGCAGGCCGTTGTTGATCCTTCGATATCCCTCGACCGTTCCAAGGCCTACACGTATGCATACATAGACGATCGTTACTCCTCCCTGCTCCGCAGAAATCTGCACGTAGGAGCAGCAGCAGAAAAGCAGCAACGCGCCGCAGGTAACGTAGCGGGAACACAGATGCAGTATACCGTCTTCATTCGACATATTCCCCATCCTCGGTCGTAGGGAGAGAGAGCAGTAAATACCAGGAAACGAGTCGTAGAAGTTTCTTGCTCGACCTACGTACACACATCCATCCATACATTATCTCTACTCGTCTCTTATTATTATCTACTTACCCCTACGATTTTCCACACCACTCCACTTATACGTAAGGTACACACAGAAATACACGCGTAAGCAATGTCTGCGCAAAATTCCCAACGCCAGCGCGACCGCCCCCAGGGCTCCCAGACCCAGGTCCAGACGGAAGCGCCCACCAGCTCTAGAACACAGACCGGCACCCAAGCCCCGGCGTCGGCAGCCCCCGCTATCCTGCGGCTTCGCGGCGCGCACCCGGCTTCCGATCACCGCGTCCAATGGGCCGAGTCCGTAGTTGATAATGAGGGACTGGGACGAAAGCGGTCAAAAGGTAAATTTATATCCCTCATTTTTACTCTTCCCCTAAGCACTCGACTCCTGAATTTCAATTTTTCTAACGGGTAGTGATAATAGTATGCTGCATATACCACCCACCCAGCCAGGTAGGCGAGTCTTCCGACGAGTCTTCATCAGACGATGACTCGTCGTCATCGGACTCGGATTCAGACCGCGGCATGCCAGACGATCCCCGGGAGAGGGCACTAGCAGCGCGACGGCGTCAACAACACGCCCATAATCACAATCACAATCACGACCACGACCATAGCCATGGAAACGGAGGCGGAGGCGGAGGAGCCCAGCGCAGGCGCAGACCGAGTCCTAACGCCTATGAACGACAACCGAAACCAAAGCCTAGATCTAATCCAGGAGGCGACGGTCGTAATTCGGGTAACCGAGGGAACCCTGGTGCCGGGGGCGGGACTCGATGATGAACAGCTCGACTTAGAGTCTAGTCTAGCCCATCAGGGCTTTCGCTCAAGACGACAGTTACTAGGACACCTACGCATTGGATACGACAAACGGATTGCCTTGGTCCAGAAAACCAGGGCAGAAAACGCAAAGACGAGGAGGCTGCAGCAGCTAGAAAGGGGCTAACCTCGCCGCTGAGCGAAGCAAACGAAGTGGAGTATAACAATCCCGGATCCGCGTTCTGAAAGGGGGTGAGGGGGAAAGGAGAGGAGAGGAGAGGAGGGGAGACAAATACGACGTTCTCATTCGGGTAATCAGCCAATCGTCAGTCCGGTCAACCTAATGCGAAGGACAGAGAATAACTGCATACATACGTGTGAGAGGAACTGCTGTTGCTACTAGGGGAGTTGGCCATACACAGAGTGGGTAAGCAGGTAGTGAGTGTCAAAGTCGAAGTTATACCCAGGTCGTAGAAAAAAGGGGGAGGCTTGGCGCCGCAACAACGAACACAAAACACAACGACAAGTTCAAGATAGTCCGAGAAGAAAAGGTTACATGCAAATCATAGCCCAATTGAATATTACGTGCATGCCGTGCCATAGTACACATAACTCACAGTAACACCTGTTCATCTTAAATCGCCTGTCTGCCTTTCAGAGGTTCTTTTTGTAAATTGAACGCGATCTGCCTGCCTATCTCTGCAATAAGCCCAACGACATATTCAAGCTGGTCTTTTTTCCACAGTGATTCTTTCCACTTCTCTCTCTCATCATCAACCTCCCCTCTTCACCATTTTCCATCCTCGCCTTCATCTCTCTCCTCAACTAGGCTAAGCCATCTCAGCTAGTTCGTCTAATAAGCAAATTTTAGCTAGACATTATTCCTCCTAATTTTTTCATTCGTCTAATGCTGTTAAAAAAAAAAGGTCGCCATCAGATGCTAGTTCGGAACGGGAACGGAATATAGACGGCAATCTTAGGATCTCTTTTTCAGATGAATACGACTCCGGGGACCTTCCGCTCGTCCCCTATGTTTCCTATGTCCCCTCGCAGAGCTATAGTACATGACTGGGCTGGGCTGAAAGCCCTCGGCCGGGTTAATATTACATTCTAGCAAGTTGCTGGATTCAACTTGTGGTTGTGGGCACGTAGTCGGCACAGCCAACTCGAACTACTGAAATATTTAGGGAGAGTTAGGGATCAGCATGCTGGGGACCTGCTTCCTCATGACGCCTCTTCTGCGTTGTTCAGGATGCGGTACGCCTTGGATAGCCCGAGGTTCCTTCATCAGTGAAGGGTCCAACCGAGCCGGCATTCTCGTTGTCACTGAATGATAATCTCCCTGAAACTTCGAGCTTGGTACAGGAACGCTGGCAGTTCTCCATATGTGATCAGATGTGTCAGTTAGAAAAGACGTTGGTTTCATGTGTCTAGATGGTATCTGTAGGCCGGGTAGGGATGCCGAGACGCCATGCGAGGCCCTTATCGTTGAGAGGCGTGATAATCCCGAAGACAGGCTGGTTTTGCCGCGAGCTTTCTTGGCGAGAATTATGTCATCAAAAAGCCGAATCTCTGGGTTGGTAGCAGGCTTTATCTCGCGCTCGTGGATGAATTCATTGAATGCTAATGCATGATTAGCAAATACCATAAGATAGGAGCTAAGAATAGTAACATACCTTGTGTCTCCTTCATCATCGTTACGTACTCTTGATGGTCATGCGGCAAGCTTTTGATGAAGCCATTCATGTCGAATCCATAAAGTTGGCCGTTGTTCTTTTGTTCTTTTGTTGGCCGACCGAGATACTTGCGGTACGTATAAAGGACACTCGCAAGACAACGAACGAAAGAAGCCCGGACCTTATCGGCATTGAAAGCAACTGGACACACGAGACAAACACATCCAAGACAACGTCCGTGCGAAATTGCTCCACAACCAGAGCACTTATACCATCCGTCGCCTTCACAACGCTCATCGCAAATCGTACAGGTCGAGGTTGAATCGTTACCACTATAATTGAAGCAATGCCCTTCGACCCACATTGTAGAGTCGGTGTTCTCCACAGGCTGAACAAGCATGTTAGGCATCACCGTAGATGCTGCTAGGGTTGACTGGGCGTAGGTTGATGGAGCGTAACCACCATAAGACGACTGCGAATCGATCGAAATGGCTGAGATGGACAGGTTTGACTGATGGCCGTTAAAGAATGGCGCGTGGGGTCGGTGGACCGGGGCGTGGCCAAATGACGAACTGCGTCGGCCTTCCTTCTCGAAATGACCTGATCTCTTTTCTCTCAGCGTGGACGATAATGCGTATCCAGAATCACTTCTAGAAACTGGTGTAGCAGGCATAGGCGGGAAATTCACAGAGACTGGTGACACTGATGACGGTGGGCTCGTCTTATTCGATTTGCTGGTGGTAGGCCGGTCAGCCCCAGGCTTTGCGTGCAAGAACGCATTAAAAACAGGTGGCTTGACGGTATCTGCGGGCTCGGCTTCCCCAAAAGAAGACGAATTCTGTGCGACCCATTTGTACAGCATACTTGGCGAGGCTTTCTCGTTGACAAGAGCACTATTCTCGACGGAGAAGGAGTCATAGGGGAAAGACTCAATTGCATAGGGAGGCGGCCCCGTCGTGACGCCATAACGCAAGCTATGCGGCGCCGCAAATTGCAAGAGTGAAAGAAGCTTCCGACGATGTTGTTTTGGGAGGCGGATTGGTAATGCCGTTGCATCAATTGTGTCCTTGTCGAGATCAACCAAGACATAATCGTCATCTGGAAGCACAATATTGTCGTATCTTCGCTCAATACCGACGATATAAGGGCAAGGTGCGTCAAGAGCAGATATAAGTCGTGCCGGTAGGATAGGTATAAAAATACTTGCCCACGCTAACGGATATAATAAGCTGACCAGAGCGTGGGAGGCTAGGTGCAGCATCGCGGTATGCGAAGAGAGCAAGATAATCCGAGATTCTGACATGGCATACTCGAAAAGGGCGACAATATTCTCGAGGGAGAGAGACCTGAACAGGGCATAAAGATCAGTATTGCGAGAACCCGGAAGCTCGTTGATGGCCTCCTTCCGCGCATACAGGCGTAGCTCACGTACACCGATCTCAACCTGGGTCTTAGAACCGAGAGGGCTGAATGCTTCGGTGCATAGGTTAACCACGTATCGTTCCAGTGGTTGCCAACGGCCGACTCGCGGAGAGCTTGGCGGTATGCGTAGAAGCCCGCCGTCCGACATTGGCACAATGACAGCCCGAAGCCAATCCTTCCAGAAGCCCACTCTCGTAACATCTCTGCCAAGAATGCCATACGCTCGAGGTGTCCAGAGGCCACTCTCACCAGCCGTCAAACCATCTATCTTGGACGCGGCACCATGTCTCAGGGGTCGCAACATTTCAGTCATCAGACTAATTTTCTCCTCTACCGCACTAATTTGATCATCAAGTGTCTCACGAGCGTGGGACCCAGACGGTATGGTCGGAAGCTTGGCAAGTAATTGCGATAGATGCGCACGTTCTGCAGCGAGACGTGCCCCAAGGCTGCCCGCAAGCTCCCTCTCCTCCTCGGACATATGCCTCTGCCTCCAACGCTCGCAACGCCTCTCGATGTCCTCCGCAACATCCATCGTGAGTGCCGTCCATACAATAACGGTTACGCCGTAGATCTTAGAGTTGTCATCCGATGTCATTGTGAACCCATGCCAAGTCGACCTTGGCCTGTCATCTGACGACACGATATGAATGTCGTTAGGGAATGCGAACATAGGCACATAATCTGGAAACCTCCCCCTCTTACTTAAACCCTCCAAATCATCTCGGGGAGGGTACCGATCTAGGAGCTCGGGTTCAAAGCGTCGCTTCAGAGGGTGCATATCCGGATCGAGGTTAAGAGGTTCGGGTGGAGGGATGACGGAGTTGTAGCTACTCATCCTCCTCGTAGTCCGAATTGAAGCTAGTTTGCAGAAGTCAGTACAGAACGTCGAATCTCTGTTGCAGTTATGATCGAAAATTTCCGCAGGTAATCCTTCTACCAGCTCATTTAAGAAAGTCCTTCGGTCTAGGTTGCTAAAAGGGGCCATACCAGGTCTCGGAGTTGTTGGCTGCTTTCGCACGCTATTCATGTCCTTGAAGCTTATTTTCCGTCTTATGCTACCACGGATGCTCCCCCTGATGCTCTTCATAGGACTCATCCTTCCACTTGACTCGTCAGCTTTTATCCTCTCTGCGCGCGGGTTCACCATCGGCGGCCGCGATTGCGTTTTGGCACCGGCCGAGAAGCTCAGATCTTCTAAGAAGTTTTCCCTTTCGGCTGCGAACTTAACGAGGGCCTTGTCGAAGTCGAAATCGCCAAGGAGGTTTTCATGGCCGGCGGCCCCAGGAAGAGGGATGGGCCTGATAGTAGCACTGCTCCTATTACTCCTCGTATTCCCATCTACTTCTTCGAGGGTGTGGATCGAACTAGTAGATATCTTGGAGAGCCTGTTGTTAGAGTTTTGGCGGGAGTGTCTAGCACTGGACTTGTTGGCCGGGGAGGCGGCCGGGTCGGGCAGGTCCTCGTCGGGCTCGCAATCCTCGGTAATGGTGGCTTCTACCTGAGTGGCAGAAGCTGGAGGTGGGAGATCATGGTAGGACACGGATGCGAGGCCCGCAATCCAGAAGTAGTCCGCGAGCGGTGCCGAAGGGCTCTCCATGACATCTCAGGTCTATAGCTTTCCCCTTTTTTTTCTTAGTCCAAATTGAACAATGCTAGGTTAAGTGAAAACTGTAATAAATTTGGAAAAGTCAAACTAATTTTTTAAAGCAAGCTTTGCCAGGGGCCCCCTAGATATCAATCAACAGGTTGAACTGCGTCAGTTTGTTCCTTTCTTGTTTCTCAGACCCGGTTTGTGGGTATCAGTGGCTTGGATACCAGTGTCCGATGCATATATTTTGTCGTACAAGCAAAGTGACGAGAGAGGTTGCGATTGAATGACTGGTCAGATATGACAAGGTAGTGTTGAGCAGCAGGATCTGTGATGCGGAGCGTGCTCGAGGGGATATCGATATATCGTCTTTACTGAAGCAAACTACCGTAATAGACCAAAGCCAAAACGGCCATTGACATGAGATGGGTATCGACAGATCAAATATTGCTTTTCACTTAACGACCTGTCAGTTAGTTGATCCGTCCTCCGAAAGGAGCTTGGTAGCCGCAAGACACTTTTCAGTTGTCGTCTAGTGCCCGGTCGTAAATTTGTTTCGACGGTTATCTTGTTTTTCGGGCAGAAGCAGCCGATGTGCTGTTTATCTGCCCTGTTATTTTTTGCTTGGATCTATTTTGGCGCCGGGTAGACACGCACGATTTATTGGTATGCAATGCTTCTAAAACAGCCTTAGACAATCATGCAGTGCTTTAATGCAGCTGCATGCCCCTATGCGGCGTTATCGTTCGGGTGGGTGGTCAACGGGATGCGGGCGGGCAGTTCGAGGTATGTAAGAGTTTGTTGGATTGGATGGGATGGAATAAGGATGGGCGGATGAAATGGGAATTTGACTGGATAAGGAGAGAAAACAGCTTCCTAAGCTGGCAGGCTGGCAGGCCGGTAGGCTGGATGATCTCCAAAAGGATGTGTGTTCAAGAAACGAGTGTTTTCAGCAATGCAAAAGATCGATCCCCAGGTTCGTGGAGCACTCTGGAGCAACTTCGGAACCTCCAATGACGGACTAGTTGAACGAGTGGTGGTGAAAAGAGGGAAAACAAACCCAGAACTACCTTTGAATTAAACCCTTACATAGGTTTAGGTAGGTAGGTAGGAAGGGGCAGAGGGGCCTGGGTGACATTGGATGTGGCACTTGGATGTGCGCGCAGTGAAGATGGTTGATGAACGAAATGAAGGAAAAGATGCAGTTGGACAGTCGGGGGGCTACGTACCCGCTAACTAACCCCACCATCTTTTCCTATCTAGGTCTAGTTGTACATAGTGGGATTTTTTACGTATCACGTATCGCACAACATACTATTATGTAGGTAGCTCCAGCACCAGACCCTGAACCCCTGTCCCGCCCCCCTCTTACAGTCTTACAGGGGTAAGAGCACTGCTTTAGTTAGTCTGGCAGTTGGGAAAGCCACATTTTAGGGGGTTATCCGAATCGCCTGCAAGATATATTTTGTAGGCAGCTGCATGCATAGGTACATACCTGTAACCTAGGTTAGGTTGTTAGCAGTTTCCGATCCAAAGGTCATTAATGGTATAGGTTGTACATAGCATGTTCCATGCAGGTGTATTTGAATGTGCAAAGTTGAGTTGTAGAAGGCTCGTGTCTATTCCATACGGTCATTCCATAACCCTTTTTCACGTCTAGCGTCTAGCGTCTAGCGTCTAGCGTACAATGTTTTTCTTTTTTTCTTTCATCATCATTGAACACATGCATCTGAACCTCAAAAGGTTAGGTACCTGCATATAATATCAGGAGTCAGGTCCTCGAAAAGAAAAGACATCCTTGACTGGACAATTCACCTACGACAGACAGAATAGCATGGATGCTTGCCTCATGCGGTGAAACGCTATCTTGAACAACACATCTTCAACAAGCTGTGCATTCGGACATACATCCAGCCCTCTCATCATCCGTCATCCTACCTGCGTAATATCTGGCTATTGAAGAATACAACATTCTCTAGTGCGCATCTTGAAACCACAAAATGATAAAGATGCAACTATTCTTAGCGAGATGATTAGTGCGTCTTTATGCCACTATGCTACATACGCCGTTCAATACAAGGTCGAATACCCATAGCTTAGGGCAATAATAAAAGCCGTTAGAGATGCGACCAATTCTTTAGCCAGTATCCGGCGTCAAAGAAATACTCGCAACTACTGGTCCGGATATTTGGTCTTGCGTACCTTGCAGATACATACACTACATAGGCGATGGTCATCTATTAGTGTCTACAGTATCCGGACCGTTGCTTCTCAATGTCTTTATTTCCCCTATTTTTAATATTTCCCTTCCCTTCTAAGTGGAGGGGAGACGTGCTCAACTAATAAGGGTCGTCGGAGGAATTGGAGGAATATTCGCATGTAGGTATCTAATGGTTCCTGCATAGCCTACCATCCAGGGGCATTACACCCTCTTCAACGCGTCTTGACGAGTTGAGAAATCTCCTCTACCCCTATTAGTCCCAGATTGAAAGATACGGCTCGTATCTGAACATCAGCAGAAACTTTTACATACATACCTACATCGAATGCCACAGAAGGCCACTATCTATTTCGAGTATGGCCTGGCCTGTTATGTGGTCTTTCAGATGCAGACATGCTCCACTGGATCCTGTCTGGGAGCCTGTGGGCTAGCGATGGTCTGCTGCTTTTCTAGTGTAGGCTTGCTAGAAACTAGTGGCTAAGACATGCCCCCATTATGGTGCATACAGAGGGGCCAGAGCTTCCTACATATCCAGGGGTTCATATCGAGATCATTAAGTAAAGAAGCCCACAGTCTTAGCCGGGATTAGCGCACGGTTGTAATCGTCTGTGGTATTCGTTCCTTTTGTCTTTTTTCGAGGCTACTTATTTACACCCAGGCGAGCCTAAGCACGATATATTATCAGCGACGCATCTCGCCCGATCTTGTCGTCCAATCTGACCCAATAGATACGTGATTCTCGGGTAGAGAGCCAACGTGTCAGATCAACAATAATAAGGCGGCGGTAGCACTGATTCATATCACATAATTTATTCGGGTTACAGTCAGGCACATACATACCATATTATGGCCTCTGGCCCCGGTGAACAACATCCTATCAGTCAAAGCTAGTTAAAGCCGATGGTTATTTGACGCCGCTGCAGATATCCAGACGGAAATCGGCCAGTATTTGTTTCAGGCGTGTGGAGTTTTGTCATGGATCTAGCGGCCAGGCTACACAGTAGACAGCCGAAAATATGGGAAGATGAGAAGATGGGAAATCTATCGAGGCTCAATAGCACCCAGCTATTACTTTTTTTTTCAGAAATCGAAAGAGGGCGGTCGACCCCGAGAGCCGTGCCATCAATCCGACCTTACAAACAACGGTGAGGTGACCGCTCTTCGCGGTTCCTGGTCTACGCCGATCCTGGGCGTTCCGCATACCAAATTCTTTTAGAACCTGTTTGGAGATGTTTGGAGATACTCAGCTCTTAAGCTAAGCTTCCTCTTGTCTTGGACATCCAAGTGGGTTTCATACATATATACAGAAACTTGAAATTCCGGGGTGGGAAGGCCGAGGACATGCAAATCTGAAGCTTGTCATATTCTCGTCAGAGAGTTCCGATCCTTGTACCTGCCTGACCTTGTATGGACCTGTCATCTTCTTACAGGATTTGTATTCGCGATTGACAAGCTCGTGGGATCCTTGCAACCGTTCATGGAGGCCATGGAGGCCATGGAGGCACCAATCCACTTGATCCATGGATCCATGCTTACGTCCTAACCTAGTAACCTAGCATCAGGTACAGCATTGCCGTGCCGCACAAGTGACGTAGCTGGAACAAACGCTCGTCAGAGCGGATTCGTAACTTAGGTAGCTGACTTGGTCACTTACATACTATGTATGTACTGACATTCAGTTGAGGTCAGGTATGTTACATTGTCACGCCATAACAGTCAAGTAACGATCATGGCAATTTCGGTATTACGAGAGCCTGTCAGCAATACGGGCCGTTAACCGCGTTGCTGAACTGCCCGCGTATCACCTAAAGCCAATGGCTACGTTTGAAGTTGATCGCCAGCATTCAAATGGGGTTGCAATTCACGACTTCCAAAATAGGCCACACACCCCAAGCTATTCATCCTGTTCACTACCTAATTAGTGATTGATCGTCGGCCAAGCTTATATGAAATTATCGAGATCCTCTGGTCCTTCGCCTGTTCCGGAGATTCGGTTATCTGGTTGCTGCCCACTTTCAAGTCTGACGATGGACAATGCTGGAATAATACGCTATAGAAGGATTCAATATTGTCCTGGTGTCCGATGAAACCTTCCGGACCGGAAAGGATATTTAGCAGCCGCACACTTAATAATAGCACGCAAAGGGCAGCATCGTAGGAGTTTTCCGGGAATCCCCAACACTTGCGAGGTGTGCTATATCATGAATGAAATCATATACCTAATTTATTTTTCGATGTCGTGCCCAGAGAATGGGAGCCGCTCATCCGCTGCGCTTGGGCCTCGGAAATCCATACAGCCCGATTCTCTCGCCCGAGATTTTTGAACGATTGTGATGGTGCTATTATTGTTGGAACTGGTTTGGTGCAACTACATAGTAGAAGATCGGCTTCTTCTTCACCGCTCATGAACTAGGACGCAAGACACTTCTCTACGCCCACCTACGTCCTCTCCAGGAAATAAAAACCCGGGTGTGCATAATGCATCTGCATGCGTACCTGGACTCGTGTATGCGTCAAGAGCTTAGCCTTAGGCACTCGGTACGCTTCTGGTTGGTCAATGGGATAGATACTAGGTTAGGATCCTTCAAGTCTGAGCGCCGCCGCCATTACGCCAGCTAGCTAATCCATGAGTCGATCTAAGGACACGAACATGCGGCCGTTTTAGTGGCGTACATGGACGTGGTGTATGGTACGTATGTAGGCAGAACGGTGCTACGTAGGAGAATTTCTATCTGACAGCTCATTTTCCCAAATATCCGGATAGGTGTAACTGGAGAAGCTTGCGTGTCGTCGCGAATATGCTACGATATTTATAACATCGTAGTATATCATGTCCTGTATACATACGGCTCATAGGGCGGTGATTCTATGCAGAAGGGACTGGTTGGGGATACTTCATCGTTAATTGGGTAAAATGTTCAGATAGGTAATATAGGGGACTGTTGGTTTTCCGGGATCATCCCAACCCCAAAGACCCGGATTATACCATGATAGATATTAGTGGCAATAAATCTTTCGGGTGCATGCTGGTAGAATGGCGATGACACGCCTATCCTACACCATCCTGCCACAAACATGTCGTGATCCCGATGTAGTTCAACCCATTAGTTTCATACCTCGTAAGCCGCGTAAACATCGCCTTGATAACCAGTCATGCCCCGTGTGTGTAGCACCTGATGCGAATACTAGAACCTACGGGTCGTTGCGGCCAAATATCGTAGTCTCTCCTCGTTGTAACCAGTGAAGCCCGGATTTGTACCAAGTCTGTTCACATCCCGTCGACAACCAGCCAACCCGCTCACTTGACAATCCTCGTGCCCAGCTTCCCCGTAGACAAGAACCCCTTATTCCCCATCTCGCTCCGCCAGCTTATCCCCAACACCCCAAACACTATCCTCCCATCCTCATCAATCTCCAACTTCGTCCCATCCGCCCCCGGCCCCCCCTCCTCCTCCACCTCCTCCTCCACCACAAAGCAGCACTGCTCAACCTCCCCCGGACGCAACACCGGCTTCCCCCCCGCACCGCCCGCAATCTCCCAATTGCAATCCCGGTACCGCAGCCCGGGCTCCAGATCCAAGCCCACGCGGGACAGCTGCATGACGTCCTCGCTGCAATTCTCAAGCTGCGCTTCCATCACCCATTTCCTCCTATCCCGTCCCCTTTTCTTCTTCTTCTCCTCCTCCTCCTGCAGCCCATCCGACTGCGACGGCAGCGGCGGCGGCGCCACCAACGCGCCGACTTTGGTGCGCACGATCAGCGACCCCTTACATATGAACTGGTACAGCTTCCTAAAGGTGCGCGTGCGCCCCGAGGTCTCCGTCGCTTCGTAGTAGCTGACCGTCACGGCGAGCACGTGGTTGCCCTCTTCCTTGAGGTCGAAGTTGACGATGCGCTGGAGCGTGTCGCCGGGCTCGAGGTCTGTGCCTTTGCTATGGCTATGGCTGTGACTTTTGCCGTCATTAGTGTCGTTACTGTCCGCGATGCCGTCGGCACCCAGCAGGGGCAATTTCAGCGCCGTGCTGGACCCGGGCGTTTTCATCTCGGCCTCGATGCGCACGTCGCGGGTGAATTTGCGCTTGGGCGGGTGTAATGGGCTCGTCGGGGCTAAGTTGGCTGCGGGTGGCGCCGCGGCTGCGGGGAGTTCGCCCGGGAGCGGGACATCGTGGTTGGCGCAGAGCGTGCAGCTGAATGTCTCGCCGACGTATGCGGAGCCGAAAGAAGGCGGCAACTGTAAGATTGGTGCGAGGAGGAATGGGTCTGGGTTTGTGTCGCCGTTTGTGTTGTAGGCGAGGGAGGCGGGGATTGGAGGTCCCTGCTGGGCCGATGCAGGTAGGGAGATAGGTGTTGGTAAGGGGTGTTGGACTACGAGGGAGGGCCTAGATAGTCTAGTTTATAGTAATATAATATTAGAACCTATTGCCAACAAAGTAAGGATATGTGCAGCGTTGGTGGGTTACCTGAGGACCTTCAAGGAGACGGAATGAGGTTCCTTGGGATCTATCGACGGATAGCGTTGGTGACTCATTGTGTAAGAAGTATCAAGGGAAGAGACTCATGAATGGTCCCTAAACGAAATCGGAATATATCCCTGAGCTTGAGCATGAATCGTTTAGGTTACATGGTCATGGAATCAAGCTAATAGAGTTAATTAATGGAGCGTTGCGACTCTTTGGCGGTCCAGATAAACTGACGTACAATGGCCTTATCGATAAGTCGTCTATATTAAGCTTATGCTCCACTGAAGCATAGGCGTCTGGGCGTATCACACTAATGAATGTGATGAGACCTACCTAATTTACATAAGCAAGCGATATAACAAACTTGTAGAGCTATGGTTTACGTACACGGAGGTATTTCGGTACATACCTGCTCAAAAACAAAGAATGTACTGTTCAGAGAATAAATGTCAAATAATACTATCTAGACTGCTGTACGGGGCGAGCTACCTCTGATAGAGCCTTAAACCCCGTTATGATGTCCCTTTTTGACCGCATTCTTGAATATCTCATTATCTCCTTCAATACCACGAACCCTTCTGCTAAGGTACAGAAGATGCGTCCTGTAGGTCTCCAAACTTAAGTCTTGATCATAGCCCGGGGGGAGGGGGGACCTAGACACGACCAATTAGCTTGCATACACGAACATCTCTTGGTACGATGACTTACAGCGCCATAGCTTCCAGCTCCAGGTGGAGGGGGAGGGGGAGGTGGTGCAGATCCTCCAGGAGGCGGTGGCGGAGGGGCTTCGCTAGGTGGAGGAGGTGGAGGGGAGACGGCAGCACCAGGAACTGGCGGTGTTGGTGAGCCTTGCTGAGCGGCTTGCGCAGCAGCATAGTAGTGCTGATAATACTGCACGTATCTGGAATGGCGTTAGCGATCTTGCATTTCCTCGTGGGCACATTACTTACGCTGCGTAACCACCGTATGCCGCATAGGGGTCTTGGCCGCCGTAGTACTGGGCGTACTGGGCAGCATAGTCGCTGTTAGCATTATGTGGGCTGCCTTGACCGGGAGGCGCAGGGGAAGCCGAGCTTGCAGCAGGATTGGGCGAATTATTGTAACCAGCGTATCCACCATAAGAGCCCGAGCCACTCCCTTGTCTATCTCCATATCTATCACCGCCGTAAGATCGATCGCCATAAGACCTCTCGCCGCCGTAACCACCACCATTGCCATTATGGCTACCATGACCACCGTAGTGCTGGCGCGGTGGTCGGCTCTTGAATTCTTCGTACTGCTCCTTAACATTGGTGATCAGATCTTCGCATAGCTCCTTGGCTTTCTCGACCATCTTAGGATCGGGACCACTATATATATCGTTAGATAACTAGGACAGGGGGACGTGCACCATATACTTACGCAACATGAAGGTACATGTCGTCATCGCTTTCACGGTTAGTCGAGGCTTCAAGGTAGCCTGACCCGCGTCCTTTGATTTGGACACGACATCCGGTCTCCTGTTGAATATGCTTCACGTAAGAACCGCCGTGTCCGACAATCTGCGCTCTAAGGTTAAAACCTCGAATCTCTTCGAGACCAATCGGGATTTTCGCCTCTGGCCATTTACGCTGCTCGACATTAGTAAACGTCTACTATAGAAGAAGTATAATTAGCTGACCCTTCCAAACTCATCACGTTCGACTTGTTCCTGGTCTCTCCGTCGGAACCGTCGCTCGTCAACCAGATTTGGGAGTTCTTGCTTCATCAATTCTTCGATCTTGGTAACAGCAGCTTCCAGCCCTGTCTTGGAGGTGCTGGTGATGTGAAGGAATAAAGGGGGGTTCTAAGTCATCTTTAGTCCCATGAGCTTTCTTAAGTTGATCGAGGAGTTTCTCTTACCGATGGCGTGGCCATGCTTTTATCCGGGTAATAATTGCCTCGGGTTGTGACATCTTTCAAAGTCAACTATGGTTCTAACAATAAATCAATAAACGGCTAGGAGGTATCGTACCAGCTCCGGTTTCTTCTTTAATCTAAATCAAGCAGCGGAGGTCAGCAGATGCCACAGAGGGGATTCGTGTGCGAGCTAGCACGCTTCCATGTAAGCAGAACTCTTCGCACACGATGATAATACACTGGAAAAGAACCACCAAGCTAGGACTGAACTCTGGTGCAAATCAGTAGGAATTAACCAAGGGTATTATTTACCATCTTCTGTGTGGAACTCTTCGTGAGCAGGTATCGGTTTCGCAGGTCGTTCACTTCGATGTCCTTGATATAATCGCCGTCGGCAATGTACATTTCGCCATTGATATTATTAGTGTTGATGGCGCCCGGCGTGCCCTCAGCATTCGGACCGGGAGATGCTGACGAAGCTGATTTGATCGGGGGTACGTCTACGTGTTGGATTCCTTTCTTCGCCTGGATCTGTGCATTGATCTTAGCGGCGGCGGCAGCTAGAAACGGACAGTTAGTTCGACGAAGTTATGAAGCTCCATTCCGGGGAATAAATGCATACCTGCAGCAGCTGCCGGGTCGACAGGACTCTTCTTAGACTCATGCGAGTTGTTTTCTCCATCCTTACCCAGTGGACTACGTTCGCGACCATCGCGGCCATGGTCAGATCTCTTCGCTGGTGGGGAACGCGACCTGCGATCGAATCGAGAACGGCGCGGTTCGGGTTCGGTCTGGTCGAACCGAGATCGTTTCGCGGTGCGTCGTTCCGTGTCGTCCATTTTTACTAAATATTTTTTTTTATAAATATCGCGATGGTTGAGAAATGTAATGTTGAATTCAATCGAGTATCAGAGCTTACGGGAGCCTGCAATCGGATTCTGCGCAGAAGGTAGAAAGCTGCGCAATGCAGGAATTGCTAGTTTGGATAAAGAATGGAATGGTTGGTCGAAAATTAAGGTTGAATAAGGTATAGGCAGTAATAATTCTCGAGATTTCCGTCTAGCTCAATGTTTGAATTAGACGGAACCGTACTATGTAAGAAAAGGAATAAGCAATACCTGGTATAGAACGCGACGGAAAAGGGAACATACATAATCCGAACCCAGATTTCTGGGCCGTGGATCCCGCCCTTTGTAACCGTGCAGGTTAAGGTGGGGTCAAGTTCCAAGGTTGCATAGGTACCTAGGTACGTAATCCGTACATACCCTAGATTTATTTCGGTCACCTTCACCAGCCAACATTTTCAAGGCATTTTTAATGGCCACAATTTTCCACTAAGTGGTGAGTCAAGTTGGTGGAAACTTTTACCAATTGAGCCCCGCCAGACTTCTGTCAGGCTTCGTGGACTGCCATTTTGATCAGAGGACTTTTCGAGTTCTCGTTTACGATCAGAAATTATGGCGTCCCGTACACTTGTTCAAGCCAATTGCTTCAAGGCCATCTCCTCGAGCGTACGAGCCATTCCTCACACTCACACATCCTCAAGATGGGGCTCAAGTAGAAGTTCTACTTCGGCCATTGCCTACAAAGCTCTTCGCCGCCGTCAAGCTCCTCTCCCTACCAATGACATACCGTCATCGTGGTCTGCGCAAGCAGCCGTCTCTAATATTCTCTACGAAACCCCGACACCCTCGATGGCCCCACCGAAACGTCATGTTCTCAACTGCTTAGTGCAGAACGAGCCTGGTGTCTTGTCCCGAGTTTCTGGTATTCTAGCAGCGCGCGGTTTCAACATCGACTCTCTGGTTGTGTGCAGTACCGAGGTTGAGGACCTCTCCCGCATGACAATTGTTCTTACCGGGCAAGACGGCGTGGTTGAGCAGGCGCGACGGCAATTAGAGGATCTAGTACCCGTCTGGGCTGTCTTAGACTACACAAACGCCGCTCTAGTCCAAAGAGAATTGCTGCTTGCCAAGGTTAACATCTTGGGGCCGGAATACTTCGAGGAGTTGTTAGCGCATCACCGCGAAATTACAGCCGAGTCTGACCAAGCAGAGGCGGGTGACAGGACCCTGGAAGATATCTCTGAAGACTTCCATCCCAGCAGAATGGTGGCTAGTCAGGCCCTGCGACTTAAGCATGAGCATCTCAGATCCATAACTTACTTTGCTCACCAGTTTGGAGGCAAGGTGTTGGATATCAGCACAAGCAGCTGCATTGTTGAAGTGTAAGTACACAGGCCTCATCGAGTCACTAGAATTCATACTAATAGTTCATAGGTCTGCCAAGCCAGTCAGGATTGATTCATTCCTAAAACTAATTGCACCATTCGGAATTCTAGAATCGTCACGGACAGGTCTCATGGCATTGCCTCGATCGCCTCTATATGGCCCAGACGAGGATAGCATTGTTAAAGAGGCAGACGAGATCGTAGATGCCAGCCAGTTACCTCCTGGATAACCTAGAAGTCTGGCGGGGATTAGGCGTTGGTGGTCAGAAAACATTTGCACTGGCTTACTTTGATATTATTACTTCGTAGAAAAGATCATACAAGTGCGAACTACTTGAACCATCATATACAGAGCGTGAAGTTTTCTCATTGTGATCCCCTTTTTTGACCATGCCAACCGAAATTGATACACGTATCAGACTAGAAAGCATTTTTAAACACCGCCTTATTTACCCCGAAGCTGTTAGATCAATCTCGCATAACTAAACCAGTATATGCTGCTCCATAATAGGCAATGCCACCCTCTCCAGAACTACGCATAGGAAGTTGGGGATATTTCCCCGTTGTTTACCACAAACCCTTCGAGTGCCGCTATACATGAGTCAGCATTGAGATGAACAAGCTCAGAAGGAGACGTCACTTACCAACAGCCGCCCAGAGCCTATTTTCTGCTTCGGGGAAGACGAGGGACCGGGGAGAGTAGAAAACCTCATCGGCTACCTCCTCGGCGTGACGAGGTAAGCAATGCATAAATTTCCAGTCCGGCTTTGCTCCACCTCGCTTAGCCAGCTCGTTGCTAACCTGGAAACCAGCGAAATCTTTCAGTCGTTTCTTGGACTCCTCTTCTTGGCCCATGGAAATCCAGGTATCAGTTACTATGATATCGGCATCCTTCACGGCCTCCTCCGGAACATAAGTTTGGTTTAGGACACCTGGTGTGTGTGTGGACTTGGCTTGACTTGTGATCAACTCTACTTTGTCCTGAGGGATGCTGTAACCCCGAGGCGTGGCGACTGATATCTCGACGCCTAATTTTAGACAAGCGATGGCGAAATCGAATAATACGTTGTTTGCGTCTCCAACCCAAGCCACCTTCAACCCCTTTGGTATGACACTTTCTGTAGGAGCCCTGGGAATGGATTCGTGGATCGTAAGAAAATCAGCAATTATTTGAAGGGGATGGAAATCATTAGACAGCGCGTTGATGACCGGAACGCTCGAGTACTTCGCTAAGTCCGCAACATCACTATGAGGCCCGACTCGAGCCACCATGCCGGATGTCATGGATGAGATAACCTTGGATGTATCCTTTAATGACTCATTTACCTGGAGGAATTAGTTGATTAGCTAGCAGCTTTCGCCGACCTAAGACGCCCTGAATATACTCACTCCTAGTTGAATGTCGTTTTTCCCAAGGAACATAGGGTGACCTCCTAACATAGCCACGGCAGCTTCCGTCGAGACTCTGGTACGGGTGCTCAGCTTGCTGAACATCATGGCCACCGCCTGCCCCGTTAACTTTCTGTTTAGGTCTGCCGGAATGCCTCCGGACTTAACGACCTTTTTGTAAGCCGCAGCATTTAACACCAGCTGTGAAAATTCAGCACCCGTCAGGTCGCTGATTGACATAAGATGTCGAACCCGGGTGGAGTAATTCCTTGTTGCATAAGGAAGTGCGCCTTTAGCTGACCGAAGAGCTGACCGAAGAGCTGATGACCGCATCTTCGCAGTAACTTGATGTGTTTTCCTAATCAGGAAATATGCATGCACTTGGGGTCGAGTATATCGTTGTCATCAACTGACTGTTGAGATTCTAGAAGTATGAGGTTGCCAAGGCGTAAAGCTCTTAAGTGTAAGTGAAGATAAGCTAGCTTGGCTTTTAAGAAATTTGGTATTGATGAGGTGCGGTTTACTATTAAAGAATGGGATGTCTGTTTAATGACTGTGAAGCTTACGAAAAGTTCGATTCAAGGTCCGAAGCAAGATATTTCTAGGTTAGTTGCTTCATTTAAAAATTACGAGAAAAGAGTCACGATTGAATCCGCTCTTCGTCGTGACACCAACGCAACTTTGTGGAGATATCGAGATACAATAGGTACATGTAGTCTACCTAGTTCAGGGCAAACAGGTGCCTGTCAGCTGGCCGATTTCGGGAAGTTGCATGGTAGGTACCTGCAGGCGCCCTGGCAGGGCTGCCTTGCAGGTTTTCCCCGGACTGCACTTTACATAGTATGTATATTGGATCGTTAGTGGAAATCACGGCCCTGCTATTCCCTTTAGTTTGATTGGCCTTAACGGCGGAAGGTTGAGTTGGCTTCGCCCCAGCACCTGCCCAGCCGAAGGGCCTCGTTTCATAATGTGGACCGTCGAGTTGTCTGTTGATGACGACTACTTCACGCCTTCCCAGTTCATACCCATAACCTTATTTTATTCTATAAACGTGCCTTTTTGTTGACATCAATTTAACCATCATCTTACAGTACCTAACATCACTAGTCGTAGTCTATCAAATATAGCACATTTCTAGACTCGATGATGTCTACACCATTCTGTTAGTTAGCACACATTCATCAACTACCCGCGATTGATCTATTGTTCAAATAGTGATCCGTCAATACCACCCCAGCCGTCACCATGTCGGAAGAAGCATCGCCTTTGCTCTCGGCCGCGACGAAGGGAAAATCCAAGGCCCGCGAGCAGGATGATTCCGGCGAATCGACGCCGCTTCTCTCGGGTTCGACAGCAACGCCACGTTACGATGGAGAAGAAGATGAGCATCATGTAGACAATGAGGATTCGAGTCCAGCTCACCCCGTCGATGCGTCCCCCGCTTCCAGTTCGACTAAGAAGTCTAGGAGATGGGCGTCGTTTATCGCAATGTTCATACTGGCAGTGCTCATCATCGTCATCATTGTTCTCGCCTTCGTCGTTCCCCAAGCTATTCAAGAGTACGCTCAACAAGCCGCCGTTATTGAGCCTACCAACCTCTCCCTCGAATCCATTACGACGGACGGCGTTCGAGCTCGGATACAAGCCAACTTTCATCTGGATGGGTCCAGAGTTGGCAGCAATCATGTGCGAAGAGTAGGAAGGGCTGTTACATGGGTGGCAGCTCAGCTTGAAAGCGAGCAGACGAAGGTCGATGTGCGCATTCCCAAATATGACAACGTGTTACTTGGAAGCGCAATCGTCCCGCCCCTATTGATTAACTTGCGGGATGGCGACGTAACACAGTTTGACATCGTCGCGGATATACTGCCGGGCGATCCAGAAGGCATTCGCATAATCGCGAATGAATGGTTCGAAGGCAGATTAGACGAACTGCTTCTAAACGGACAGGCTGATCTCAGTCTCAAATCTGGGATCTTCCCTCTAGGGACACACGCCATCTCGGAATCGATTGTATTTGAAGGTCAATCACTCTACCGCTCCTTTGCTTCCCTCTACTTTGGGAAGAAGTCCTTATTCTAGCATATCCAGATAAAGCTAGGCATATAATTACTTAAACAATATACTAATTTTCTGAACAGCTAACAAAGTCCCTGCGATACCAAAATATAATATTACTCGTTTTAAAGTCGATGATGGCCCGATGAATGGGACAATGCTAGCCGATGTAGCACTGGCGGCGTTCAACGAGTATCCGGTCGAACTTAATATTCCCGAGCTCGCGTTTGATATTTTAGTACCCGGTTGCGCTAGTTCAGACCCCTTCATCCTAGTAGCGGAAGCGGCTACGAGCGAGGTTCACGTAGAACCACGCTCTGATGTCGTGGTCGATGTTAATGGAGTTATCCGCGAATTACCTCACTCTTTGACTCACATTTGCCCGGACTCTACTTCCTCACCTTTAGATAACATCCTTCGACAATATATGCATGGCGACCCCGCCACACTCTTCGTCCGTGGGAGTCGTCATCCCGATGGCGACACGCCGAAGTGGATTGCAGACATACTATCTAGCGTAACAGTACCTGTCTTATTTCCCGGACGTACGTTAGACGGTCTGCTTAGGAACTTCTCTTTAACCGACGTCAATTTTGCTCTACCAGATCCCAACTCCCCAGACTCCAACCCGACAGTCTCAGGAACCATTTTAGTCACCGCAAGCATTCCTTCTGATATGAACTTTGGTATAGACGTGACAAACGTCCGCGCTACGGCGGACGTGCTTTATAAGTCAAATAAAATGGGAGAACTAAATCTACGAGAATGGCAACACGCTAATTCTACTAGGGTTGAAGGCGAGGGGGACGATGGGCCTATGCTCAAAATCCAGTCCCGCGTCATCGATGCACCCCTCAACATCACCGACAGTACGGTCTTTGCCGAAGTTGTCACTGCCTTGTTGTTTGGCATGGAGACAGTTCGTCTACATGTTGACGCTTTAGTGGATATCAAAGTGCACACCACGTTAGGAAACCTTACTCTAAAGGAGGTTCCTGCGGAGGGCAAAATTCCAGTAAAACGTCCGTCTTCGCTGTCCTAATCTGTCAGTCGCTCTCAGATAGTCCGCCTAGTAGGGCGGCTCATTCTTAGAGGTGCAATTCCTTGCCCTTCCGCCAGTCCTGTATATAGTAGCATGTGCTAACTTACCCTCAGCCCTTCCCAAGGGTGCTGTTGGCAGTATTGAACCAAAGGTCGGGTCTCTCAGGATTTTGGACACGACATCAGATTCGATAACGTTGCAAGCCTTAGTTAATGTTACCAATCCGACGCCTTATACAGCTCATGTACCATATGCGAACATCCACGTCCTGAATAATGGTTCGATCATCGGGAGTGCTACAGTAGAGGACCTATATATCGACAAAGGTCCAAACTCAAATATACTTGTTACCGCAAAATGGAATCCACCAATGGGTGGCGCCCACGGTCGAAAGGTTGGGCGGGAATTAATATCACAGTACCTGTCAGGCTGGAACACGAGCATCACCGTAAAAGCACATCGAAATAGCATTCCTGGCCAACCCATCATCTGCGAAGCCTTATCGAAATTCAATATGACCCTCTCCGCTCCCAAGCTGAGTTTGCCTGGGGATACCCCTGAAGAGAGGTCTCGCTTCATTAGAGATGCTACTTTCCATGTCTTTTCATCGACGGCCACATTTACTCTTGTATCACCATTGCATTACAACACATTATATATAGATGCTGTCAACGCTACCGCGTTGTATAACCACACCGAGCCGGTAGGGCAGATTGTCTATGACTTACCGTTCTCAGCACCACCTGGCAAATCCCAAACGCCGAAACTACCAGTAACGTGGTCCCTGGACTCGGTTGGCTACGATGCTGTGAAGAAAGCGATAGGCGGAAAACTCAAGCTGGATGCATATGCTAATGTAGAGGTGCGGCTGGGGAACTGGAAGGAATCGCTTTGGTATCAAGGTAAAGGGATTGGTGCGAGTGTACAGATATGATGCTTTGACAAATTGCGGGTTGGCGTTATTAGGGAGTTGGGAAGGTTGAGGGACACACTCAAAGAGGGACAGCGTAATTGATTACTTGATTATCAAGACATGGGATGAGAATGGTATATTCAGTACATTTATATCACGTTACTGTGCTGATAATTTGCTTGGGATACCCAAAAGGATCTGGACCATTGTGTGATTTGAAGGGGTGATTTGACGTTCAGAATAATGAAGGTCTTATAGATGGATAGGAGACTATCAGTCTACCACCTATGTAGTTTTTATTCTAATATCCCGTCATCGCCATGATAAGTAAGGCCTTTAACTTCAAAAATTGGAGTTAGATGTTACCCGAGATATTTGATGACTAAGGGACTAAGGGGGTATGACATAATTTTATATATCGATCGGCCTTGAGCTTGAACTTAGAAGCTTCAACTCAATTATCTTCAACAACATCACCTAGAAATCTGAAACTGAAGACAAATATAAACATATTAAACAAACATATTAAACAACCGGTTGGGATTTAAGGCTCGAAATAACAATTGCGTTCTTTCAATTGTTTTGTATCATATCAAGACCTAAGTCCCAGCTATCTTAGGTACCTAACCTATCCATCAGCACCTCAGCTTAGTCACTCAATTAGGCATATTTGCTACTCATATTCATATTCACATACCTTACACACCTGCACCACACTATACATACACACATACATAATGCCTAAGATGCCCAAGCTCTACTCGCCCTACGGCCCGCGGCCGAAGCGCTCAGCCCAGCTCATCGTCATCTGGATAGTGATCCTGGTGTTTGCGCTGATGGTGACGTTTTACCTTACGACCAGGGAGCGCGGGGCGACGACTTCGTCGTATGCGGGTATGAGGTTGGCGGATGAGGTGGGTAAGGGGAAGGATGCGATTAGGGGACGGAAGTGGTCGAAGGTGGTGCCGTGATTGGGAGTGGGAGTGGGAGTGTTAAATCTCTGATTCTTTTTCTTTCTAGTTATTGTGGAAGTTGAATTGTGTATAACTAAGGGAACTTAGGTTTAGGATATGCTTTAGGTAACGGGAGAGCTGGGTATAAAAGTTTCTTGGGGGTGGATTTTGAGCTGCGCTGGGTGGCAGAAGAACCTAACAGCTTTGCGTTTGCTTGGACGTTTCTGCGATAAAATGAATAAGAGGGAAATAAAAGCAAGGGATATAGGAATTGATGATGTCGAGGTAATTCAATATATTAACCAAGTCATATGGGATAGCTTAAATACTTACGCCACCATCCAACCAGACATGCATTTTCACATGCAAGACCTTTTACAAGCTAAAATAGCACAGCAAACCACTACGGATCCGTACGCTAACCAGCAGCCAATAATTTGCTCACCTACGCACGCCAACTGATATAATATCTAACAAGACAGCAAAAAATCATGTAGCATTGGAAACAAAACAATGACGATCAAAAAAAGTCCGGTATAGTGTAACGGCTAACATACCTCGTTTTCACCGAGGAGCTCGGGGTTCGATTCCCCGTACCGGAGGTATTTTTTTTCTTGCATTTGTTTCATTTTCGTTTAGTTATTCGTTATTATTTTTATTTTCACTTCAGTTCAGCATCGTGTTTTTTCAGTAGACTTGTCAATTACAGCAAATGGTGGTGAATTAATTAGAAACTTGAATCTCTAACGGAAGCGCAAGCTAGCTTAAAGGCATTAACTATCTCCTAATTTGCTACAGTACAATACACAAACAGTAAAAGAGTCCTTCTGCAAGTAGCAAAGGTGCCATGTGACGTCACGTCAGTAAGCAGCAAATTATAAGCGATCAATGTTACATGCAAGTCTCTCCTCTGTCATCTGTCAACTGTCAACTGTCAACTGTCAACCGCCAACCGCCAACTGTTAATGCAAGTCTCAACCCCATGCAAGGCCATAGGTTTCAATCGCATCATCACATCATCACATCATCAACACACTCGACACTCAACACTCAACACTCCGCATTCATTTCTCTATGCATATAGCATAAGCTGCCATGTCAGGCCTCTTGTCAGAAACATCATTCCTAATCCGGACCCTTTTCAGTTACCATTAGTTAGACGCGCCCTCATCCTCACCCTCATCACATCCTCATCACCCCCCTCACTTCCGTTCTCATTCTCACTCTCACCGTCACCCTCTCCTTCGTTCTCATTCTCGCCCTTGCTCTCATACTAATAATACTCGTCCTCATCCTCAAACTCCTCCTGTCGACACATTTTTTCATGTCTCATCCATTCCATAAAGCCCATGGTTGAGGAACTGCTGCTCCAACGGGCCCATAACTCCCCGCCAAGCTCCCAATCGCTCACTGAGTCGAATTCATAATTGTCTGAGTCATACACCAGTCTGTCGTTGGGCTCGTACTCACCCTCGGACTCAGACTCGGACTCAGGCTCGGACTCGGGCTCGGGCTCAGGCTCGGGCTCAGACTCGGATTCATCCTCAGTCGGATCGCTCCACGTATGAAGTCTCATTTCTCTTGCCTGCTGTTGCCAGGCTGTGAAGGTATCCTGGTCCCAGAAAATCTGGCATTCGAGATGCTTTTCCAGATCAGAGCAAATGAAGTAGTTGCTCCTTATACCATACTGGTCCGTTTCGAGGAATTCCTTGCGAGTGGTTAGATTGATTGCTTTCGGGTCCCGCTGGAATGGGAGTTGGGCGAAGACCGTGTTCGCGTCCTCTAGAAATTCATCGAAATGCTGATATCCTTCATTCTGCCCACTTCTGTCGGACTTGAAGCTGTGGAATGAGGCATGCGGGCTGAGCTCTTTGGTATACCACTTGCCTATCTGGACCAACCCAGCTTCTATTGCAAACACCCGGGCGAGGGAACGAGTTTCTGCATTGGAGAAATGCTGCCTCTCAATATCCCTCTCCCTAACGCAACACCCGCTCCAGCCACCCTGTTCGCATTTGAGAGCTGCCAGTTCTGATTAGTACACGTTAACTCATAGGGCTATACCTTGTGACACACCTTCGAATACGCATTGCTCATAACTGTCAAACATGGCTCTTGCCGCTTGCACTTCGACTTTAGAGAAAGCCTTCCAGAATACGCGCTTCCTCTCCCCGAACGTCTCCTCATCTGAATCCTCTTGAGAGCCGTCGAAAAGATTTCTTGCCGTTTCTATCATGAAACATGCTCGCAGCTCTCGCGCATATTCCGCTGGCGTCGAGTCACCACTGGGATAGCGGTCTGGATAAGGAGTTCTGTTAAGTTTTGTCTGCATGACTATCTCCGCCGCCCGCAGGAGATCTGGTAAAGCAAAAGCCATTTCCATACTTGCATGCACCCGTTGATCGTCGTCCTTACGTGACATGTATTGCTCGATGAACCCCTCCACATTATGATGGTTGAACTTGCGGGAGGCGACGGCCATGATTCCGAGCTTTTGGACGGAAGGGGGCAGCATATAGTCGATCCGCGCGTGCGCGATAAACTGCTCGTTCGTTTGGGTTATCATTTGTGCTTTTTTGCACGTGGCTGCTGCTGCCTTGAAATCTTCCCGAGTGGCCATGTTGGCAAAGATCAAGGATATGACCTCCCTGGGAAAGCGGTCGAACAGGTTTGTTCGTTTTCCATTGCGGCCGGGGATAAAATCCAAGGCAGATTCTAATAGATGATTAGCATCGTTATATACAAGGCAGACATAGCAATAGAGACAAGAGTTGTAAGAATCAGTCCGAATGGAAGGTTATCAGAACCGTAGCAAGTCAGGACATTCTCCAAGCTTATCGAAAGGTAGATGATGAATGTGAGTAGTGAAAGAGAGAATAACTTACCGGGCAGGGGAGATCGAGGCTGCTGAGTGGCCGACATCTTGTATATTGTTTGACTTGTATGTTGTTTGACTTCAAATAGGCTATAGAGCTCGACGAGCCTAGTAGTAGGATTTAGTAATGAAGAATAGTAAGGCGAAGAAGGAGGGGATTTGCAACATAGTAAATGAAGGTTCCAAGGAATAGGTAACACGAATGGAAGAAGGCATCCGATTTGATGAATGTAGATAAGAGATAGCATAGTAGTGGGTGGTAATAGCAATAGTGATGGTAGCGACAGTATATGATAGAGTGGTAATGAAAGGGATTCTGCGATAGGGTGCAATTATGCTACTTATATAGTAGAGCCAGACATCCATGATGATGATGAGGGTAGGTGAGGGTAGGTTAAGGCGTGTCAAGGCGTGTCAAGGCGTGTCAGGGTAGGTCAGGGTAGGTCAGGGTAGGTCAGGGTAGAGATGCGGTATCAAGAGCGGCACCAATAGAGCAGAGAGATATGGATAGTGCGCAGAGCTACTCACAGGTAAGGCTGTATGAGGAAAGAAAATCCTCTATGGTGAAGACGTGTTATTGAAACGAAACCGAAAGAATATGTCGCGAAGACTTGATTAAGAACGATGTATGATCAATAACTATGATCAAGAAGAAGAACTATTAAGATGTATGATTGAGAAGACTGTATGGTCAAGAGAGATAGATGACCAGGAAAGTTGGATGGTCTGGAAAGTTGCATGTATGATCAAGACTGATGTGTGATGGAGATGTGCGATGGGGGAAGATGGGAAAAAGTGCGTTGGGGGTGGGATGTTTATATATAAAAATGTCCCGGAGCACAATCAGTAAAGGTGCAAACCTAGAGTGCACCTCATATGATTTATTAGGTACGTACGCAGGAGGATTGTTAAAATCGTGGAAGCCACACTATGTACAATCAAGTGCAAACAGGGAAGGAATTAAGTATTATTATGGTTGATTTTATTATATTAGGCTTAGCAACCGGGTCTATTTTGAAAAAATCATAATATCGGAGCCTGATTCTACGGGATTTTGCTATGGCGACCCCCGGGGCCGGCCCCGGGTGAGGTTGGGTGGCTCCGGATGGCTCCGGTTTTTTGGAAAAAAAAAATCAGCCCCGAAAACCTCTCTTCCTAAACCCCTTTTGGGCAACTCGGTTTTTGATTCAATAAAAAACAGATCAAGGAATTTTACTATTGACCAGATATTACACAATAGCTATATAGTGAATAAAAGTAAAACGTTCACGTGTAATCAAGTATTATTAAACATCCACTCCAAGTTTAAACTAATTTTCTACTATGCTTTATTAATTAAATATTAATTATCGACTAATTTATGAGGGTAGACAAAGAAGGTAAATAGCTAATTAAAAATGGGAGTTCTTATGGCGTATATCTCGAAATTAGTAATTAAACCCAAGTATTAAACAATGGAATTCTAACCCGAGAATTTTTGATATTGATCATATGGATTTAACCACGGAAGAACACCTAATCCGAATCCCAAGTAACGTAGACAAAGAGCGTCTCTGATGTTGTTTTGGTGAAAGGATCGGTAATTCGTAGGCTATTAATCGTGTCTTGACGAACAAAGCCGTTAGGCAAGAAAGAGGAATACAATGCTATTGAAGGAAATTAGAATATACCATAATACCTTCATTGTTTCCGAAAGGTCATACTAGCATATATAAGACAAATCGAGAACAACTTTACTTCTAGGTATCAACTCATCTCCAGTCGAGCTTTCTTTAGCATCATCTCTATCGAGACTTGAACGCAGTAAGTCCATCTTCGGAATTCGTTGCTCACAGCCGATCTCGTAGAATAGCTTATCAAAAATCCTCGAGGACATCTGCCCATCATGCCTCACAACAGTAAACGTCCCTCCTCTAGTTCTAAGCCGGGAGCGAGCGATGAATATCCCTCCACCATTATCTCCTCCGTTCCTCATAATGCAGCTTACACAGGTGACAACCGTGTCCCTTACAACGAGCGTATTCGATCTCTGCGTCGATCACCAAGCGGGCATAAGAACGAGACCACGCCGGACGGTAGCCTTGCTTCGGTACCACCAACGTCGGACCCAAGAGAGCCGAGACCTCCTGTCTCCCATCCTCCTCTAACGCTTTCTACGCTAGCTAACTCTACTCAGGTCACAGAAACCGCGGAAAGCCTTCGCAGCCTACGGTTGTCCCTGGCTGGATTAGAGAGCAACGGGAAGAACGACGACCGCCTCTTCGATCGTCGGGTACATGACGCGAAGGAGGCCTCAGCCAAGAAGAAGTCTATCGACACAGCCGACGAGAGGCGTCATAAGCGTACTGGTCAACCCCCCGCCCCTTTGTCTCGAAAAATTGCTGTGCCCATATCTGCTGAAATGGCTGAGGCATTAATGGATGGCCTTGACGAGCTATTTGGGAGGGGCTCGAAGAAGAGCGATGGGAAAAAGAAGGACGACGGCAAGAAGAAGCATGACGGCAAGGACAAGAAGCATCACAAGAGGGATGACAAGAAGGATGATGACCACAAATCCAGAAAAGACGGCCAGACGCAGACTTAAGCATCGAGCTTATGGATTTGCTTGTTCCAACTGTTTTTCGTGTTCATTATAGGTAAGATAGAGATGACTTAGACGCCATTTCTTACCCCTTTACCTATCATATGGACTTCGAGAGCAGGATCAACACTGCAATGATCATATGGAGATGCTTAAACACGTCAACCACGGAGATATATAGGATGTCTTGAGGTCTCACGCGTTGAACGGCACGTACAAAGTCAAGTAGGATTGGAGCCACCGTTGATCTGGCTTCCCTGAAGCGATGTTCGGCCTAAAACGTATACCCTCATGAACTCTTGAATATCCCTATGGTGTCTTGTTCCTTACCCCTTACCCCTTACCCCTTATGTTTCCTATACAGTTTCTTCCATGCATGTGCACACACATACACACACAGGCAAATCAAATTAGAAAACAAATCTTAGCATAAGTAATAAATAACAAAAAAAAAATTGTTTCTGCAAAAACATATGGCGCAAATGCTACGTGACTCTAAGCGGCTTTCTGATTTCATGCCCCTATGTTGATTTCAATGCTGTTGGTACTTGGGTACATAGATAGGCCTTGTAATCAAGATCAAGTAGCGGTTGATTAAATTGAATTAATAGGTAACAGTACGTAGGTACTTAGTACGTCTCCTGACCAGAATAAATAAATCGAAATTCAATCAACGTTAGGTAGGTAGGTACATAGGTACCTGATTCAGAATCACAGGATCACACCGAGGTAGGTTATTTTCTTCAAAGGCGGGCAGTAGGTATGTAGGTCGCCGTCAGGGTTTGTACCGTAGTACCCGGGCCGTGCGCACCTTCCTTCCTCACATCACGGATTGGAACTTGACAACCGCGCGGCGCACCGTGCACGATATCATGTACCCCCGTACCAGGTGCACTCCCCACACATAGGTAGGTACACAAATACATAGAACCTCAACCGGCCAAACTCCGGCCACAAAAAACCACACGCAGCGCATTATAAATCCCGACAGCACGCCAATTCTTCAACAGCTGTCCCTCGGGAGGAAGTCCACTTCCTCTCAGAGCAAGCATAAAACCCCACCCGCCCTTGGTGGTCTAGTTGGTTATGGCGTTCGGCTGTAATTGTGAGAACATTGTTACCGAAATGTCGCTGGTTCGATTCCGGCCCGAGGGATCCTTTCTTTTTGCACTTTTTTATTTATCAACATTTTGCAGTTTAGCAATTGCTGTTGGTCTGGTTGGGTCGAACACTGCCTGGTTTCTTTTTTTCATATTTTCGTTGTTGGCAGGGATATGTAGTGGAAGAATGTGTATGCATGTAGCCGTTTTGGTAACCACATATAATCAGGCTTGCCATGTCTTAGGTACCTAAGGTATTGTTCCTGCTTCCATACAACCACCGCAGGTCTATAGATACTTTGCTAGCACTTGTTATACACATTTTCCCTCAAGGTTTAGGCCACTTTACTTAAGCTTGAGATGTTATTCGCATATGCATTCTTTGTATTCATCAAGTGCTATTCAATCTAGACTTTTTACTGATATGTTCAACTACCTAGATATGGATATGTATCAAGTATCTAGCATTAGATATGTCTCACCATACTGCTTTATACCTAACTGCTATATTGACATGACTGGACCTACCTTGCATCTGTATTACGAGGGGCTAGATTACAATCTGCAATACAAGTATTCAGTCTATAGCATAGAATCCACGAGATTCAAACGATTTTCCAATCCAGAGTACTTTCAAGTCAGAGGAAAAAAGGGGTATAGCTTCACAATCACAATCACCGGTCACGGCACCGCGTCGCTTGAGCGCAAACATCATCGTAGCACATCATAGAACATCAGACTTGAAAAGACCAGTGTCAGCTCTGAATTACTAACTGATAAGTGTACAAGTAAGGGAATAAGCACCTTTTAACGCAGTCTGTCCGTATATAGCGCCATCACGCAAGTCGGACACCAGCCTCCTTCCGCTTCTTCGTCTGCTGTGTCATGGCTGAGCTCATGCCGACGTTCTGGCTGGCATCCAGCATGCTCTGGGACTCTCGTCGCTTCTCGTCCTCGATCTTCTTGAGTCGCTTGTCTGTCTTGCCCTTGCCGCTTCCCTTGCCGTGGAACTGGTGGCTGAGGTGCTTGAATGCCTCCTTCTGGTCGAGCGACCGCCCGTATTCGTCGTGGTACTTGAGCTCTACGTTGGGTTTATATCCTTTGTTAAAGAGGTCGACTAGCTGTCGTGATGTCTGCTGGTCGCGCATATTGTTCTGCTGCCGAGCCCACTCTTCTCTCTCTCGTACTGACATTTTGTCGAGCCTGCCGCTGTTACGATCACGCTCACGCTGGTTGCGGGCGTCTTGCTCAATCTCTGCCAATTTTCGTTTCTTCTCGGCGACGAATAGTTGATGCTGACGCTGCGTTTCGTTTAATTCAGCAGCACCAGAGTCCTTCAGGAGCTGTCGTTCTCTTAGAAGCTGCAATGTTGCGCCGATGCCAGACCCTATGGTCTTCTCTTCATCAACGCCGATGATGGCCGTCTCTGCTGGGGCTGACGTCTCGCGCTTAACTCTATCATGTTCGTCGTCCCCATCCTTCATCGGCTCGTCTTCATCAGAGTCATCCTCCATGGCTGTGACCGGAGCATCTTTAGGTGACTTCGGTTTACGAGGTTTGCGGTCCTCGATATCTTCCTTCTTTAGCCCCGAAACAAATTCGGAGATCTCATCAAGAACGAGGCCACCCTCCTGAGCACCGTTGGCGTCATTATCAACTTCTGGCGTCTGTGCTTCCTCTCGTAGTTGCCGCGCTATATCTTCGGGGCGTGTCCTCTTGCGCTTCTTTAGGGCGTCTCTTCTTTGAGCAGCCAAAGTAGCCTGGAGATCTTCGTCATCAGCGAATGTTGTGTCGTCTGTCTTACGCTTCTTGTTGACGAAACCGGCACCCGAATCTATGTCCATCGACTGATCTGGCTCTGCTGGCGGTAACGGAAAGATATCGTCCTCGTCTACTGGGCGCTGTCTTGTCGACTTCGACTTCTTCTTCTTGGGCTTCTTGATTTTGATTTCTGAAATGTCCAAGTAATCCGAAGCCGGTTTGTCCTCTGTAAAAAGATCGAGGTTGATCTTTTGTCGTTGTCCACCGTATGCTTGATTATCCAGATCATCGCTCAACACAGTATTCCCTAATCCATCTAATGTAAACTTCTTGCTTCTTTTGCCATCGATTTCCTCGTCGTACTGGGCTAGGAGGCTACGCTCGCCGTTCTCGTCGTTTGCAAGGGGATCGTATACGGGCTTCTTCTTTTTCAATTCGAGCTTCTTGTCAAGCTTCTCTCGCTCTCTAAGATTGATGTTTTCGAGCTCGTCACCTTCCTCCTCCTCTCCCAAAACGTCGGTATCCTTGAGTGTTAATATTTGCTCTTCACCATCCTCAAATAATCCGATTTCGTGTCCGACCTTGACACCAGCAAGATCCTTGGACGTGTACTTAATCGCTGCTGCTGCTTCAGCTTCGGCAGCCGCCAGTTCCTCCTCTAGCTTCCGCGCCTTTTCGATCTGCTTTTGGCGCTTCTTTTGACTGATCAACCACGACTTGGTATCAACCTCATCGTCATCAGCCTCGCCTAGCCCCTTGCCTTGTAAATTCTCGAAACGTTTTGCGGCGTCACGGGCTCTTTTGATGGCAGCAGTTTTCTCTTCACGCTTCTTCTTGGCCTCTTCAGCATCTCTGCTCTTTTTGTAGTTATCGTACGCGGCTGCTTCTCGGATCTCAAGGGTGCTTCCGACGTCTTCGTCGGGCGTGGATGTCTTTTCTTTGAACTGAGGACCGCTTGCGCCAGGAACGGGCAAAGGTTTCATGCCCAGAGAAACGCGGAGGCGATTCGTCTCCTCTATCGCTGCGGCATCCATGATGGATGGTGGTGACTTGAGCGCGCGTCGATAGCTATTTTTCGATTATCGAGAATGAAAAAATACGTGAGGCTAGGATTTTAAACGGGACGAGGTTGTCTACGGTTATTGCGATTATTGCGATTGCTTATTTGAAGTTAGGAAATTGTGATAAGGACACCGGATAAGATATCGGATTACAAAGTACAGAGCTACAGAAGTCATTGCAATTGAATACCTAACCTAAAAGACTCTTTGTCGCAACACAAAGCCGGCACTTACACTAATGCAAGTGGTCAGTGCGCGAAATCTTAGTCTGCCCCACTTTCTCATCAGCCTCTGCACAATAAATTTCAAATTTTTCTGTCTGAAATTTCTTCTTCTTTCTTTTTACACAATCACGGATCTGTGCCCGATCGTCCTCTGTTCGCTCGCGAATCCAGAGTTGATGGCCGAGGCAGCTCGAATCACATATGGAATCATCCTTCTTTTTATGATGTCAATCCAATCGACAGGTCCTAGAGTAAGGAGCATTTCTGGGAAGCCTGAGTTCGCCGTAAAGGCTGCAACTCGGTGGACTGGTCTTGCTCCAAGAGTTATATTCCACCCCTTTTTTCCGAGATCATTGATCTATGAGGTTGAGGAAAACCATAAGATATCTTACATACCATTGTCGATCTAAACCTTGGCTATTCGTTTAACTCTGCCCTTTCAAGTGCTAGCGGACGAATCGCCTTGGTCTGGAAATGTCGATATTATTAGTATTCATGTCGCGTGCTAAGTTTCGTAGAATCAAATGCCAATAACATAATCGGCTCTACCTCGGACGTGTAATGCGATTCTATGCGCTCTTTTGCTCTAGCGAAGCTGCGACGATGCGCTATGGTATTTAGAAGGTATATCGTCCGTGATGATGGGAGGTTGGAGTATTCTTGTTCGGCCTCATCGCGGGCAGACTAGTCTATAGGCCAGAGTCGATGCTGTGATTACCTACTAGGACGAGCTAAAGCTGAACCGATGGTCCTGTAATAAGTCGATATAGTAACAAGTTTAGTTGGCAAGTTGGTTAAGCGGATATTAGATGTGCATAAATAGGGCTCTTAGCTTGTTTCCAAGTTTTCAGCCACCATCAGGGTCTTATACATATGACGATTCTAACTGACAAGCCGAGGGAAGTCATAATGCCTGCATCTATGTAGAACGGCATGTCCCGTGGTCACGCTTGGGTTACGAGCTAGATAGGAATAGGTGGTGTGACGAGGTATATCACGGGTCGATATAGAAAAGTACAACGCGTACCTGACCTGTCCATGTACCTACCTAGGTTTAGGGGTATGGTCACGCATGTGATATTGAGCAAGGCTGTTTAGGTACCTACTTACATCTTATTGGTTTAATTATGGTAATATGGATGTACCTTACTAAATAGGTACTGAAATACTCTGATGTGTTTGGTTAGGTACCTATAGGTTTATTAGGTAAACAATCCATGCAGATCAAATAAATTATTGAAGTTAATATTGCTTTTTAATAACCTCATCCAATTGGACATTTTTATTAGTCTTCTGTTGTGAAGTGTCTAAGTGTCCGTACCGCAAAAAACGGTCAGCAGCTACACTGGCTCAAGTCGGCATCGCACACGTATCTTAAAAAAAGCCTTAGCATCCACCGGAGGACCTCCGAGAGCAATGGATTGTGGACTCCCTTGCAACTCCTTGCAACTCCTTCCCCTTTATTCTTCGCATTCTACTCATTCTACTCCAACTTCTAATAATGCGGGGAGCATTGTCCCCGCATGAAAGACATTTAAATGTATGGGGTTAGCATTGGCGCTGGTGTATTTTTTTTTATATATTTACTTCTATTCTAGCCTCATAGTCCGTCCCTGTTAACGCTTTAGACTATCTAGGCATCTAGGGGTCTATTACCGAATTCGTCGAAGCCGCCGATCCCGTATGCACGGTACTGACGATTCCTGGAGACATCCCCCCCCTAGAGCGGCCCGATTCTAGATCCCCCAGGTTGCCCCAGGTTGCCCCAGGTTGCCCCAGGTTGAATCTTGGTTGGCTGTTGCTTACCACCAAATTCTAGAACTGAGCTTATTTTGTATTCACGTCGTCTAATTTCGAGGCGGAGTTTGCTTTCGCGCCGTCGCATTGACCCCATTAAACACCGCCAGGCCAATTTACCTGGTTACGGTCCTATTGACCGAGAAGTATCACCGGGGGGACCCAGAGATTCGGTCCTACAGCCGTTCTAGAGTAGTATCCGATCAGGTATCCGAAAGAGGCAAGGGGCCTCTTCACGATGCTGCTGAAAAGCTTCGTATATAAAAGCAGTAAAAGATGGACGTCTTACAGAGCTCAAGTCAAGGGCTTCTCGCAAGCAACAGCACCTCGTTAATCGAACCCATCATGCAGGGCCTCACTTCTCTATTCCTCTTGGGCACTTTTGCCTTCCAAACCATCCTCGGCTTTCCCGGTTCTTCTCGGGCACGACGAGAGGGCGTCATCGTTAAGAGGGCGGTGGACAGCTTCATAGCCACCGAGGAGCCTATTGCCTTACAAAAGCTTCTTGGTAACATCGGATCGGCTGGGGCCAGCGCCCAAGGTGCCAGCTCAGGCGTCGTTATAGCCTCCCCGTCTAAGTCCGACCCTGATTGTATGTAAACTTCTCTCTCGAACTTTCACAATATGCTAATTATTTAGATTTCTACACCTGGACTAGAGATGCCGCTCTTGTCTTCAAGGCTATAGTCGAGAGATTCACTAACAGCTACGATGCGAGCCTGCAAACCCAGATACAGAACTATATCATCGCCCAAGCCAAGCTACAAACTGTATCCAACCCGTCAGGTTCTCTATCCGATGGAACGGGTTTGGGAGAAGCCAAGTACCATGTCGACCTCACCGCTTTCACTGATGGCTGGGGCCGTCCGCAACGCGATGGTCCCGCTCTGAGGGCCATTGCTCTGATTAGCTATTCCAACTGGCTTATTGCAAACGGGTATAATTCAACGGTTACTAACAACATTTGGCCCATAATCCGCAACGATCTCACCTACGTCGCCCAGTACTGGAACCAGACCGGCTTCGATCTCTGGGAGGAAGTTAACGGAAGTTCTTTCTTTACAGTTGCTGCCCAGCACCGATCTCTAGTCGAAGGAAGCGCCTTAGCAAAAACCCTTGGTATAAATCATGACTCTTACGATGCTATTGCGCCTCACGTCCTCTGCTTCTTGCAGACCTTCTGGTCATCTTCGAGCGGTTATGCTTTGGCCAATATCAACGTCAACAACGGTCGATCTGCTAAGGACGGCAACGTAATCCTCGCTTCGATTCACAACTTCGACGCCGCTCTAGGCTGCGACGCCGCGACTTTCCAACCCTGCAGTGACAAGGCTCTTTCCAGCCACAAGGTCGTTGTAGACTCATTCCGTAGCATTTACGGCCTTAACTCAGGAATCCCCAGCGGGTCAGCTGTTGCTGTAGGACGATACCCCGAAGATGTCTATTACAACGGTAACCCGTAAGTATCTCTCTAGGCTAGTTTTCTAAGTTCACCCACGGCTAACGACTATGCTAGATGGTATCTTCTTACGCTCGCAGCCGCAGAACAGCTCTATGATGCCCTCTACGTGTGGCAGACTACTGGATCTATCACGGTCACCTCCACTTCGCTGCCGTTCTTCCAGGACCTCGTCTCTGGTGTTTCAGCTGGCACGTACAAGTCCGGCACAGATACCTACACCGCGATCTACAATGCCGTATTCCTCTATGCCGATGGCTTCTTCAACGTTGTCTCCCAATACACGGGATCCGACGGTGCTCTTGCCGAGCAATACAACCGCGACAGTGGCACACCGCTATCTGCTAAGGACCTTACTTGGTCGTACGCCTCCTTTTTGACCGCCGCTGCACGACGAGCTGGTGTAGTCCCCCCTAGCTGGGCAGGCGCAGGTTCCACTGCTACTTCGGTTCCCGGTGTCTGCAAGGCGACGTCTCAGGGCGGATCATACTCTACGGCTACGGTTTCGTCTTTCCCAGCCAACCAAACTCCCATCACCACCACCGTGCCGACTACCACCATCACCCGTCCCACAGTCACCCCCACCACTACTAGCTGCACTGTCGCTACCGCCGTCGCGGTCACATTCAACGAGCTCAAGACTACGACCTACGGCCAGACTGTCAAGATAGTAGGCAACGTCGCCGCCCTCGGCAACTGGGACACCAGCCAGGCGGTTGCTCTCAGCGCTTCGCAGTATACCTCCAGCAACCCCCTCTGGAAGGGAACTGTCACCCTCCCCGCCGGACAGGCCATCCAGTACAAGTACATCGTAGTCAACACCGACGGCTCCGTATCATGGGAAGCCGATCCGAACCGTTCTTACACCGTCCCCAAGACCTGCGCGACCTCGTCGTCCCAGAGCGATACGTGGCGGTGATCTGGAATCTAGTTGTTTAAGTCGCATCTCAAGAATGTTGAAATAGTAGGGAAATTGCGCTGCTAGGCTGGAATATCTTGGTTGTATGATATTGACTAATGCCCCTAAAGGAGTTATGATGATGCTGGTAGACCGCTTCTCCTGAGGATGAGACCATGAAGGAAAGAATATGGGATAGAAATAAAAAATCGAAATATATTTTCATCATATCTTAATTTATCGTCAAGTGATACGTCTTGATCTGATAGTAAGCGTTCTTTGCTCTGAAGCCAACTTAGATATCAGCATTGATCATATCTCACCTTATTTCTATTCATCTACCCATCCATCACTTCTTCTCCTCCCCCTTCCCCAACACCCCCTCCAACTCCCTCATCAAAGTATCCACCGCCCAATTAAACGTAACCTCCATATCAACATCCAACCCAGCACCGTCCTGCGCCAAAATCCCCTTCTCCCGCAACACCCCGCCATCCAGCCTCCCCTCCACATCCCCGTCTACAAACAACCCCCTATGCGCCGCCGCATAGTTCGGCCACACGACCTTCTCCACGTACCCCGGGGGATCGGCCCAGAACCCTTCGAGGGTGACGTACCCGTCGCGCCGCTCGCGGCGCTGGGTCGCGCGCGCTCGGCTGACGAGCAGGAAGAGCTTGACGTCGAGGAGGGCGGGGATGCGGCCGCGTTCTAGCTGGGGCGAGTACAGCAGGAAGCCGTCTAGCAGGCAGATGCGCAGGTTGGCGGCGTGCAGGATGGAGTGGCCGGGCTGGCCCGGCTGCAGCCAGGAGGATACTTTGGATTTGGCGGCGGATATGGCGGCGGCGGAGACGGGGCAGGCGCCGATGGTGTTTTGGTCTTCTTTGGAGTCGACGAAGGGCTGGGACGGGACGGACGGTGGGTTAGTATGTGGTTGGTTTTGGTCTGGGGTGGTGAGAAAGTGGCTTGGGGAAGTTAGGTGGTTATGCGTGACTTGTGCGGATATATGAGACTTGAAGTCATCCTTGTAAAGAATAGAACCGAGCACCGGTATACCCAGTCCCTCCCCAATCAAAACTTACAGGAAAAGTGCCATGGGCGTGGATATGCTCCAACGCGCGCTTCATATCCGGGATGTTAATCGCCTCGGCGCAGTCCCAGTCCAAGAGGCCCTCTTTGTAAGGCAGTCTAGATACCAACTGGTCAGCATTGAGCTTTTTCATAAACCCGTTTAGATAGGGGGGAACAATGGAATTTCAAAATACTCAGCCTCGGGTCTATAAAAATCATCCTCGTGCAGGACAAACGTATTCGGAAACACATCGCGCAGCAGCCGCGCAAGCGTCGTCTTCCCGCTAGACGAGGCCCCGCTGATGCCGACTACGAAGGCCTTTCTGTCCTCCATGCCGACCCTCTCTCCTGGATAGCCTCGCGGTAAACTGTACTTGTATTTTTGAACGTGTCATGGAGTGGATTGAGAAGAGGGTAGGAGGGTTAGCTCTCGGTTTGCAAGCAAAGGTTGAAATGGTGCAATGGTGCAATGGTGCAATTGCGCCGTTAGCCGACGGAAGACTGCTTAAAGTAAATTCAAAATTCGGAGGCGCCCGGGATGAGTCAGCCGGCTCCCCGAGTCTTTCTTTTTCTCCGAATGCTATGAAGTTCCGCCGAGGTGTACAAGTATATGATTTTAAGTAGTCTGATGTCACTATGCCGTATAGCTTGCTGCATTTTTTCTTTTTCTTTTTCTTTTCTTTCTTTTTTTTTTTTTAAAAAAAAAAGAATGGTTTTAGGTAGTTAGTTAAATTTAAATAATTCACACGATCATAATCTATTCTAATATACATGCTATCCATCCCATTGGAAAATTAGTAGGTGGACTATTCTAACATCGAGTCAACTCCCAACTATAGATATAGATAGGGGTGACGATAAATATAACAATACAGCGATCTAACAGATGAAAATATATCCAACCTTCACCCGTATTTCGTGTTGAGCTTCTTCATAATCGACATCGCTCCACTCCTGTACCCACCACCAAACAACGCCCAGTGGTTCAGATGATGATATCTGCATAGTTGTTAGCCTCGCAAAATCCGAACAATAGGACATCAATATGGAAAAAAGCACAACTTACAACTCATACAACAGCACCCTATCCTCCCACTCCTCCTTCGGTTCAGCCTTCGGCACCAACCCCTCATACTCCTTCCAGAAACTCGTCCCAAACCCTCCAAACATACGCATAATACCCAACTCGTACTCCGAGTGCCCATACACAGCCGACGGATCGAACAAAACCTCCTCGACACCCCCCTCGCCCGCAATCCTCCCTCGCCCGTGATTCCCACTCCACAAATCCCCATGCACAACAACCGGATAAACACCCTTAACATGGCCATCCCCAATCAGCCTCGGCACCACCGCACCAGCCGTCCTCTCCACCGCCTTCCCCAGCTCCAGATCCTCGCCATTCGCCTCGACGCCCTGCTTCAGGATCGCGCGCAACCGGTTATTAGCGTAGAAGTCCGCCCAGGAGCTCTTCCACGAGTTATCCTGCGGCGAGGACCCGCAGCACGTCGTGACCGGGAACCCGAACACGGGCTTGTCGAAGCCGTCTGGGATCGGCGCGGGCGTCGTGTGCAGCTTTGCCAGTTTCTTGGCGAGGGAGTCTCCCGACCCGTTCGGGCGCGATGACCCTAGCTCGAGGAAATCTGTCACGAGGAAGAACCGGTTGGGGTTCTCTTGGCAGACGCCGTTGGCGTGGGATTGGGGGCAGAGGTTGGGGACGACGGAGCGGATGGCGTTGAGAGAGACGTGTTCTCCTGTGTTGTATCAGCTTCTCATCAAGTGCGTATTATCTAGGTATCATATCATGGCATAGAGACATCCCACCCTAACCTTTAAACATGAGTTCAGAATCGGCTCCTGTTCCGGTCTTAACGAAGTAGTTCTTCTCCTTCCCTTCTACCGTTGAGCTTAGTTTGAAAGTCGAAGCGAACCCTGAGCCGCCATGTGAGGTGATCTTGGTGACTTGCGCGTCTAGACCCAACGCTTCTAGGATCGCTGGATCGACCTTGGAGGCCATGGTGGTTGCGTTTCTAGTGGCAAGAGATTTGCGCAGATTAGTTGGTATGCACTTCAAGCTTGTTAGGACCTTCATGCAATATCACCTCCAAGTGAGATCTTAGAGACGAAGATGAAGCTGCTGATCGTCTGATAGATAGTTTATATGAATGACGTCACTTTTCTTGATTGGCGTAGCACTTCCAAGCAATCAAGCAATCAATCGAAGTAAGGGCCGGAGACGCACAGTAAAGCTTCGTCTATATCAAACAAAGAAAATATCTATGTAGAGTGGTGTAAATTCAGCTCTAATTTGGGGTATCGTCGTCCTCGGAACTCCCCGTACAAACGCGATGAGCGAATAAGTGAATCTGCCAAGTCGCATGCCGCATGCCGATGATGTACAATAGGATCGACAAGCGCATCTAGTGACCCCGTCCGCCCTATAACCTACATAGGTACCTAACCTAACAAATCCATCTTTTAGGGTATCGATAAGCCACTAAGCACCCTAAGAAGAGCCCCGACAGAACGGGTAAGCCCGCACAAAACTCGGCAACTAGTCCAGGGGCCTAATCTACCTGGTTACCCACACCTTTCCCTTTTCTCCCATGATAACGCCACACACTAATACCTAACAGAAGCCTTAAAGCCAAGCTAACCAGCGGCTAGATTTTTCACCTAGTTGCCGCAGCCACAGCTGAACGCTAACAAAATAAACTCCCTTGCGCCGAAAAGCTTATACGCGGGTATTCTTCATTCCTTCGTCCCCTTATGAGGCCTTGTTGTTGCAAGGGTGCTCGGGATTCTTCCGTCTTCGCAATTATTCAGCATCCTTGCTGATCAACTCAAAATCGAATTTTAAGCCTTGGTTTCCGAACTAACTCGCCGAGTTGAAGTTGTTGGTGCCGAGCATAAGGGAACTAAGTCTGAAGCTACACTTGCCATGCTTGACTTATGGGCTAGACTGTTTGCCTGCTTATACCACGGTTTCTTCACGGGTTTCGATTTAGACCCTTCCTCCTTCGACTTCTCGACAACGGCAGCGTTCGTATTACTTCTCGGTGGTAGAACCTCGCCGGGATCTATAGGATCCCTAAAGACTTCTTGACCGTGTCCCGTGCCGTTGAAGCAAGCTGCGCATGGGCAGATAGGTACTATGGGCTGGAGACGAGATGGATGGGCCGTCTGGCTCCGCCACCAGTTTTGGAATTCGGTCTTCATTGTAGTGTGATGTGCTTGAAGTAGGTAGATAGCCTTCTATGTGTTTCCGTTCGCAATGCCTTCGTAATATGTAGAGATGGTATGTGTATCGAGCTGGGAGCTTAGTTGAGAACAAAGGGTAAAACACAGCTACGATTGTCTAGAGATCTGAAGCTGTTTAAGTACTTAAGAGCCAAGCACTCCTTGCATTCGGCCTTGTCCAGAGGACACTAGCAGAAGCAGGCGGAAAATAAAACTCGCTATATAGGTAGGTACCTAATGTATCTGCTGCACCATGAGGCTCCGTGTCGTTACATGGCATCCCCGAATCATCCCGCGTGTCGCCACTCCGGAATGCCAAGGTATTTTTAGTCTGAATCAGTCTGCTTAACATGCGCATATGGCCGACACGGCTGCACGGCAAAGGCGCCGCTGATGCTTTGACCCGGTAGGTATGCGGCTACGCACGATTGCTCCCAGCTTATAAATTAAGACATGCGGGCAAACTCGCAAGGGATTGTCCAAGGTATGTGACAAGGTGACGAGTCACCGCCTCTCGTTTACACGTATGTATTTAGGGGGTTAGATATGAATAGCTTTCTTCACCGGTTTTTAAATGGAGTCTTGTGCCTCGAAGACGTTGTATGTTACCACCTTCAAGGTCCTAATTCGTTGGACACGATGAGTGCGATGAGTGCGATGAGTGCCGTGGGTTACACGAATTGTTCCTGAGCGGCCCCCACGTATGATATACGTAGGTTCCGGTGCGGCGATGTCCAACGTATTGCATTGGACGCCTTATTCATAGTCGATGTTACCTATCTGCATCTAAGATCACCACTTGTCCAATTTGTACCAGATTGACCGCGAGGCTAATATTGGGGTGCTTCGTCTACAGAAAACTTGATTGCGGTCAAGCACAAGAGGTGTAGGGCAAGAGAAAAATAAGGAAAGAAGGAAAAAGTTGATTTACAATGGAAGTCGGCGATTCTGCGGACTTAATTCGGAAACCTTATCCTGTGCCTCTTACTCAACATTACTAAGGATGCACGTGATTTATAGAACTTCATAGTCCGGGTGACTAACATTCATGACTCAGCAAGGAGGAAAAAAGTTGAAGATAGATTATTTATTACCAGATGGAGATAATATAGCCTCTTTTCACTGTTAATTATGACCTTAGGATTTATCACCCTTTTTTATTTTTTATTTTTTTCAATTTTTTTTTTCATAGTGGGCGATGGTAGTTAAGGTACGGGGTAAGACTCTAATCGCATATATTGTTGGCTGCCGCCATAGGTAGCGTACAAATTTATCAGACGCTTCCACCAATTAATTGATCAATTGGAGTGATTTGCCTTTTAGCGAATCAAACAAATTCCGATATGATGGGATGCAATTTACTTTAGCACTAGAAATGATTCTGCGCGAGGTTTCTTCTACGTAGCGAGGAAGTACAATTTAGACGGGATGGTATTTAGATCACTCCCTTATATATATTTAAAATAAATGTCTACGACTTTCGTAAAGTTAAAATATTGCTAATGACTACCTAATCGAAGTAAACATCTTCTCATGTCTTGTCTACTAAAAAATGGAGGATCATACTCTGTCTAATTCCAAGGGGCTTACAACAAGAATTTTGAGATTCCCGAAACAGATCTGGGCTGGAAGTTTCCTGGAAAATCTGATTCGCAATGATACCATATCATTGATGTAGACTTTGAAATATCCATAGCTGTCTCATGTGTAGGATCTATAGTGAGACACAAATAATGACTTTAGAAATGTTGAGTTGGAGGGTAGGATAATGACAACCAAGACAAATGTGGTGTTGTTCAACCCACCTACCTTTGATTATCATAAGCAACATATAACAAAGTACCTAGGTAGGCAGCAGTGTAGAAACAAGGAGGCTGATTCTGCGATAATGGTACAGCATCAAATTGTGCATGGACCATTTTTAGGAGTGATTCTAGGGAAAATAGGAAGTGAGGCCCTAATGATTGTAATTGAACAGAAGGATCAAGAAATTAATCAACTTGCTGTCTGTGCATCAACAACTGATTCTACAATTAATTTTTACAACTGATGCCTTAGTACCCTAACTTTATCACTACCCTTCAGTCTTCCAAATTTGCACATCTTAACCTCAGGTACTCAAAGCCAACCAACCAACCAGTCATCTAGCCATCCTAATTTGGTGATTTCCCTTAACTCTACCACTTCTAGAGAGAGTCGACGCATCACACAAATTATTCTCCCTCTTCTTTCTCTACAAATTGAGAGAAAACTTTTCCATATAAACCCACGACTTCTACAGCTGCAATTACACCCAAACCAGGTGGCACCTTACACCCAACCACCAACCACCCACACAATTCTCTCCCAACTTCTCTTACGAATTCCCATTCGCATTCCTAGGTATTCTTGAGAGGCGCAGCTTCAACTTCATATCGCAACCCTAACTGTCGACCTTCAATCTGGTCTGCAAGACATACACCTGCCCAGAAGAACATCGACTGCAATAGCAACACCCCACACCTTAGATTCCCAAGACTAACCACCTACACCACAATGTAAGTAAAGCCCCCCCCCCCCCCCCAATATCATCAAGATACCATCCCCCAGCGCAATTACTAACCAAGCCCCCCCAGCCCCAACCAACCAACCAACCAACCAGCAACCATGTCCTCATCCCACGTCTACACCGTCCCCGGCGCCTACGGCCAGCCCATCCCGTGGTACATGCTCAGCCCGGACAACACCATGCACCGGCCCTTCGGCGCCTTCTCGCGCGGACACGCCGTGGCCCCGCGGCCCTTTATCTTCGGGGTCCCGCCCGAGGAGCTCGCGCGGCGCCGAGCCGACGCCGCCTTCGAGGAGCGCATGGCGCAGCTAGCGCGGTCTCCGGGCCAGCCCGCGCCCGCGCCCCGCCGCCCGTTCCCCGAGCCGCAGATGCCAGTTCTCGGGCGCGCGGTCCTGCGGGTCGGCGCCGCGCTGGGCCGCTGCGCGGCGCGGGTGCGCGCCTGGAGCGCCTGGGGCGCGCGCACCAGCGAGCAGGTGAAGCAGGACTACGCCCGCGTCATGTTCGTCGCCGAGAGGAAGTATTGGCTGGCGCTGACCGCGTACCGGAAGAGCCCGTGGCCGAACACCCTGCGCCAGCTGTGGTATCTGCTGCTGATGCTGCTGGGGCTTGTGCTCGTGGTGTGGGTTGGCTGGTTGAAGATTCTCGCGGTGATGGAGGAGCGAGGACGGAGAGAGGTTTATCTACGCGGGATCCCGGAGTACAGGGTGTGGTCTGTTACCCAGCCGCGATGTACTGGCTAGATGAGTGAGTTGAGGGGAGTGAAGTAAGAGGAGTGAGTGAACTGAGAGGAGTGGGAGTTTGGGTCTTGGGATGAAATGAGAGCGTTGGAAAAGAAAAGAAAACGATAAAAAAAAGGGAACGCATAGGAGTAGGATAGGCTTCTAGGTTATTAGAGGAATCCAAGGGCATCTGGAGTAGCCCAGTTCTATCTTCATATCAGCGCGTCATTACTGGTTATTACACGTGTATAGCTCAAGGCTTAGACACCTAAGCTAGACAGATCGAATTAGCATAGCGGTTTCGCAAAGTTGAAAGTTTAGCCGTCACGAATTCGAAAAGGGGGCAAGACGTCAGGGTCTAGATTAGGAAAAGCAATTCCATTGAGAATCAAGAGGGCGAGGGAAAATATCAAAATGCATGCAATAGTGACAAACCCGCCCTAGCTCTATTTCACAACACCTCTCCCGTTATTCTCACGCACCCCGGAGGTCCAACCCTGAAAAAGTTAGTACAGTCTATCGGACTAGTGTCTATCGTCCTTAGATACCCAAGCTGAATTCGACGCCGACATCAATGTCCCGAGCTAGGTGAGTGTTAGCATTATCCATCTCACTCTGGAATATTAGTCTAGTAAAAAAAAAAAAAAAAAACATACCCAACTTCACAACCTTGGACAGTTGTACAGACTTCTCCGCGGCGCTTTGGAGGTCGTCGATGGAGAAGATCTTCATTCCAGAGTCGTTGATTAGTTGGTGGGCTTGCTCCACGTTGGTGCCTTGTAGTCGAGCAATGATAGGGACCTTAAGGTTCAAGGTCTTGACGGTGTTGATGAGACCGTGGGCGATGGCGTCGCATCGCACGATACCGCCGAAGATGTTGACGAAGACGGCAGTAACCTTAGCGTCGCTAGTAATGAGCTCAAAAGCCTCCTTGATAGCGGCAGGGGTAGCACCACCACCGACGTCAAGGAAGTTGGCGGGCTGGCCACCGTTCAGCTTGATGATGTCCATGGTAGCCATGGCCAAACCGGCACCGTTGACGAGGCAGCCAATGTCACCGTCGAGCTTGATGAAGTTCAGGCCAGACTCGGCGGCGCGAACTTCCTCGGGGTCTTCTTGAGTGGTATCGCGCCACGAGAAGATATCCTTTTGTCGGTAGTCGGCGTTGTCGTCGAATCCGAATTTAGCGTCCATGCACATAACCTGGTGGTCAGAGGTCTCGGACAGGGGGTTGATCTCGATCTGGGTGGCATCCTTCTCGAGGAAGATCTTGTATAGCTTTTGGATGGTGTCCTTAGCATCCTCGATGCACTGCTCGCTGAAGCCAAGCTTGGTCGCAATATCCCGCGCAATCTCGTCGGTTACACCAACCTTGATGTCGATGTAATTAGTGTTGATAGCTTCGGGATTCTCCTTGGCGACGCCCTCGATATCCATACCACCCTGAGAAGAGGAGACGATGACGGGACCCTGCGAAGACCGGTCCATGAGAATGGCCAGGTAGAACTCTCGGCGAGCGAACTTGCGCTCGCAGATATAAACCGAGTTGCAGAGGCGGCCAGCCGCACCAGTCTGCTTGGTAATGAGTTTGTGGCCGATCATCTGCTCGGCGAACATCTTGGCCTCTGTGGGAGAGTAGATGACACGGACACCTCCCTTCAGGCCGTTGTCGAAGCTACCCTTTCCACGGCCACCAGCCAAGACCTGGGCCTTGATAACCATATCCTCACCACCGATCTCCTTCGCTACCTTCTCGGCCTCGGCGGCAGACTTCGCATTGCGACCTTTCGGGACGCTGACGCCATACTAGAATAACGTGTTAGGATATATTTGAATGTAATAGTTGAGCGCTAATTTCTACCTGTCGCAATAGGTCGGCTGAGAGATATTCGTGAATGCTCAGATTTCTTCGCTGTTGTTGGGCGATGCCGTTGAATCTGGTAGCGGGGGAGAAGGCAGTCTACATCAGACAGAAATAGATTAGCACGATTCACTAAAAAGGCAATACATGTCTGGATAGACAGCTCGAATCAAGTCGTCCAAATCATCTCACCTTAGAAGCCCGCAGGGCAGAAGCTGCAGCTCGGCTGCGAGCGAAACCGTACATTATAACGACGGGAGCTAGGTCTGAGCGTCAATTGATTTTAAGATAGCCCAGGGAGAACGAAGCGCCACTGGCTGCTCGGTTATAACGGATGAAAGGAGATGGTTATTTTTCAACTGATGTTGCGATGCTATCGTCAAACAAGAACAACTGGCCCCGGCCGTTAGGGAGAGCTCTTTTCCGACAGAAAACGGGAAAATCCGGTCAATTCATCTGGTAGGACCCACTCTGCCCGGTGAAGCTTAGGTGCGACTTGCAGCTGATGCTCCTGCATGACTTCAGCGAGCATGTGCCACGGGGACTGGATCAAGTATCTTCCGTCGCATTTTTAATGCGTTACGTAAGGCCCATGTCCTTCATGTAACTTTGCCATGTGCTAGGCGTACATAGTGAAAGCTACGCATAATTTACTGTCTAACACTGTGTCGCTTATCTTATCGTATCTTCAATTCATCCTTACCTTTTTCTTTCCTTACCATCTGAATACCGATGCGACAGCCCGCTGCCAAACCGGACAGCAGCAGCGCAGCACAATATGACCATCATGATCTGGCGATAGTATAGCTCGCTAGCTAACATACCTCATACTCCCTCGTAGAAATTATAAACCGAGTACCTCATTGCCATTCCACCATGGCGCCAACCTCTACTTCGACCTCAAAGGTCGCGCCCACCGGCAACCCAGCGCCCGACTTCACCGTCACCATGAACCGTATTCAGACGCAGCTCGAAGCGCGCATGAAAGCCGCCCGCTTATTCCTCCCCTCGCGCTCCGATCTCAACAACGCCTCCTCATCCTCCGGCAGCGGTTCCTTCTCTGCGCTCGGCGGCAGCTCCAGTTCCTCCAACCCCCGAGCCCAGTTTCGCGATGCGGCAGCCAGACGAGCCGCCGAAGAAGCAGAGTTCGCTGAAGAGCGCGGTCTCGATCCAAACGCGGGTATAGGGCTAACTCGCAGTCCCGCGACCGGAAACGAGAACACCGGCGGAACAGATCGGGATACAGCCAGACTGCGTGGGCGACTGTTGGGAAAGCGAGGGAGGAACAGCGCCGATGCCAACGGCCAGCAGAAATGGGTGCGCAAGGAGGACAGCAGCGACGAGGAGGCGGGGCGGAGCGGACTCGGACGAGCTAAGAGGAACGGGAAGAGATTACGGGCGGAGGAGATGCAGGATGGTAGTGACCATGTCGAGTCGGGTACATCCTCAGAGCCTAAGAGGCAAGGGGCTGATACAGACGGTATCAAAGCGCAGGCTAGCCGCACCAACGGTCCCAGGGACGGAACGGAAAACCCGGTTGTCGAGCCCGCAGGAGCAGCACCCAAAATTGAGCCCAATCAACCCCCATCGGAAGAAAACCCGAAGAAAAAGCGGAAGAGGAAAAAGAAAAACAAGGCAAGGGATGGAACTAGAGCCGGAACTGGAACTGGAACTGGTGGGGGAGTAGGGTAATAAGATTGGATCGTCCCTGTGGCTGTCCCTTAAAATGACAGAGTCTGCAATTGGGACTTCTAAGCCAACCATTTAGCTTCGAATTAGATTTACTAAGGAGTCTTCGAAATGTGATAGATCATATCATCAACAATCAAACTGCTAGGTAAGGGAACTACTGCGGCTCCCTGGCCGGTTACTGCATGCAAAGAAGCCTTTACTCCTCCATTAACTACTTTCTTAAGAGTACATGATTAGTGACTCCGCGAGCGTAGTTGCGCGTGAAGCAATTGGGACAAGATTGTTCCTACTCGACTCCTATCCAACCGATTACGACAGCCACCCCTCCCCAAGCAAGAAGCAAGCCCATGTTCCGTGTTGTACAAAACCCAATGGGCAAGTTGGTTCAGACAGACATTCGACCCCCCAGCCTCCAAATTTCAACATCTGCTATGTGAATGGAATAGTGTAAGTGTTTTCTTACCCATCGCCATACCATCACCAAACCATCACCAAACCGTTCCGAGTAATTCTCAAATGTAGCCAACGCTTTTTTGGTATTTCAGCGGGAAACTTGAATATCCAAGAAATGAATATAGCAATGCAGTGACAGAAAGGAGAATTTATGAAAAGTGAAAGAAAATTCGTAAGGTGCATAGTCGATGTCATATAACATGGCCGTAGCGTGTCGTTCCGAATCCTTTAAGAGATTCGCGTATTCCGCATCAATCGCTCTATACAAAAACAAAATCCCGCCGTGTGTGGTATAATGTGCGACAACGCTTTCCATGACGTGAGATATGGGATATTCAAGGACCTATAATGCCAATTATTACATCCGTTTTCGCTTCCGATCCTCGTCTCCTCGAGGATCGTCCTCGTCGTCTCGTTCTACTGTATCGGTTGGGTTAAGAATGTGTGCCATGCTTCCCCTCCTGGTTGGGGGAGCAGACATGTCTTTGACTGAGAGGTTCTTGTTTTCTCGGTTGGCCGAATTCCAGGACCAGTTATTGAGACTTTCTAATCCATTTCCAATACTACCGTTTGAGAAAGGAGCTGGTGGAGTAGCAGGTCGTGATAGTGAGTAATGTGGCGGTGGGTCGCGGATACGTTGCTCGTCATGGGCGCCTCGATTAGGGGAAGACGGCCAGTGAGACGAAGGCGGGCCAGAAGAGATGTACGGAGGCGGGTTGACTTGCCACCCAGCAGCTCGGATATCGGCTGAGGTGTGCCGCCTGGACAAGCTGCTCGGTGGGGGCTCAACGGTAGCAAGCGGATGAGGCCCAGGAGGAGGTGGCGGTGCTTGAGATCGGAGGGGAGAAGGCGACGACTGGGTTGTGCTCCCGCTAATCGACCCATGTGATCGACGTGAGCCTATCGCAACATTGGAGGAGCTAATTGCGAGATTAGAAGATACTGGGGGTCGGTAAAAGTTTGTTCGAGATTGAGGGTATCCCCCTATTCTTCTTTGATCGTCCTGAGCTAACTGCCGAGGAGATACAGGGGGGTTTTCGAGGTTTGCAAAGAGCTGGCGGCTACTCGGGAAGGTTGGCTCATGTGGTTCGTCGATGGATCGGACGAATTCGGTCTGGCGTTGAATTTCCCCTTGTAACGCAAGAACTACGACCGTATTAGACCATTAAATGCCTTTCTTGTCTGTACAAAATGAAACTTACCATCTCTGTGGACGGGATTCTCTGGTGGAACGAGGCTCAGAACTGTTCTAGATAATTCTTGATTTAGCTGCAACAAGCGATTCATCGCGTCCGACATTGCTTGCTGCTTCACGTTCATGTAATGAGTGTTCTCCTCGCTGCGTTGCAGTCTAGTCGTGACTTCGTACAAGGAGTGCTCAATGCTCGCAAGCCTCGGATCTGAGCCGTCATGAATTGGTGGCATGGGTTCTGCTGGAGTACCAGGCTGCGACGGGGTTGGCTTCTGGCTATTGTACTCTCGGTGGTCCCGGTGGATCAGTGTGTGACGAGATGCTCGCCGCTTGATCTCGCGCAGTCCAACTAGGTCGCCCTTCTTAAAGTTCCCATTGCCATGTTTAAATTCCCACAGCGCAGTTTCTGGGGATCCAGTGTGAAATACGTCGCTTACTGAAATGCTCATCTCATTAGTCGTCTAAGATTTTCCGGCGACAAGGGCTCATATTCCTGTGCATACCTTTATGAAAGCCGTACATATTTAGTTGTCGGACGAAAGAGGATATGTTTGTGTGCTTGAAATATTGGCTGTTACTCAAATTAGTCTCATTGGCTGGCCGCACGGGACTGGAGACATACGCAAGAACTTTAGAAAAATCATGTGAAGGCGACATTACGAAGCTCTCAGCGGAGCTAGACCAGCTAATTAAGTGTTGTATGTTAGGATCTTCCAACATACTGCGAAACGGTTAGTGGCCATGCGATCACCAGTGATAGAAACTATACACACTTGTAAAGTTTATGGATAAACGCAGTCTGTACTATCTTCGGCTGGTGAACAGCCGCGGCCGCGGGCGCAGGCATTGTAGTCGAAGCAAAACTCGAGCTCTGCTCTCCTGATAGCGCGGTGCTTTGGCGATCATTAGAATCGCTACCATCTCCGTCGGAGCTCTTCCTAGCACTCTGCGGGGCTGATGAATTAGTCGGCGTGGTGATATCCATGGGCTCGCCCGACGGCGAAGGAGCCGACATCTTTATGGTTGGCATCGGCGTAGGAGTGGTAATAATTGGAACCGTACGTGCGCCCATGCTCTCGCCAGCCTTGTTGACAGGTATGTTTCGCGGCGCACTCTCAGTCGCAACGTCCATCTGGTCTAAGTAGGGGAAAAAGGATGCACTAGTTAGCAAGACTATAAAACTGGAAATTAGAGACAGTCGAGACAATTTGACAAAGAGGGACAGCGAAACTACGGCGGGGAACTTGGAACTGGAACTGGAACGGGGACTGGGCCGGATTTCTAGAAAGTACGGAACCACGAACCGCATTGCTTCTATTTCATAATCGTGCACGGTTTAAGGGGCCTCCTGAGTGTTGTCGTTTCTGGCTTTTGTTTCTGGGCGAGGTATTGCTGCTAGCTCCCGATTATCTGACATGGGGTCCTTTCGACCAAATTGTCGCGGGAGTCAGCCTTGCAGATTGAAGGTTTAGCTAGCTGCTCCTCGCCGCCGTTATTTTTGTCGATGGTGGGGGAAAAAAAAGAACAACACGGGAGATTAGTTTAAGTTGGTGCTTCTGGCCAAGACTGGAAGGGGGTTATTGGGGTCGGCAAAAGATCGAAAAGAGCTATTCTATGCTCCCATCGTTAGACAGCCGACGGTACAGGATACAGGATACAGGATACAGGATACGGGATATGTGGATCTCAAAAGAGAAGTAAGATATTCATGTCAAGTTCGCAATGTGCGAGCAGGTGATGTATGTATTGTACGAAGGTCGCCATGTAGATACATACCTCTTACTTACAGGTAAAATGTACGTATGTGACAGCCTGTGGGTGGCTCGGGTTGTATGTACGCAGTTGCAAATGGAAGGTAGGTGTGGCCCCCCCGTATGGTCCTTTGGCAACCTCGGGAGCAGGGACTTATGAGCAGGGACTAATGTACATATGTACATATCTTACATGGTTCAGCCCAGACCCGGCGGTGGATCACCCTAGAAGCATGGTCCGTGAGGTGCTTGCTTCGGGGAAGGGGAGATATACCTGTATAGGTACCTAGATAGGTACTTACCTACTACGTAGATTAGGTACTTATCTTAGGTACCTATTCATGTACCTACAGTGCCTCACCACAAGCACTAATCAGACAAGGAACGATCGGGAGTTTCAACGGAACGACTTTGGGATTACCTAAAGTGAGCCCTGTGTTAGGTACTCTGCCAAGAAATAATGTACAATGTAATACAATGTACAATGTACCTAAATGTAACTCACCAATAGAGAGCTGCTAAGATGCTGACGTGAAGATGTGCATTCTGCAGCTTTCAATCTTCTGTTCGTGTAATAATAGAAGAACTGTAAGAGATGAATGATTGCAGGATATGATGGGGACGACGGCATGTCTTTCCCCCCCAGATGGATGCAGTTACATGTATGAACCTAGCAATGCATAGCAGACAGGCAGACATAGTTGGACGATTCCTCTAGAAAAAGAGGACCATGTTGTGCCCTAGGTCCGCTTTAGGGGTATTGCTAGATCCAGGATCCTTCAATTACCATGTCTTGGCCTACATACTCTGTAGTTCGACTAGCTAGGTAGGTACATAGGTATGTAGGTAGGTACCTACATAGGTAGATACTGCATGAATATCTAGGGGGGATCCTAGCCTTGGAAAATTATATGTTCAATGGCATAACTTCCACTCGGAACTTCGGGTCGTGGATCTGAAGCATTAGAGAAAGTTTGTCGATAGTCAATACATACAGACTAGTTAATGTGTAGCTACTAGCCAGTCATCAACGACGAGGAAATGAGCCTAACGTGACGATCAGTCGTATTGCTACATGAGATTTGCCATTCTGCATTAGTTCTGGACTTCTAGAAGAGTTTAGGTATAAGCGGAGAGGATGAGAGTTACACTGGGGATAGCCAAATAAAACAAAACGAGGTCATGCATGATGCCAGATATGTCTTTCGAATAAAAGGAGCATTCAGTACCGTAGAAGAAAAGACACCTTTTTCAGATTTGGCTTAATACATGTATGTTTCCATAGTCGAATATCCCACATAGGCATCGAGGCAGGGAGCTGCTAATACATACCTATCTACCTATGTATGTAAAAAGAGATCCATAGGTTGGGTATGCTTTCATTTGAGCGGAACTATCGCCGAGTTAAAACTCCACTCGAGACCTAGCCTCTCTGCCTCTCTGAAGCTAGCAGCACTAACTGCGCTAGGTACATTAAATGCCTAAAGAGGCACTAGGTGTCTTTGAGAGAGGCAGGAGGGGTGAAGAGGTACCTTATCCAGTACCTTAGGTAACCTTCCAGTTTGTACATATGGGTTTAGGTACCTAACCTATATCCACTATGTACATAGGTAGAGAAACCGTAGGCTGCACAAGGCAGTCCAAGTGGTCCAAGTGGTCCAAGTTCAGTCCACTAGTTCGGCGGAACACATGGAAGGAACCAGGAGGGACCACGTTTGTGTTATTACTCACATACGGCACTCATAAATCAATTATTACTTACCGCACCATACGCTGTTACTACCTGTACATACGTATACCCGCGCCAGTCCGCCTTTAGATCTCAGATCAGATCAGATTAGAGCCTAGGCAACTTGGCCCCGGCAACCTCGAAAAACGGCGATTTCAATTCAATTGATCCTTCTTATGTACGCTAGCATTCCATATTTACACCAAGATCTATAGTTACTAACCTAGGTAATAGGTACTTGGTGATTACAGTTATTGCATCATGATCTTCAAGTTCCAGATTCGTGTTCCAATACCAAAGCATGATGGAATCTTCAGAGCATTTCAACATTCGGCATGAGTTGCCGTTTAATGATGCCATCTCATCAATTATTTCAAATAACTACCCAACTCTAGAAGATTGCTACCCTCTAGAAGATAGCTACCCAGGTATCTACGGTGCTTGAACAACGATGATCAATGCATACGCTACCTACATTTCATCCAAGCAGCCAATATTAATAACAATGCTAATAAGGGACCACAACCGGATTTATTTTATAATATACACCAGCCCACGCAAACCATGCAGTTCCGGATGCCCCTAAATCTTTCCTTTCTTACAACTCCTATCCTCGCAGTGCATACATATATATCCTGCGTGCATGGGATGAACCAGGGATCATTCATATTCTAGGACATCGGTATACTGCATCGGTACTCGATATGTATGTATATGACTCGTCCAATTACATCGATTACACGGCTACTCAGCATCTCACGGTTTTCAGCACGGTCCGGGCGATGCAATTCAGGGGCACTACACCACCGACCACTTGGAGATGTCAGCTCCTTCAGCCCACCATTGAAGAACATACGACCAATTCGTCGTTTCCATTAGTAGTTTCTTGCATTCCTTCAGCTACACATATCTTCGTATTTGGCAAAAGAGCTGTCAAGGATTTATTACTATGATATCAACAAGGTACCATTCCAATCAGCAGAACAGCCCCATGTGTAACAGAGCGCCATTCCGAGAATGTGAGCGTACTACAAAAGTCTCGCTAGGGCTTGCCAATGATCATGGCAAGCTTCCTGGCATATTTAGATCCAGCTGTTACTAAGCCCATGTCATCTCATAAGCCCAGTCCAGCTATGAGAACCGGACCCCATGTTTCATGAAACCGTTTTCAGCAACCTTGTGGCTGACTGTCCTGATAGTTCAACTCCAATTCTGCATAGGTGATACGGTCCGCGAATAGCCCAGCGTTGGTCGATAAACTGTTTATTGAACAATACCTGCTGAATAGTGCCGCTGGCGAGAACTTGTCGATCTAACGGTTGAAACTTGTCTAAAAGTTTTACCTTGCTTACCTATGATTATGAACCGCTGAAGTTATTGAAATTTGGTACGGCATCAATTCCACCCGACGCACTCCTAATAACAGATCCTTGAATAACTAGGTCTGATGCTTCCGCATCAAGTTCACTCCGTCTACATCGTTTCCCATGACTACGGATATACGGACGATGTATTTTGCAACCCTTCAGTACCCTAACCTCCATATCTATCATCAACCCCAAATGGCCCCTAGGGAGACAAATTATTTGATAACTAGGGGCATCTCCACCTGACTCGTGTGTCTCGGTTGACTTTCTAAGCTAATTATGTGCCACTGCGTGGCAGGTTACTTATTTATAGCACCCATACCCTGTTTTTTCAACATCCGGTCTATACGGCTCATTAGCTAGCTGGCTTAGTTTCAACGACACTGACACACGCAATAGCGGATCTGAGCGCGGGTAACACGTAACAGTTAACAATTTGCAGTGGCATAGACGGTTTCCGAATAAATGGAATTGATATGCTACGCATTATAGTCGCTGTTCTACGGGATAATGGATCGATTATTACTGCTGGAGAAAACGCACGGAGGCTTAAATCCTGATCCCATATATGCTACCCAACTGCATCCTAGAACGAAGTGAGCTTGCGCGTTCACGTGCGTTGCCACTAACCTGCATACATGTACTGTAGTCAACCTGCAAGCAATACTCTGTAACGAGAGTAGCGAGGCGTCTAGTCTGCAGGAGGCTATGTGCCTACGTTAGTGTACGCATCGATGATTCTTGGATCATCTAATTTTACTATTGAAAAGGGGCTATCTGATCGCTTGAGTGTTCATTACAACTATACGACTCTATACTTTGACGACCTACTATGATTCACCCTGTTTTAGCTCACCGTCGACGGCTACTATAATTATCCAGCTACTATTTACCGAGTCTATACCGATGCGCGGAATAAGTAGCACAGGAAGGGTTACCAATATAGATGACCGAGAAGTCTGCCAGCATCTTTTACGTCTACTATCACAGCCTATTCATTTCGCGAAACTACCATGTGACCAAGTATCTTCGCTGGGGGTCACGGAGATACAATGCAATACAATACCTACTTATCTACATATGTCTTGGATTGGATGCCTCGCGGTGGGGTAATACATCCTTGTTTTCTCTGCAGCTACTATATACCTTCGAGTCCGATTTGCTGCGCCAAAGCCTGCTCTCTTCTACGTAGCATCCAAGGAGGTGCCCTGCATAAGGCTGGCTGTGCTATGGCGGTATAATTATTCCCGCCAACACAAGAGCTTTTAGAAAAGGATTCAACTTAGGTGTATTTGACTTCAGAGTGCCTGCCGGACAAACACGTTGGCACTCGAGCAGAGATGATGCTAATTTGGTATATGCAGCTTTCTTCCTAGCCAATTTGCTTCTTTGCATATCTAGAGTGTGGCACTAATGTATACTGGATATACCAAACGTGCTGTACCGGCTATCAAAGTTGGCACTCGGCTTGCCTTGCCATTTACATGACACTACGTTTTCCTCCGCTAATTGCTAGACTAAAAACACCATCCAGATTCGAATCCATATCAGTGCTACATCAGGCCTCCATTTTATTACGTTGATGGAGGTTAGGAAAACCTGATAGCAATTGCTGAACCGTAAATTCAAACAGACGGTTGATATAGTTGCCAAGTCGTCGTTTAGCCCCACGTTTCGCGGCTGGCCAACAAATAAGAAAAACCATCGAGTCTTTTTAGCATAAGAATATTCATGATTGGCTCACGGTATGTTTCTTAGATCTGTTAGTTTCTGGGGCCATGCATGCGATTTGGGCGGGTACACGGACGGTAAAAATGTACAATGAGACGCGGGGGCGCTTCTTCGGCAACATACCCGGCCGCGTGATGTCGCAGTCGTCCGCCTACTGTTTCAGTATGCGCGATGATCTTGTCGATTGACTGATCGTTCGGCAAACTAGCGCGGTCATCTGCGCGCTTCCTTCGGCCTCGGCATCAGTTCTTGTTGCCGAGTCCTAGTCGCACGAGCTGCGGCGCGGCCCGGCGCGGTTATCTTTAACCTGCTTAAGGCATGTATCTATAGCGGGTTAGTCGTGTATTTGAGAACTGGGCCTATTATGGGAGTCTACGTGTAGTAAGATATAAAACATTGCTATGCGAATGTGACGATGAGGCCGAAAATTAGGGCCATGAGTTGTCATGCAGGAGCTCTAAGCCAACTACAAGCTAAACTACTTCCTACGTCCAACTGCTATTTAATTCAGGGTATTCAGGGTATTCAGGGTCAAGAAGCTTGCAACTAGGCGATTACTATGCTTCCGTCCCAGCATAGCCAACACGCCCCCATAAAAAGTATAGGGATCCTCTTTACGCATCCTTTTCCGCGGCTACGCCCTAAACCTCGATTGTTATAGTCCTTTTCTTTAGTTATAGAATAGTGGTGTCCCGAACCAGTAGAATGCTACCTTAGGTACCTGCACGTAGGGTTGATATAGATGTTTCCCAAAAGTAACACATGGGCTTAAATGTTTCAAGCCCACCTAAAACCAAGTTATACCCAGGAACTGCTTTCTTTAGGCGCATCAGTAGTCCTCTTCACCGCATGTCCCCGTTCCTGGATCCCTCGGTGGACTGCATGGTTGCATCTTAGGCCTGCAGAGTTATCCTCCAACTTTTATCGGGTTCCTGTATTGGTATTGCCAATGATAGAGTTACTTCGGTATTTTGATAATTGGCTGCACTGCAGAAATGTTTGGCAGTTGGGGGTAAATTTGGCTCCATTTCTGGCTGCATTTAATCCTAAAACGTCTATAGAGGAAAGGCCCCAACGACCTGGGCCGGTGGTTACCCGTCTTCGTCTCAGGGACGCGGCTAGAAGGTATCCATTCATATGTCCGTGCACGTCTATAAGTCAAAATATCGTACGAGAATAGGACCTGTGCATAAGATCAACCAATATCTATAGCGCGTTGCTATACCCTCTAATATTATGCCCACAACCCCATGACATTTGAAACTTATGAAGGGGGGGCGGGTTCTCACCCGTATAGAAGAGCACATGAGCTTGGTATGTGAACGAAGGGCGAATTGAGCAGGATATTTTGGAATCAGACGCAGGTTTCGAATATAGTCCGCTATAGCATATGCGTTATACCTGATTCATTTTACTATACATCTTACACGGGGTATTCATATACAAAAAGTCCGGGATCGGAGTCGGACGGGCGTAGCTATCCTCGGGGAGCTACACCTTGGGCATTATCTGCTTCTCGGAGTAGCGGAGGTGCGTCTGCTCAAAAAGGAATTGTGAATATTAGTGTTATGAGATGTTTGGCCCAGTGCTATCCCTCGCGGTGATTATCGTAGCACGTAGAGTAAAGGTTTGATGACCCAGGGGGTTGTGCCTTCTTACTCGAATACTTCATCGCTATGCTCACGATGTTCAAAATTTAATGAAACAAAACTAGTGCCTCTCTTTTTAAATATAATACATATAACTAACCTATATACTTGCTGAATTAGTAAGGGGTGAGTGAGGTTTATATTAAGCACATAAAGTAAATGGTGGATCCTAACTTCTTGAGAGGTAAATCGAGTATCTAGTGTTCAATGAGTGTTGTTATTATTATGCGCAAGCTTAAGTGAAGTTCCAGGTCGAGTACTTGGAAGCTCATCTCATGTCTAACTAGCTAGCTTACCTATAAAATCTTAGATATTTTGAAGTAGAGTGTGACATCGCTTTCTCCGAGGATATTAAATAATGGGCATGTATATATAGCTATGAAGGCTTCAAGGGCACTAGTCCCGTCTTATAGTATTGTAGGGTTGGAAGATACTAGGTATCACAACGTGGACCTTAAAGGCGTGGACATAACTTCGTTATTCCATGAGGAGCTCTAAGCCTATAATAGGGAAGCCAGTGGCATGCATTAGGTTAAGTACTAAGGATGTCTTTTATCCTAGATGTCTCAACTATAATCCTACTAGGTTTTTGGATATTGGCCACCGGTCAAGTGACTACAGAGTCCTTAAGGCGACAAAAGGCTTGGATCTTAATCAATCCAGGAACTATCGCACGGCAATGATTTACCTAGTTATGACATGTTAGCTCTTGACCGCCTGAGCATCCTTGATGGGGTAGATAAGTTCTCGTTGTCTTATAGTTCACTACTAGGTTAATGCTTCTAACAAAGGGGGGCTTGTTGGGGATAACTACGGAATTTAGTCTTTTACTTAATCAGTCACACCTATTACTATTACTATAATTATAAGATATCAGTGCCCAAGGTACAGGTGATTATAATACAGTGAGTGTGTTGTAATGATGCTCCTAGCATATGGCGAGACCTAAATTTCTCGGCCACAGCGTATCAATACTCCATGAGAACTGTAACAGAATTGTTAACACGCTAGCAACCGTGTAGATAATTCCATACTTAGTTAATCCGGATTTACTCTAGACCAACTTTTAAAAAGCCATAGAGTATATTTGGTATTGACGGGTACTTTTAAGTAATGTGGCCGAAGAGTTCAGGTGTATATCCTACCACAGTAGCGGTTAAGCTCATGCGTTGGGCTAGGTAGTTTTTTGTTTCCAAGTAAGCGTATATCTAGGTGCTTAGCCACTATGGCATATGACCAAATTATAATTCAGCACAGTAGGGCTCAAACTTAAAATTCACAGAGGTTGATGTGGTGACTACAGTCGTACACCTTACTGTCAGGCCATGCGTCTGTTATTAGCTATGCATGTTGGAATGACTTTATGATGTAGCTAGAACTTAGTTGCCACTGTCATCTTGATTAATATAATACTTCAGATATATATCTGCAAACTATTCCTTCTATGATATTGGACAGTTCTTGTATCTAATGATATCCAACTCGTTGACGAGATTAAAGGGTATAAAGGAAGACTAAATCTTTTTGTTGTTAATAATACCAAGAGAGAAGAGGTAATTTAGGAATAATCGAGCTCGTCACCTGTCCTACAACACAATCATGTCTTAGTTGCCGAATTGTTAGGTATTAGATAGAAGATGCTATACTGTTTGGAAGCACAATATTTTAAAGAGATATCTATACGATTTTATTTAATATTAAACGGATATAAGAAGTGATCGGATAACATTGACAGCTGTGCAAGGTCTATCGCAAGGCTGACAAACTAGGGTTACCCGCAACCTGAACTCCTTATTCCTAGCTACGCGGTTGAGCACGATAGGTCCGGATTATATAATTTGCAGGAAAAGGCTCGTGAATATAGCGAGCTAACTAGTGGTTAATGAACTCTTACACCGTAACTGATTGATTCTCCGCCTCTTAGAATTGTAAGGAAGAAGGTACCGTAGTATATATGTCGGTGCGTTATTTAGACAATAAACAGGATCCCGCCCCTTATATATACGATGCAACAATGCAGCAGTAGAATATAAACTCGCCAGTTGCTAATAGTTCTCGCTGGCAGGAAGCTTGTTTTGACTTATAGACACTCAAGCGTATAAATAGTTGATGGCTACCTTAATTGACTTATAACAGTTCCGCGATGACTTACCATCAGCACGCGAGAGCCAAGATCCTTCCTATTGACGCTGCCAAGCACCAGCTTTCGACTGTACTACATAGTAGTACTGCGCCGACCTGAGCCAAGAGAAGTAGGTAAGCTGATATAACGCGACAATCGGCACGCAATCTGCCGGAAGGAATATCGATACGGATATTTGGTTCTATGATTGGTCTATTCATAGCGGAAAGTTTCAGCCACACGGCGTAGAAGCCAGACGATGGCAACCTGTCATTCACGCACAAGACTTGAATGATTCGTAATAGAAGGTCGTATATTTAACTAGCACTTTCTCATGAAATCATTATTGTCCTACTAGAATGAATTAGGTTAAGGATATGAGAATACTGAGTATAAGACTTCCAAGCCTCGAAGGCATTAGTGTACGCTGATGATCCTTACTAGCAGGTCCACATACAATCAAACAGGGGTGATATTTTGGCTTTTCTGGCTGGCTATATATACGACGAGTTACAGAGTGGATACGAATGAATCTCAGGGCATTCCTTCGTTTTAGATTTTCGCCGGCATAGGATTTAATATGAATTCTCTTCCCTTTACATCTTTATCTACGATATGTATGTCATATAATCTAGAGCAGCTTCGCGATGTTGACTTCTCTAGCGATCCCGACGTCCTGCGTCACTGACATATGGGTAACTTCATCCGGGACTAATACGGGGGTTTTTCTCGGCAACCCGTTTGATTCGAGCTGCTGGCCCGGTAGTAGGGACTTATCGACGACGATCTCGCCTGCATTCTGTCCGGTCGGATATACCAGCGCATGCAATGCTTCTCCATCAAATGATGACAGCGAGACGGTATGGGCGTGCTGTCCAACGTAAGTTACACTTATACGCATTATACCAATGCCGCACACGCCATTTCACGCAACTAATTGCGCACAGAGGATTTTCCTGTGACCCCGGCTTCTACTCTTGCATTTCGGGTGGTCAGACAAGCAAGACTTACATTGTGACCGATACCGATCGCGCCGGAAACACACTCACATCGCAGCTTGTGACGAACGGTGGCGTGAATGCGCATTCCATCAGAGTCGCATTTCACTCCTCCGACATCTTCGCCACAGCTACTCCCACACCCTCTTCCGTCTCGTCGCCAATTCCTGTGTCAACTTCGCCCAGTGATTCCAACGGCTCAGATTCCGACGACCCAGATTCCGACGGATTATCGGCGGGAGCTAAGATCGGCATAGGAATTGGTGTCGGTCTTGGTGGTATGATATTGTTCTTAGTACTTGGCTGGCTGGCATGGCGAAGATACAGAAACAAACGACTAGTTAGCGAACAGGAAGGCTCTGCTTACCAACCGTATATAGCGCCTGGACAGCACCAGACTCGTCCGGGAACCGTAGCGACAAAAATGAGCATGATGGACAACACTTCCGGTGTACACGAACTAGGCACGAAAACGTATATTGAACTTCCCGCGGAGGTACCGGCCGGCAGTCCAGATAGGAGAGATGGATGATACTCTAGGACCTTTCTTTTTTTCGTTTAATCTTGTGCATAGCGATTGAAACCTCACATCAGTCGATGATTTTCTATGGTCAAACGGGTTATTGTACAAGGGTAGATACTGGCTTAAAATGTACATTTCAAACAGCTCAGGTTATAATGGCCAAAGACCCTAACAGTTCAGCAGGTCCGTTAATAAATATAAACTTCTCATTAAGCTTCTCACGGACTTATTACCAAATTTATGAATTTATGTCTTAAAGTCTGAAGGCTTGTATCTAGAGACTCAAACTGATAGTGGTGTTAATCCCACCGCAAGTTGATCTTGTAGGTGTGAAACTAACTGGCAAGCTCTTTATAAATTAAAATACTATAATAGGTAACTTTAAGGTTTCGCTACCGTTCATGCTGTTGGTCTCAAGTCAGGACCAGGATGGCACCAGATCTGTCTGACGATAAGAAACATGATAACCATAACTTGACCGCAAGCATAAGATATTATTTTAAAGCATTTGTTTTTAAGCCCCTGAAATTCTGCCCTTAAACAAACGAATGAACTGCGCAGTAACTGATAGAATTCAACATCCCACCCCTTCTTCGCACGTATCACAATGATACATGTATTAATTTGAAATTACTCATATCACATTGTTAAAATTATTGTTTATGAAGTGAGCGGTTTTTCGGAGACATGAGACGTTTACGCAAGTGTACGTGCCGCTTAGTTACATTATCAAGGAGGATTGTTCGGCTCTGCAAACGTATCAGTTAATTGGAGACGAAGTCACACAATGGGGGGAGCAAGCTCCGAGAGAACAGTCCTCTCGGTAGTCCGTAATGAAGACTACTTAATTGCAGTTAAGATTCTATTGTAAATGATGGTTGGTTAACGGTTATTATAATCAACAACAGGCAGACAAAACTTAAATCCTTTATCGCATGAAGCTACGCGAGGAAGTCATCGGATGGCTATTTCAGCAAGGTACAGATCCGAAATCGAAGGATTATGCCGTTTACTCTTCGCTACGTTATACCACTCTGGATAGCGTTCAGTTATTACCTACCTATATAAGTAATCACTTTCAAAGGATGTCAGCGTTGGATCATCTGATCACCACTTCTCGATGCTAGTACTAACAGCAGCTTGAAATGAGTGCTGAGAGTTGGCGGCATTTCCTCTAAGAAGACATATGTTGATGTTAGCTCGGACAACCTTATGGTGGCTAAAGATACAACGTAGCGGTGTTATAACCTTGTATAGTATTAAAACAACGTACTTATTAAGCAATTAAAAAAAGGCTTAACATCATGGAAAATTCGGGTTAAAAGACAATGATTGGGGTTTGCTTGAAAATATAAATGACAAGGCTTAAAAGAAACAATAGACTTAATAAAAATCAATATTAATATCTAAGTTATTTAAGTGATAGATTAATAGCTGCCCATCCATAAAGTTATAATTGACATTTATTTTTTAAAAGGTACTTAGCGGTTTTATAGAAGCTGTAGGCTGGCATATCGCCGTAATGAGTTAGCAAATATACTTGTTATTTTCAACATGCGATGTTTATAAAAAGCTAACCCATAATGAAGCCTTGCAATTTACACCATTAGGTACCTCTTAGCCTCATCTTAAGATAGGACTGGCTTACACGCAATCATCCCATTAGTATATAAGATATTGTGTAACCGGACTGCCCTGTGGGAGAGCCGATGGTGGGTGTGTTACGCCGGACTCTGAAATGCTTCCAGGTGTTTAAGGCTATGGACATCAAAGCTAATCCTACTTCTTCCCGCGCAGATTAACGGCAATCCCACCAAACGGTTGTATTCATCTATTCAATAATCTTAAACATGACATTGACATATTCGGTATCTTCTTCAAACGACCTCTAATTTGACAATTTCCTATGGTTACTTTTGGGGAAAAGCATCATCATCCGGTCTCAGGTCATCCTTACATTACACATAGGACTTGCTAATTTGGAGATAGCCCTCTATATCTTTAAAACACTACTAGCACGTGCAAATATAGTACTTCATATTGAGTCCGATTCGGAACTTATAACTAGGCTTCAAGTCATCCTTCGAACGTTCTTCCTCCTATCTGGATATCTGGTTCCGGCCTGGTTTTTGCGTGCCAGTTACTAGCAACCCGGTCATCGGACACAGTTAGGAACTTCATTACATTCCCGCTCCTTAATATTTCGTGTACCGCTGCACATTCTTTTTGCACGGAACAAGCCGGGAGACCCGTCTCTGTCAAATTATCCTCGCTACCAACCGTTCGGAACGCACCATGAGCAAACATATCGAGCGTCGAATTCTTCTCGGAGACATTGCAAACCGTTTGGTCTTCTCTGAACTGATAATATGAAGGTTTACAATCATATCTGACGTATAACTTAGATCGCTGAGTGAAAGCGTTGGCGAGATAGTTACATCTGCACGAAGTTTTGCATTGGTTGAACTAGCATTGTATCTTATAAAAAAAGCACAACAAGGAGACATAAGAAACAAATTTTGGTACATAAAGGCGTTTGATCGGAACCAACTTCCGAATGCAAATCGCTTGAGTCAATTGGCTTAACCTACATGATTCGACATTATTAATGGGGAGATGTTCTACATACAATCGCCCAAAGCTTCTAGCCTTTTAGTGGCTGCATGTATTGATCGATCTGTAGCTGACAAACGTGACGTTTTGGTTGAAAGACCAGAAAGACCCGATCGGATGGACATCCTTACCTACCTACCTTAGGTACCTATGGATGTACCTAAGGTAGGTATACTTACCTACCTCTAGTGCAGCCAACGATTGCAGCTTTATAAGTGCATGAATCGGCTAGCGTAAGGCCTACGAATTCTATGTCATCATCCACCCCACCGGGGACCCACAAGAGGCTTGACGCCTTTGACGCCTTCGATTTTTTACACCAAAAGAAGACTTATCAGAACTACTAACCTAGCATTTACGCACCCAGTCCAAGCCTACAGATCGCGCTTGCCCGACTTCTATGCAGTAGTCAATGACATTAGTATATGTATTTTTCTTTTTAGTCTTACAAACCCATCTCGTTCATTTCTAGAGTCCGAACTCCGATCCTCATTCTCAGGGTCCCCGGGTTCCGACATGTGGCTATCTTCTTTATTGTTCCTACTGGCTCTGGCTTCTATGATGATGTATTGTTTTATGTCTCACTTGTTTCCTTTTAGAAGCTAGATATCTTAGACACCCTCAACACCTATGATGTGGTTATTCTAGATTTTACTTCATTCTTATTGATTAAAACCCAGACGTGTCTAAGCCAGGTCTTTCTCTTCTTTTCGGGTGTGTAGAGCCCTTTCTCTACCTAAGTCACAATGTACGGCGATAGACCTACTCCAGCAGATACAGATGTTCCTGGAGGGTACCCTGAGACCCCAGCCTCCATTCAAGCCAAACGTCTCTCGACTATTAGCCGAGAGTTTTCACATGCCGCCAACCAGGAAAGCAGTACCGACGCGTTTCCATGGGCACAACGCGGTGATGTGAATTATACCAATGTCGATGGTGCTGGTTGGAATGCTAGACCGAGTGATCCTAGTCCATCCTCTTCTAAGCGCACTATTACAGCACCTCAAAATCAACTAGCCCCTGGCGAAGTATCGTCTGATGAGTCTGAGAAAACTGAGGTAGAACCTCGCTTCGAACCTATCAAGTCGACGGCGGAACAACCAAAACTCGAACGCAGAGATAGTGAAGCTAAAACCGAAGATGATCTGTTCCGTGCCCTCTCGCGGCGTCGTAGCCTTACATCAAACGCTGAGTCGCAAGGAGAGAACGACGAAATTGAGCGATTGATGTCGCGTATGTTTGGCCAAGCTCGACAACAGAATAGCGAAGAAGAAAAGACAAGGCATGCGGGTGTCATCTTCCGGAATCTTACAGTCAAGGGCGTTGGCCTTGGGGCCAGCTTACAGCCTACGGTAGGCGATATCTTCCTCGACCTACCACGATTCTTATGGAATCTGGTGACTAAAGGACCCAAAGCCGCCGCCGGAAAGCCACCCGTAAGAGAGCTCATCAGTAACTTCAATGGCTGTGTCCGACCTGGAGAAATATTACTTGTCCTTGGTAGACCGGGATCCGGCTGCACGACGTTCTTGAAAACTTTCTGCAACCAGCGAGCAGGTTTCGAAGACGTTTTAGGCGATGTAACTTACGGCGGCACAGATGCGAAGCGCATGGCTAAGGATTTCAGGGGTGAAATCATTTACAATCCAGAAGATGACTTACATTATGCCACACTGACAGTCAAGCATACCCTCACATTCGCTCTCCGGACTCGTACCCCTGGAAAAGAATCGCGAATGGAAGGCGAAAGTAAAGAAGACTACGTAAGGGAATTTCTCAGAGTGGCCGCAAAACTGCTTTGGATTGAGCATACAATGGATACCAAGGTCGGAAATGAGTATATTAGGGGCGTTTCTGGTGGAGAGCGCAAGCGAGTCAGTATTGCCGAGGCACTCATCACTCGGGCCAGTGTTCAAGGCTGGGACAACTCGAGTAAGGGACTGGATGCATCGACCGCTGTCGAATATGTCCAGTCATTGCGAGCACTTACGAACATGGCCCAGGTTTCTACTGCCGTTTCGCTGTACCAAGCTGGCGAATCTTTATACAACCTTGTCGACAAAGTTCTGTTGATCGACAATGGCCAATGCTTGTACTATGGACCCTCCGACAGCGCCAAACAGTATTTCTTGGATCTCGGGTTTGACTGTCCTGATCGGTGGACCACGGCCGATTTTCTTACGTCTGTTACTGACCCCCACGAGCGCAGTGTCAGGTCGGGATGGGAGGATCGAATTCCACGATCAGCCCAAAAATTCGCCGATATTTTCAGGAAAAGTGAAGCTTACCGGCGTAACCTTGATGATATCCAGGATTATGAATCTCATCTCGAAGAGCAGCAGCTTGCCCGGGCCGAGAATACGTCAGAAAAGAACGAAAAAAAGAATTACACTATATCATTTCCTCAACAAGTGATTGCACTCACCAAACGTCAAGCTCTAATTATGCTGGGAGATAAGGCGTCCCTTATAGGAAAATGGGGCGGCATAATCTTCCAAAGTCTTATAGTGGGAAGTTTGTTCTACAAACTCCCACCTACAGCAGCAGGTGCCTTTACGCGAGGCGGTGTCTTGTTCTTTATCTTGATGTTCAACGCGTTAATGGCGCTTGCTGAACAGACTGCGGCATTCGAATCTAAACCTATCTTGCTCAAGCACAAGAACTTTTCTTTCTATCGGCCTTCCGCCTACGCCTTGGCGCAAACCGTCGTGGACATACCCCTAGTCTTCATTCAGGTATTTCTATTCGATATCATTATCTACTGGATGGCAGGCCTCTCTGCCACCCCATCCCAATTCTTCATATCGCTATTGATTCTCTGGATCATTACAATGACGACTTACGCCTTCTTCCGCGCGATTTCCGCACTTTTCAAGACCTTGGACGATGCCACCAAGGTGACCGGTGTCGCAATTCAGGTCATCATTGTTTATACCGGATACCTAATCCCGCCTTCGTCGATGCACCCATGGTTTAGTTGGTTACGCTGGGTTAATTGGCTCCAGTACGGGTTCGAGTGTCTCATGTCCAATGAGTTCTACAACCTACAGCTGGATTGTGTAGTCCCATTCCTCGTCCCTAATGGTGTCCCTGGTGTTGAACCACAATACCAATCATGCACATTAGCAGGTTCCAGGCCTGGAGAGGTGATTGTTAATGGAGGAGATTATATCCAAGCGTCTTTTAACTACTCGCGCGGCCATCTTTGGCGGAACTTCGGTTTCTTGTGGGCTTTCTTCGGTTTCTTCCTTGCTATAGCAATGATAGGCATGGAGAGAATGAAACCTAACGCTGGAGGCGCTGCCGTGACGGTCTTCAAGCGTGGACAGGTCCCAAAGAGTCTCCAAAAGTCTATTGAGACCGGAGGTCGTAAAGGTAATAAAGGTGATGAGGAAGCCGCAAGTTCTAGGGAGAAAGCTACCATCTCCGAAGAAGCCTCTGCAGCACAAGAAAGACGAGATGAAGAGGCCATGCAGACAGTCGCCAAGAACGAGACTATATTTACGTTTCAAAATGTCAACTATACGATTCCTTTCCAAGGCGGCGAGAGAAAGCTACTGCACAATGTCCAGGGTTTTGTCAGGCCCGGGAAATTGACAGCCCTTATGGGAGCTTCTGGAGCTGGAAAAACGACGTTGCTAAATACTTTGGCTCAGAGGTGAGAATACTCTGACTTCTAAGGGAAATGCGTACTAAATTATTTTTCTAGGATTACATTTGGTGTCGTAACAGGAGACTTCTTAGTCGACGGAAGACCCCTTCCAAAATCATTCCAGAGGGCCACGGGGTTTGCGGAGCAGCTTGACATCCACGAGCCAACTGCAACCGTACGCGAAGCCCTACAGTTTTCTGCGCTTCTTCGTCAACCGAAGGAAGTATCAACAAAGGAGAAGTATGCTTATTGCGAAACGATCATCGAACTGCTTGAGATGCATGATATCGCCGGAGCAACAATAGGAATGGTCGGCGAGGGCCTTAACGCAGAACAGCGCAAAAGACTTACCATTGGTGTTGAACTTGCATCAAAGCCAGAGCTGCTGATGTTCCTAGACGAGCCTACGTCTGGTCTCGATTCGGGGGCAGCATTCAATATCATTAGATTTTTGCGCAAGTTGGCTGATGCTGGCCAGGCTATTTTGTGTACTATTCACCAGCCTTCGGCCGTGCTTTTCGAAAATTTTGACGAGTTAATCTTGCTCAAATCCGGAGGCCGCGTGGCGTACGCAGGCGAGCTCGGAAAGGACAGTCAGCAGTTGATCAAATATTTTGAGTCTAACGGTGGCCCGAAATGCCCCCCCGATGCAAACCCAGCTGAGTGGATGCTGGAGGCTATCGGAGCTGGAAATCCGGATTACGCAGGCCAAGACTGGGGCGACACCTGGTTACAATCTAAAAACTTCGAGGACCAGTCAAAGGAGATATCTGAGATGAATGAGAAGCGCCGGAATGTCCAACATTCGAAGAATATCCAAGATGATCGCGAATATGCTATGCCTCTATGGACCCAGACAACAGCAGTCGTCAAGCGTTCCTTCGTTGCCTATTGGAGGTCGCCAAATTATATCATGGGCAAGATGATTCTGCATATATTCACTGGTCTTTTCAATACCTTCACATTCTGGCGTCTAGGCGATGCTAGCATCGATATGCAATCCCGCTTATTTTCAATCTTCATGACCCTTACGATTTCACCCCCACTGATTCAGCAGCTTCAGCCCGTCTTTCTCAACTCACGAAATATTTTTCAATCTCGCGAGAACAACGCAAAGATTTACTCGTGGTTTGCATGGACCACGGCCGCAGTACTGGCGGAAATACCTTATGCTATTGTGGGAGGTGCCATCTACTTCAACTGCTGGTGGTGGGGATTGATGGGCTATAAAATGACTGGTTTCCCATCTGGATTTACCTTCCTGTGCGTGGTGATTTTCGAGCTGTACTACGTCAGCTTCGGCCAGGCCATTGCGGCCTTCAGTCCTAACCAGCTGCTAGCAAGTCTGTTCGTCCCCCTCTTCTTCCTTTTCGTCGTGGCCTTCTGTGGCGTGGCCGTGCCGCCGGCCTCGCTCCCATATTTCTGGCAGAAGTGGATGTATCCGCTCACCCCCTTCCACTACCTATTGGAAGCTTTCGTTGGTATAGCTATCCACGATAAACCTGTTACGTGTAAACCGACCGAGCTCGCGCGTTTCCGCCCTCCTCCTGACATGAGCTGTGAATCGTACACCGAGAATTATTCTGCGCACGCGAGTGGAATATTGCAGAGCGTCTCGAATGATGGTCTCTGCGAATACTGTCAATACAAGAACGGGGACGAGTTCGGAACACAGTTCAGCGTCTACTACAGCAATATCTGGCGCGACTTCGGCATCGTCTGGGCTTACATCTTGTTCAATTACGCTGTGGTATACTTTGCTACGTATCTAAGGTTCAGGGGCAAGAATCCCTTCAGCGGGATCCTGGCGAAGAGGAAGCAGAGGAAAGCGTAAAAGTAAAAGAAGCATAGTGCAGTGGTCACGATAGGGCTCTCTATGGTCTGGGTTAGACTGTGAGGTCGTCCACGCGTGTTTGTATTATTCGAGTAATAGGGGCTAGGCCTGGTTTAAAAAGTTAGGGATGTTGCATAGGGTTGGGAATGGCCGACATAGAGACTATGAATAGGGTAATAGACATAATTGTATCGATTATTTTGCATGCTTACCTCTATATTGAGGTGATTGTGTTGTCGAAGAATATTATTTCATGTACCCAAACAATATAATGAAAGGTCTGGAAGAGGGTAGAATCTGAAAACTGAGTACTAACTTTGCCAGTGATGAGACATTCGCTATGGACACCTTTATAGCCTTATACGGAGGTATATTAGAGAGTCCACGTATATCAGACTCATTAAACAGTAAATTTAAGGGTATCATCAAAACAACAATGCGGCTAACGTTTATCCCCATCCTAGAACCCAGACTTCCCTCAAGCCATTGGTTAGTTCCTCTACTGAGACACTATTTTCTTTGTTTTAATATTGTCACCTTTCCCAATGCTATTTTCACACTCCACGGCGACCAGCTTTAAACGGTCGCATTCGCGTTTAAACCCGCGGCGTCCCTCAGACTGGACCTGGGACCCGCTGTAGGCCTCCGCGCCCTTGTCCGTATCTTTATCGTCTTCGGCCATGTTCATATTCGCCGGGACGACCCTGTTCAGCACGAAGTCGTCGCGGTAATGGCGGTCGTAGGTCTTGCTGTCCTGGCGGCCGTGCTCCAGGGACGAAAGCTGCAGGTCGAAATGCGGGGACGAGGTCGAGGAGGCGGAGGAGAGGCGGCGGTGTTGGTGCGTTACGTGGACTTCTTGCGTGATGAAGATGTTGTTGAGGAGGGCGTGGGTGAGGGCGGGCCAGAAGGTGGGGATGGATGCGCATATGCTGGCTAGGTCGACTTCGAGGGCGGCGAGGATGATGCTCTTGGGCCCGTACCAGGTCGGGTCTAGGACGGGGTACGTCCCGGCTTTGTTGGCGACGATGGTCTGGAGACGCCATATGCTGAGGAGGTTTACGCTGTTTGGGTGCTTGTGTTAGTGAGCTGGACTCGGGTGGTAGGTAACTGGCATCCGACGAGATGAACTTACACAAGGCCCAGAACCAAGAGAATCCCGATGCCCAGCCGCTGCTTCCACGCCGTCGACTTCCGGAAGTACAGCGGGACGGAAATAGCCAGCACCAAGGCATCCAGAACGGCATTCGACCCCGTGTGGCCGGCAAACATGCCGGCTATCTCCTCGGGGACCTTGGAGCCGAAGCCGTAGCAGTGGGCCGGCGAGTTCCAGTTCCAGAACCCGGAGACGGGGAAGCAGGGAAACAGGGCGCAGAAGGAGAAGCCGGTGCCCCAGGTCCCGGCGACGGCGAGCCCGATCCAGCAGACGGTTCGCGCGCGGGACCCGGCCTCGAAGATCCGGAGGTACTGCGATAGGAGACACAGCTTTACGAGGGTGGCTGAGATGGTGTATGTTGCTAGGCAGACGTAGAATTTCTGCGAGGGGGGGGAAGGGGGTGTTAGTACGGAGTGGAGGTGGCGTATAAGGGGGGATGGGTGGTATGGTGGTGGTATGGTGGTGGTATGGTTAGAGAGAAGCAAATACTTGCCTTTTGGAACGCGACTATTTTGTCGTATCCGATTGTTATGATGTGCTCGCCGAACCCATCGTTCAGCGCTGGGGTTCTAGTTAGCTGGCAGTTCTTCCTGGGTACGAGTGAAAGGAGGCGTCTTACAAAGACACAAGAATATCGAGCCAACGGTAGCTGATATCTATGCTCGACAGTTAATTTAATATCCACTCGGAGAATCGTTTAAGCAAGTGGCTTACCCTGAAGAGCACCACGAATAGATCGTCCCAGCCTAAACACCGTAGCTTGATGCGTGTGTATATTCTAAGTATCACGCAGATATAGGAGACGACCTGCGTTGACGTGGTTAGCGAGCAGCTGGTGTAGCGTTGCTTCGATGTGCAATCCTCACCATAAAAGGAATTATCAAGCCATAGACGGCAGCTCGGTGATTGAGCAGCGGTCTCGGTTCGTGAGAATTATCATACGCTGTCATGAGGCGGACGAGCTCCGCAGTATTGTCAGTTGACATATTCGAGCCGTCGATGAGCTCTCCATGTATATATCAGAGGTAGCAACCATTAATGCTCAACACGGCTTACCCTCTCATCACCTCGTCATCATCATCATCTTCATCATCGTCGTCGTGACTACGTACGTGTCGGGAATTGTCAAAAACAGCGGCCTTAGGCCGGCCTCGTCTCCAGCGCGAGCGAAGTTCCGGGCCACCCGTTTGTTTTAAGCCGAAGGATCGCTGCTGCGCCGTGTTTACGCTCGCTCACGCACTCACTCGCTCGCTCACATTACTACATACATGCTCATACATAACCTAGAAATATAGCCGGTTCTCTCCCCGGCGAAGTCCCCCTTTGCGTCTAACCGCATCTCGAATAGCCAATCCTTAAAGATAAGAAGTGTGGATGATACGCATGGCGTATTTCTGGTCCTCGGGTCTTCCGACATTGGTCCGGAGGCTTGATACACACATACATACAATAAAGATGGCAGGATAATAGTTCACTAACTATGCACATACACTAGCGACCCCTGTCTATACCTACGTATGGGGGCGGATCGCGGTTCTACTATATGTATATAATCCATGCTGACTGAAACCCTGGGCAAGACTCCGGGGCTCGACGATAATATTAATTGGCCTAATTGGAGGGTTATACTACATAGTACATACAATACGTGAGAATTTGTTTAGTTAGGTACCTAATGGATGCGGTGCGGTAGTACTGCGTGCGCACTTGGAAGCGGTGCAGCATTCGAGAAGTATCCGGCTTATTTTAAATTGTTATTATTATTATTATTATTATTATTATTATTGCAGGTTGTGATAGGAAGGGTATGCTGCTGCGGGAGAATATAGATAGGATCGGGACTTATATATGCATAATGCAAGTTGTTATGTAGACAGATGAAGTATAATAACGCTGTCTACAGACTACACTAGGTTAATACATAGACCTCATCACTAACACGAGAATGTACCTAATATATATATATACCCTGTTGCGTCTTTCAACCAAACTACGTCGATGTATGTTTATCCAAGGGTCCAAGTATGTATCAGCAAGGCTACGTACGAGACTACCTAACGTATCAAAACAACGATACCCTGAAACTGTTTTCTTTGTTATACGTTAGTTATACCAAGCATAGGTAGTTACCTATTCATAATAAACAGCTTCCAAGTTATTCCAAACCTGACATCAAGTTAATACCATGTAATAATTCAGCCCCCAGTCGGGCAAGCCGAACCACCACATTGGCATATACGACATATCTGCAGCAGATCCGTTCCATTTAGAGTTATCGGTATTCTGCGTACGACGCGTCTGCAGGATGCAACGCCGCTGTGCAGACGGGCTACCATCGCTCTGGTTCGGTCGAGTTAAAACATGGCGAATGGTCGAGTAGAGCACATCACCACACACCACACGCCACACGCCACACCACCGCATGTATTTCTCCATCGGGCCTTTACGTTGCTTTGTGATACTATATTATGTAGGTTAGGTACCTATGATATGATAATCCTCCCATCCCACAGCGAGGTAAGGTATCACTTAAACGTTATAATAAGGTATATTCCGAAAGTCTCCATCGGCCTGTCTGTCAATCACGCCAATCGCGTCTGTGACCAATGCCTAGGTAGGTCAGCTAATTCGGTCGTTCTTCCGCGTACACATGCCGCTACACGAGTCATGTACATAATGAATGTATCGAGGATCTTGCCATTTACCCCTGACCAACGCCCACCCACGTGGGGGAATAAATACCGACTCATATACATACACTATGTATAACCTACATAATACCGTCACGACTTGTTGGGAGGGATCCGGAACTACCTAGTTGGTCCTGCTCGGGTTTCAATACCCTTTTAGATGAAATGGTTATCATGGGCCGCGAAACTCCCAGTCCGAGAAGAAGGCAGAAGCTAATAAAGAATCCAGCTACTAATAGTTAGTTGCTGCAACGATATAATAACCTACCTATGTACATACATACCCTTCTAGATCTACCTACCTAGGTTAGCGATTACGAGCACCAAGGCAATAACACGGAGCATTATTACAGATAAACTTCGATCTCTGCACAGATTGTGATCTGTCGCATCGGGAAATATCCATACATCTAACCCAAAGCGTCGCTATAAGTTTCAAGTTATTCTACCGTGCGTCCGTGTTGGCAGGTTGGCTCCCTAACCCTGAAATAGCACTGCTGTTAAGCCTGTGCTGAATGCAACTAGGTACTGCTGACTCAGGCTATTGTAAACATCGGAACACCAGAACCCGTAGCTTAGTTCTGAAGCTATCGCTAATACAGCTAAGTAAGTCCAGTAAAATCACAGGCCTTAGGTAAAATAGGGAAAGGCGATGAAGGCCCCTGGCTATGATTTATGTAGATCTCTTGGTGGATTATACTTGAAAATTAGTAGGCTAGGAACAATAATAATATACGATTGATAGCCGTAATCGGTTGAGAGTTGATTGGATAGGTATTTGTACATAGTAGGGTCGCCCCGCAAGATATCACCAATATCGGAATGCCTTCATATCGAGCGTCATTCAACTTGCAGCATGTTTAGGGTATTACCTCTACTTAATATATTCCATTCTCCTAGCCGTTAGAACCAGGCATTATATAGTAACGTATATAATCATAGCTTAAATATTACACACTCCCTACGCCGCTGTCATAGCAGAGTAACCCTCGTAGCGCCGGCATAATCAAAATGCGAACCAAATCCTCAGCACAGCTTCTCAATAATCATCATCCATAGCGTTAACCCTACGCTCGCCAACCTCGCGTATCTTTTCTCCCAAAATAGATCTCCCGTAACGTTCGGCAACCTTATTCGCCGCCTCAATCATGCGTCCCGTACGGTCGCGCATGAGCTCGACGATTTCGAGAGCGCGCATGCCGCGATCCTCACTCTCACGACACTCGATGGCCAGGAGCTGCAGGAGCGTCTTGTCAATCTCAAGCTCGAGACGCGCGAGGTTTGACCGTTGCGTGTGACTACCGCTTGTTGAGTCCGCCAGGTCCTGTAGCTGTGCCGCTGTGATGCCCTTAAGCAGGAATTGCTGCTCCAACTTGCGCGACTCCGAGTCGTCATCGTCAGGCTCCGGTGTACCGTCCTGATCCATGGCGTCGGGATTCTTCTGCTTAGGCGGTTCAGATGTAAGTGGGATAGAAAAGTCGAATTCGGAGAGGAGGGGGCGCGGGAAGTATGGGTATTGGTCGCCGCCCTTGAGGATGATGCAGTGGAATTTGTTGTCCGCAACGGCGATCGGAAAGTATGTCTCTGTCTTTCGACCGGATGCGAGACGTGGGAGAAGCTTAGTATCCAGGAGCGGTATCCAAGAGGCTCTTGACGGTTGGCGCCAATGCAGCAAGGTCAAGAGTGTTCCCGTAGAATCGTAAATACACGGGTCCTATTACCAAGTCAGCATTATCCACGGATAATGAGTATATCTTACTTACGCCATTGTCAGAGAAGAAGACGCTCTTTAACGTTGCGCCCTCGGGTAGCGCTACGGTGTCTTCGTTTTGACAGATCTCGTCCCTCTTCACGTTTTCGATAGTATATAACAGTCTAGTATGCCCGTCCGCACCAACAGGACCATTGCCGATTGTCATTACGTAGTCTCTCCAGCTTGTGCAAGTAACCATTGGAGTACTCTTCGGTCGATACACCTTATAAGGAATGCCGAAGAGCGTGTAGACTCGAACGTAGTTCGCGGTGGTCGTGACGGTTACAAAAGACTCGCTCAATGACATAGCGAGGACAGCCTCTCCTTTCGGCAACTGCGTCCTCCAATCTGTACGGTTTGTCCACGTCTCATGAGGTCTATAGAATATCGTCGCTGGTGCGTCATCTTTAGGCGGACAAGAGAACAGAGTACCGTTCTCTGTTAGACAAGCCTTATCGTAAAGGAAAGTATCGGTAAAATGGAAGTCTCTGTGAAACTCGTGGTCGTAGAATTCCACAGTAACTGTGTTATGTCCATCTTGATCTACGGTCCAGACAAATCCGATAAGATTCAGGCAAAGGTATTTCCGGTTGCCTCGCCACGGCGTCGACCCAGGTTGGAAAGCCTCGTGGTATTCCGGTTCGAGGTGAGGACGTTTGCTTATCGGCTCGCCAAAAACATCAATATCATCATGCATGCGTTTCCCATTTCCATTAATCACATATCCAGCTCCGTCGTCGTCTACTACGAAATCGTCATCGTCTTCCATTGGTCCATCCATAAGAGAATCATAACTTCCTTCTCTATTTCTTCGGTTGAGCACGGGTACGATCGTTTCTGTAGGCCTTCTGATATTTGCTCCAATTTCCGATAAAGGATCGTGAATGAAAGGGGCAGGTTGCTTTCCAAGCTTTAATAGGGGCACAAACTGCTCTGGTACAAAGTCTGGATGAATGTAGACCTCACCATCCGAATTGGTGAACGATACTAGATTATCTCTAGGATGCCATGCTATATCTATCACGTTTGTATAGTCGAGCCTGGCAATAACGCTCTGGGTCTTAGTCTCCCATAGCAATATCCTCTTGTCCTTGCCGGCGGAAGCTAATATGGCACCGTTCGGCGACCAGGCCAAAGCGGTAACTTCACCATTGTGACCATTGGCAAATATTCGTTGCTTCTCCCAGTCATTCTTAGAGACAACTTGGATGTCTCTTGTCGGAGTTGGAACCGCAAAGGCACGCCCGTCAGGGTGCCATACGATCTCTGCACTAACATCTGACTCAGTATCCAATGCGCCAATGACGCCGTCAACTTTCTTCAGAAGTTCTGGCTCATCGGATGAAATCGAATACACATATACGATTCCGTCGGTACAAGCCAGTGTAACAATTGACCCTTTAGTATCGAAAGCGAGATGTTTCGTAGGCTTGTTGTGTTCCTTGAGGTGGCGGATTTGGCTATTGTCATCGGTTCGGACGAGCTTCACAGTTAGTTCGTCGCTGGCTACGGCGCACCACTTCGAGTCTGGCGAAAGTGCAACGTCCCGGATTGGGAGAGAACATCGAAGGAGGAACTTGTCGAAGGTAGCATCGGGTATCGAATATAGACTGACGGTACCGTCTTCAGAGCCGACAACGAAGAATTCATCAGAAGCGTCTACGCTAACGTTCTGTTCTTGGCAATCGTCAATGTTGATAGGCTCGCCATCGAAACCTGTCTTGTATAGTCGAATCGTATTATTCGAACCGACAGTTACCAGCTTGGAACCATCAGGGGTATAGGCGCAGTGAGTTGAGCCCTGAGTATGGGCCGGCCTTGCTCGAGGACGAAGAGGTGCTGTCGATGCCATTATGATATTTGTCTCTCACTTTAATTAAACGACATCAACAGTCACAAAGTGAGAGTGGGCTTAAAAAGTTGAATTGGATAGGTACCTAAGTAGGTATAACTTAAGATAGTGGAAAATGTACATAATAGCGGAAAACGCGTCGCGCGTCAACAATTCAATTAACGAAAGCGCGTTAGAGCAAACAGGGATGCCCCTCTCCCGCATGGCCAGTGCGGCTTACAACCCCACCTTTCTCCAAATCTCCAATATCCAATATCCAATATCCAATATCAGCTCTAACGCGATAAAGCGATAACTAATGCAATAATACCATTTCTTCCTACTTCATCACATTTCAACCCGATTCTACATAAGATGGCAAATTTCTAATGGCAGCACCAGTAGTATAACTACAAATGTGGCTGCCTGCGTAGGAAACGATAAAGAAATATTATAAAATCGTAGATAACTACGCTACGAAGAGGTAGTCGTCAGTGCCAACACAGAAGACTCTACCTTCAGTATCATCACTTCAAAAAAGAAAAAGAGAAAAGAGAAAAACTATTATCCACCAACCCCTGAATACTATTGATCTCCATACATAGTCGTCACCATGAACAAAGGAACATCCCCAGACCAGTTCTTCCAGACTGAGTAGGCTATATTCAAGAATATTCTATCAGTCCATCTATTTTAACCATGTTTGAATAGTGCCGAGCAGGCCAAGAGAGAAAGACGTGCGGCGAAAGCTGGTAACAAGAATGGCAATCCCATCGTCCTTAAATCAAAGCTGTTAGCTGCTATATCGGATCCCGCCGACCCATCCTCGGTTCTCATTGCCGAGTCTGCAGGATCAGTTCGTAGGGTAAATGTTGATGTGAGTTAACAGACAGACATCTTAATAAGAGCAAAGGTGTTGATTTAATTATTTTAGACAGGGGATACAAAGCAGGTGTTCCGAGGCCCACCGGCACCGGTAACTTGTGTTGCTGTCGGTGGATCTGGTAACAATACACTCTTTGCCGGCTCTTGGGATAAGAACATATGGTCTTGGGACCTTGCTTCTAAAACACCTGGTCGCAAATACGATGGTCATTCGGACTTTGTTAAGGCCGTCGTGACCGCTAAGGTTGGAGGAAAGGACATCCTGATCAGCGGTGGTGCAGACAAGAAGATCATCGTATGGGACCTCCAAACTGGATCTCGACTCCATGTGTTGCAAGACCAGGCTGTATCAATGATGGCCATTCAAGACCTTGTCATTGACCCGGTGCAGTCGGGACCTGACGAAGTCATACTCGTCAGTGCCAGTAGCGACCCTCACATCCGTCGATGGCGCATTCGACTTGATGGCTTTGAACAGATCAAGGAAGCCTCGCCGGATGAACCTGGCGCGGTTCGTCACACGGTTTTAGAACATGACACTACGGTATACAAGGTGGTATTTGATTCCGAAAGCGAAGAGGTCGACCTATGGACATCGAGCGGCGACGGCACAGCAAAATGTCTATCACGGATCAACGGATTTACGACTGATGATTCCGTCCGCCACGGTGACCACGTGCGGGCCGTTGCTGTGACAGACCAATGGATAATCACCGCTGGAAGGGATGAGGATATCAAAGTTTGGAACCGTTCATCCGGGAAACTATACAGTATACTCGAAGGTCACTACGACGAAGTTACCGACCTGGTTGTCCTTAACGCAGGCAAGCGAATTGTTTCGGTGTCTATTGACGGGACAGTAAGGACATGGTCGCTTTGCCAGGCCGAGCTCGATAAGATTAATAAGGACAGGGAGGATAAAGGGCTTAAGCATGAAACGCCAGAAGAACCCAAAAAGGGAGTTATGACAGCAGAGGAAGAAGCCGAACTTCTTGAGTTGATGGAAGATGATGAATAATACCCCTGATAATACCCCTGAGACATTTCGAGGCAAACGATGAATTATTACTCGAAGACATGATTACCTTTTACAGGTAGATTATGTACGGAAATAGACAGGTATAAATCTGCTTGAGACCTCTTCGGGAAAAGGCGGTTATAATCGCGGCTGTCGGCCGAATGAACGGGAGGCTTGTTTCACCCCAATAGAATAAAAAAAGTTCACGTGTATGAGGCGGCCATGCGGCCATGTGGCCATGTGGCCATGGACCATAGGACAGTGTCCCCTGAAACCTTAACCTCGTACTCCCACTCGAATTTCATTGGTACCGTTTGTCTGACTCGAATCAAAAGAGGCGGCTGAGTTTGAGGACATCCCATGTACTACTCGATTTCACCCAAGTCACACCATACGGCTGGCAACAGCCTGACGGTCCCCTGCGGCAATAGTTGATATTCCGTAAAGAAATACATCATTCATCGTCAACCACCTCATCCCGGTGGCCAGGTTTAATAGAAAGTTGCCAAGCCGAATTTAAATCTTATCTACAGAATAGGTATAGAAATGTTCACATGAAGGTACTAGAATACGAAAGCCTAAATGGGTAACTTGCATCTTTTCGCTAAATCTGTCTCATAGAAACGTGTAAGGAGTGTTGACTATATTATGTATGTCTCTAGATCTAACCCATTATATTCTTAGATACTTACCTAGGTAGTCTTCTACGCGAGTTGCAAAGGATTCGCTCTTATCTCATCAATATATTTATTTTCCTATAGGATTGTCCAGACCCGGCTACCAGGAAATGTACGCCAACATGCAAACGATTCGCCCTTGTAAGTGAACTCCGCCGTTTGCGTTTTTGGCGCCTGTAGTTAATGTACGATGTTGGGTGGCGTAAAAAAGCCATGCCGGCCGTGCAGAATGCATACATATTCAGTATTTGATCGACACAAGCAATAGGCCAGGGGGTATCCTGTTAGGTAGCGACCTATCAAGCTAATCCAGAACAACATTTCTATTCTTCTTGTTGGTCATGGCGTACGGGAGAGGTGGCCATATAATAAGCAAAAACGCCCTCCAAGACCTCATAAATTCGATGCACGCCACAGGTCTAATAAGGTGCAAGGGAGAAATCCACCTCGCTTGTTGCCATCTGCGACGCGGCGTCGATGAAGAATGTGTTCTGGCTATCTCTCGAACTGGAACGCCACATTAGTGACATTAGTAACCTAGTTATGCGGAAGGCCGCTCATCTGAATTCGACTTTGACGCAAATACGGTCGGTAAAGTTAACTCTCGCATTAAACTTCCTATTGTTGTTATTGTTGTTATCCCTTACTTCGTAGTTAGAATACAAATCATTTTTAGAGTTGGAGGACCACTGAGCCACCTAGTTTCGGGGTCTGAAGACGTCCAACTAACTCTACGATGCCATGAAAAACCATAAAGTACGGGATATAATTACCTTTTACTTTTTCCATGCAGCCACAATCTCCACGGATCGCCAAATTTGCCTAAAACCCGGGGATGGGCAAGGTAGATACTTTGTGATCCACCTGAACCTTGCCGCATATATGGACCTCTACCTCATCTCATACCGAAAGTATCATGTAGCGGGTATTCTAAACTCAATCTAGATGAATGGATCTTGCTGTTCTGGACGAGAATATACGGTGGAAATACCAGGGATATCTGAGTACGACTTCATACAACCCGATCAAGGAATACCATAAGCAATACTACTACTGCTGCTAGATGCTATTACTACTACACGAGTATCACAACTATTAAGATATAGAAAGTGCACGTCGAACTTGAAATAATTATTCATTCCTATGGGAAAAGATGGAGTAGTTCACATCAAAGTCCGGTATTCTGATTCACTTAAGTATGCAGATCCTTATTCCCATCAACAAACACATGACTTGCGTTTGCTCGTCCTCGCGGGATCACTTGCATTTATAGAAATAGCAACTTACTTTATACGGCACTTTACTCTAACCAACATCGACTCCTTGCCTTGTCCCCAATCTATATTTACTTTTTTTCCTTTTTCCTTACTGCCGAAAGATGGCTTGGCATACCATGTATATTCGCCGAGCCAGCATCTCAAGTGCAGATGTCTGGACTCCTCTTCGGTAGTCACATATCAGATCTGTTAGTCCGCAGTAGCCGCCCTTCGAATTACCGTACTTGGAAAACTTCAAGTTTGATTTCGGGGTTTTGGGCCTTTAGACACACCCCATGCGACTTTTAAGATTCCCATCGTGCAGGCCATGCCATGCTAACATTGCTCCCAATGCTGCTATCCGTGATAGGTATCCCTCGTCTAACCAGCATGAAAGAGAAACCCGTTTGGAAAGCGTTCTCGCTGCTGCAATTATAACTCCAGGCACCATATATCGTCTCGTACTACGCACAGAGTTCCAGACCATTCGTCTGTAGTATTCTCTCCGGGAATGCATGCCAAGCATGCAGGTAACTTCTTTCTACACTTTTCCGACTCTCGACTGGCCCTTTGCTGCTTGCTTCTAAGAATTTCCCATTGGGGCTTAAAGTTCTTTCTCAGTCGTACTATCATCAGCATCTTTCACGATCTTGTCTATCTGACTAGTATAGTTTCTCCTCTTTTGGGATTCTTCGCCCCAAAATCACTACCCATCCATCCATCTATGTCGAACCCTCTAAGTTTATAGTAGTTTCGCTTAACAAGAGCTGCTATTCGGTTCAGATGGTCGACCCCAGCCCATATCCCACATTCGCCGGCCTCTCCTAAGAGTTCCTATTTGGAAATTTAGGATTGGGCTCTTACGCCTTGGTCGAAATTTGGAATGTGGCGTGGTAACCTACCAAGGTAACTAGACGTTGCTATTCTATAACAAGTCTTGTGTACTAACCGGCGCGTGCAAGTCTTCTGGTCCTTATAAATAACTTAGAGCCATAATATAGATCACATAAACTCATGAGGAAGTCTAAGGCGACATTATGGATGTTATGTCTCAGTGCCATGGGAGCTTGATAGCCTTCGAAGGGCCTCAAGATGCTATATCAACCCAGCTCCGACTGCTTCCGAGCTCACCTAATATCTTGATCATCCCACCACTCCAGCAATTCATGAAGGAAGAGGACCCGGAAACACCCTTCCATGCCCAGTCGCATATTCTAGCGGTACACAACGCATGTAGTGACAGAGCCGAAGTAGCACGGTCGTTCTTACAAAACTCTACACCAAGGAATAAGCGACTAGTCTTCATGAACGGGGGTACGGCGAGTGCCCAGATGGAATGCATTTCCGACATCAGCAAGCACTTGACAGACGGGGATTTTTCCAAAGCCGAACGTATCTTCAACAGGCTTGTTAGAAACGGAGCCTCTGGACTACAGAGTCGTTATACAACCAATGTAGACATTGAGACGTCGCAAATAATCCTTGCCAGACCGCAGCCGAGCGACCAAGATGGAGAGATAACTAGCGATCCGGTATCCGAGGCTATGAGAGCTGCTGATGCACTCGACTTACAGACTGCCTCCTTGCAACCAAACAATGATATTGATCTAACGAATACAACCCGGTCCCGAAGCACGAGTGTACCAACTTATCGGGTGGTCGACGACTTCCAAAACGCAACCCCTTTCTATGTCTTCGGGGCTCGCAAATGGCAGGGGAGGAATACTCGCGACTCGGACTCCCCCCAGACTCCTCGTCGCAGCCATACTACTGCGGACTTACGAAAGACTACTAAACGGGTCCTGGAGCCGGCCGGGTCGCGAATGAATGAACTGGATAACCAACCAGGATCTCCAGATAGTCCGGAAGAGGAGCGTCCTAAAAGTAAACTGTCCCCTGCGAGTTTGGACTTGAGTAGTCCGCGATCTTTCAAGCTTGAGTCGACGCTAAACACACCATCGATATGTGAAGCATTTGCCGTCCAAGTTCGGCCTTCTGCCACGACCGCTTCCCATAAGAAGATCAGGCCTGTTGATCGGATCTACTCCAGCGCCATACGCAACCAAGACATTCTACTATGCAGTTTTCCGGAGCCGCCTCGGTCGAGACCGCAAAGTCTAGATGTAAGTCTAGGGGTCCGTCAGGACAAGTTAACGCCTCGATCCAAGTTCGCGACCGAAATTCCGAGACCTACTTTCAGCACACCGAAGAGGTCTATAGTTAGACGTAACCCTCCTTCTCCTCTGAGGCTTCAGAAAGCACCGCTACGGCCGGCGACTTACGTCGACCGCGGTACAAATCCAAGGAATAGCTATGTGGATAGGGGTACGATTACGGAGTCGGAACCATCCGGTGGGATTTCCAAGTCTGATATGAGGGATTCCGTATCTCTCTATATCGAAACTCCTGCTGAAGCCGACCCCCATGAGACATACGAGCCAATTTTACCCATGGTCGAAAACCTGGTAATATTCTTCAAGTCTGGGAAGAATGATCCTCGGCTGGAGGCAACGATTCAATCCTTCCGAGAGGGTAAATACCCCATATATAAATCGCCGTCGGAACCTGAAGCAAAAAGGACTAGTCATCAATCAAGCCCTTCAAGCGAACAAGATCCAGAGTCTGTGGTCCCTGACAATAAGAGACATAGTTGCGCCAAACATGAAGTGGTACCGGCTTGTCACATAGACTCCGATGACTATGACCCCTTCGCGTACGAGAAATACCCCCATCCATCCCGGCCCTGGCCCTTCAAGCCAGACTCAAATAACCACAGACCTTCCACTCCACCGACACCCGCCCAGACGCCACCCCTAGCCATAGAAAAACTAGAGAGACGCTTCCACGACTTCACAACAACGGACTGCCGGACAGCAGTGTGCATGCAGAACTCGCTCCGTTCCATCCTCAACATCTACTTCCCGCCCGAGGACGCCGGCTACCACCAATTCAACTTCCCGCTGCTCCCCGAGCTCAGCAGCCTCTGGAAGCCGGTCTTCCGGGAAGCCGACTCGGACACGGCCGTGCAGCGGAAGCGGAAAGTCGATCTCATCCTTGGGATCGGGGCGCAGCAGGGCGTTGATAGGGAGTTCCTCGGGGCGATTAGCGGTTCTTTGGAGAAGCTAGGTACGAAGCCGAACGGTGTTAGTCGGAGCGGGAGGTTGGATTTGAGGTGAGCATTCTGATCGTACTGAGACCCTTAACGGACGTGAAGTTAATACGTCGTCGATGTAGGTTCCTCATCGCAAACGCCATGCAAGCCTTCACCGCACAACCCCTAACCAACCAGACCCAGGACAACCCCTTTTCCAACCCCCTCCTCCTGGCCACGCTGATCATCCCCCACCTCGAGACGTACATGGCCGCGCACTCCGCAACACGCTTCCTCCTCCTCGAGTACCCCCCCGAGCACCTATCCACCGTGCTAGCCCTCCAGCGCTTAGTCGGCGTCGACCTGCTCAAAGTCGCCGGGATCCTGTACTCGGGAGACGCCTCGCCGCAGCCGTACCCGGGCTTCAAAGTGCCGCCGCGCACGGCGACGCACCCGCGCACCGGCTCCGGGCCCGGCATCCTGCGCAGCACCACGCGCTCCGGGGCCACGCTTCTGGCGCCGACGCGCTCCAAGCACCACCGCCGCCGCGAGACGCCGCCGCCGTTCGCCAAGGCCAATTTCCTGCTGACGTCGTCGGCGAACGAGTCCGAGATCGCCACGCTGATCTCGACCATCTGGAAGATCCTGATTGACATCTCGCCGTTTTACATCCCGGAGGGCATGGCGTCGACGAGGGCCTCGACGCACGGCGAGCGGGATGCGAAGAGCGAGACGCATGGCCAGGGGAGGCCGCTGGCTCAGACGCCGTTGATAAATGCCTCGCGGCAGCCTGCTTCGTTGACTGGTGCCTCGGCGATCATGGGATTCCGGCGGCAGGGTGTTGGCGACGATGATGCCCCGGCGGAGTACAACTCAGGCATCGTATACACCGACACCAACCCGCCCCCTCTACCACCTAAGCACCGTCCTTCTCCATCAACCCCAACCCCAACCCCCACCCCAACCCCGACCTCATCCCAATCCCCATCCCCACCCTCACCACCTTCCATCCCTCCGCCCTCCCTCCAAGCCCCTCTCCCCCAACCCAAGCCCGTCAAATCCTCCAAAAGCTCCGTAACTTCCACCCGGACCACCCGTAGCCAGCGGAACAAGCTGCGGAGTATCCTGGGGCGGGAGCCGGACGGGGACGAGGTATGGGAATGGGAGTCCTGCTGGGACGAAGAGGACGCGCGGCTCGCGGCCGAGGCCCGCAAGTACATGCCGCTGTATGGGCGGCGGAGCGGGCCGCGCAAGGGGAGCAGTCGGAAGGCGTTGAAGTGGCTCGGGTTAGCTACATAAAGGGCTCCCCCCCCTTTCTTCTTTGTTTTCTCTTGGCTTGGTGCCGGGATAGTTCTTTCGGTTCGGTTCTATACATCTACAGTTCTCAGGTTTGGGTTTTTGTACGCTGGGAAGGGAGGGAGGGAGGGGGTTGGTCAGGTTTGATAGTACCGTACTGCGGTATCCATTTTATCTACCTCCTATGCATGTGGCCATATTTCTCGGGCATTGGTTTCGTTCTATTGTACTGTATTATACTATACTAGGACCACGGTGTCTGTATCTGAGCAGGAAAGGGTTGGTAGTATTTCCAGCGTTGCATGGGAATAAGGGGGGTTTGACTCGATGGCTCGAGATGATGACGATATAGGAAGATTTATGATTCGATGCTTTCTTGGAGGATAGCCTCTGTTCTTCTATGTATTTGCTTCTATCTAGGATATATATATAGTTCAAGTCAGTTAGACACCGTATCTTCGTGGCCGCTTAGGTATGTGCCCTAAGCTAAACTGCTGGTCTTGAGAAATGGTAGACAGTATAACTATAACAGGGCTTACATCTTATAAGATTTTGTAATGGGTCGTGCTCTCATTAGTTCAAGAGCAAGTAGCAATCGGTTAAGCTGCCTTAGGGCATACCAAAATGGCACAAATTCAGCGTCACAAGTAGTCAAATTCCTACGCGCAAGTCTGTCTGATTAAGTAGCCCCCTGCTTTGCAAAGAATGCGTTATACTGGAAAAAGGAACGAGAGTATGGCCGTAAAGAACGGGGAACGTCAACTACCTATTCTTTCCCTGTTTGTCGTTTCTCTCGATTCCCCCCTCCGAGACCATTGGAAAATACACACGAACGTAAAGTCATCATCTCCCAAACCGCAGAAATGCCAGAGGTTTCTAGAAAGTAGCCGGACAAATTCTAGTACAAAGAAGGCTTCGCCCGAGTCATGAGAAAAATTGCATTAGTACGTAACATTTGAGGAGAATTAGGCTGACAGCCTTTCCTCGACCATTATATGAACCCGCTCTCACATGCCAGAAGTGACGCATAGCGCCCCCGCAGAACGATTCGGTGGACGATTGGGCGATTAGGTAGGATCCAAGTGAAGTGATCATTTCATCTATCCGCAATCAAAAGCGAAAAGTAAACACATCCTACCCCTTTGCCATCCTGATTACACATGCATGCCTTTCCTGCCAGTCCGTCCCAGGAAATCAAAAATGGATGCGAGGATGTTGCTGTACGAGGGTATCACAGTTTGCTGATTTAGCAGCAGCCGCCGCTGGACGAGTTGGAGACGCTGTGTCCGGGGCCGACTTGAACGCCAGGCTTGGTGTTCGTGGTAGACTGGGTTCCCATGCGCTCCTTGATTTGTCGGGCCATGGTCAAGAAAGATTGTTCGACGTTGGAAGCGTTCTTGGCCGAGGTCTCGAGGAATGGGATGCCAAGGCTGTCAGCGAACTCCTATAGGTTCAGTTAGCTATCATGTTGTCATAGCAGGCAAGGCTGAGAGTAGCGTGGAGAACCCCATACCTTCGCAACTGTGTACTCGACAACCTTCTTGTCCGACATATCGCTCTTGTTGCCTACGAGCAGCTTGTTGACACCTTCGGTGGCGTATCGGTCAATCTCCTGCAGCCATTGCTTGACGTTGTTGAAGCTGTCCATGTCGGTGACATCGTAGACAACGCAGATACCATGGGCACCTCGGTAGTATGAGGAAGTGATAGTCCGGAATCGTTCTTGGCCAGCAGTATCCCACTATTTTCTAGTAAGCAAACGTGCCCGGAAAGGGGTGCATAAGTCGGAATATTATCCTTACAATCTGCAGCTTCACTGTCTTTCCATCAAGCTCGATAGTTCGGATTTTCTGTACAGAGTTAGCACCTATACTGCGAAAGGATATTCGCGGTCGGCTCCACATACGAAGTCAACACCGATGGTTGAGATGTACGACTCGGTGTAGGTATCATCGGCAAATCGCAACAGAAGGCAAGACTTTCCAACACCGGAATCTCCGATGAGGAGGAGCTTGAAGAGGTAATCGTATCTATCGAGAGGACGAGTTAGCGGGTAACCTTGGGAACTTAAAACCTCGCGTAGCTTGGCTTGATTTTGTGGCTGGAGACCAGGAACCTGGGGAGTGTGGTAAGGCTCCATGGTTGACGAGGTTGCTGTGCTCTTAATGCAGCATCGGGTATTTTGGTTGGGGGTCTTGTTGATTCAAGCAGAAGAGAAGGCATAGGGAAACACAGGACAAGGCGTGGGGTATGCACTATTGTGTACCAGGTCAGTATCATCGTTAACGTTGCTGTCGCTGGGCGACTTATTTTATTATAAGGGGCGTACGTACTACTCAGGATTCATCTTGACGGTGATGAGTGCGCTGCCTTAACAAGACAACAAGGTAGTCCTAATGGATCAAATAGGCGTTGATAAGCAGGTTGAAGTCGATGGACAATGTTAGGTTAGATCTAATGTAGATGGGTGCGATGTGCGAAGGAAAACGGTTCTTCGGACGATGTAAAAGAAAAGGAATGGTTGTTAGTGTTGATGATGTAGAAAGAGAATTAATGAGACAAGTTGTAGGCTGCTGCGTCAAGGAACGTCAAGGGCCACCTGCATTCACCGTCAACTGCCCTGTGCACACTGAGATAGAACAGGACCGGGGGACTCAGATAGGCTAAGACTGACTGTTGGCGTGCTATAATTGCCAGCTGCTATGTACATAGTACCTACATAACGCAAGTCGGCAAGTCGGTCTAGCCACCGGATCTAATCACGAGGCAAAAGCCCCCTTTAACTAAGATAATACATTACATGTACATAATATGTATGTGACAAGGACATTACACCTGACACCTGCGAGCTGATGATTGGCAAGTGTTAATTTACCCACCCGACTGTATCGAATTCAACTTTAGTACTTCGTATCCTTCAATGTTTCGTTTGACTTTCTACGACAAAGGATGTTTCAACCATTCATCCACGAACACTTGTACAAGATACATTTATTGCAAACGACATATGCATATCTATGCAATATTATTATGTACTATGTATATATCGGGTTAATAGCTTTTGATCAATATAGCGATAAAGAAAGAAATCTCCAAGACTCCGATAGAGATAATGTCGGTAAGATCCGATTAAGTACCACCCATCAACCTTTCCATGACTTTTCCATATCATCATCGATCGCTCTACGGAGATATTCTATAATGTCCGCACGGGTACCAGCGATACAGAATTATTTCGTACAGGTGATCAGCTGAGAAACTGATCTTAGAAACGAAAAGGAAAAACAATGACCAGAAACATCAGCTGAATTACATAGGTGAGGGTTCGGTGGGTTCCGGGCTGAGAAACAGCTTCCAAGGTTCTAAAAGCCAACGCCAACCCCTGCAGCCCTGTACTCCCACATCTTCGGTATACTTTTAGTGGAACCCCGCTATGCTTCGGCGTACCGGTACCGGGTACTAGGTACCATACTTTAAAATTCGACTTGGAAGCCGAAGCTTCACTTACATCATACTAAAATCCCTAAAAATCAATAATGAACTTACGGTTATGTATTTCTACATACTTTTTTACCCACATGTGAGCCTCTACGAACCTATAGTTAGTTAGATACTTTTTCTCAACTCAGACTAGTACTCCTAAGGCGAATTGATGCGTCTGTGAGCTTATCGAAAGCTGCCATCGAGGCCTCAGATACATGTCCCTCCCAGCCAGCGCCGCTATTCGAGCGCAGTCCAACGCCGCAACCTCAAAAACTGCTTTGCGCGCTCTCACACCCGCTATTTATGCTACCTCCTCGCTTACACCATGTCCTACTACGCCGACTATAGCGTCAAAACTTCCTCCTACCACAGCCCACCTCTCACCACATCAGAGCCTACCACCAATATGGTTCAATTCTTCGTTTCCACGCTTTGGGCCCGGTGATTCGCGCGGACCGGAAGACGAACGGAAAGTCAAGCTTGGGAAGAGTAAGACCTCGTTTCTCATATTTAACCTATGCGGGCTAGGCTAACTTCGTCGCTAGCATTGCGCATTCTTCAAGAACGACTGCCTACTTTACTTCAATCCCCGCTACCGCAGGAGATCTTATCGCCTCATATTTCTCTCCACCTATTTCCTTCGACACATCCATACCTCCCTACAGTATCCGGCCGAGTCGCATATATAGCAGCATTATGGACGTCCCCATTAGCATGGAATCGAGTTCCCATAATCGGTAATGTCAAGCTAGAGATACTCTCAGAACGGATGGTCAGCCAGCCATTCTACTCCTCTCCAAAACGATCCGAAGCATACGGCGAACAATTGGTGGTTAAATGGAGAACGGCAGATGGCAAGCCAAAAAGCCCTAATCCAACCGTAACGGAAGAGGGCGAGCAAAAGCTTGACGATACCCTCAGAGGCACGCAAGCCATAGGTGAGAAGAAGGCATTCACCGGGCTATTCATCTTCGAGTTCGACAAAGAGGGCCGAGTTATAAGTCACACGATCGAGCACGTAGACGAGCACGGAGAATGGGAAAGGGGCCTAGGAGCTAAAGTCGTAGGTCTAACAGATTGGCTACTAGGAGGCATTAAAGGCCGTCCAGACGACAGCGGTGCCCCTGCACTATGCAGAGTGATGAACAAACGAGAAAAAGACGAACGGTAAAGACGGCCATAGATTCGAGCTTGACGACTAGAACTACAAAGTTTGGAGGGGGTGTAAACTAATGTAACTATGTACCATACGTATCGTTCTGGTAATAGCCAGTCACCACTCAACTTAAGAGGGCAGTGTATATGAATTATGTAGTCGTATTGCACCACATGACCATGTTCTATGAATATCCAATGTTGTCTAGTGAGAGTACTGCCACGGCCGAGTCGTAGCAGACCTAGTCGGCCTCGCGATAAGTTCTGGTAGATCCGACTCCGGGACCAACTCGAACTGGGCATTCGCCAGCGCCGACGTGCCCCTATACCAATCCTTCCAAATATTCTGCACAACATTATCTGCCTCGGGACGCACCAACGGCCATTCCCCTCCCAGATGCAAATGCGTAAACTCGTCCCTCGGCACAACCGCAACCAACACCCTCCCCCCCTCGATATGCGCGAACCGATCCACAACATGAAACAGCGCCCCGAAAATGTGCTGCGACCCGGCCTCCCCGTACCGCAGGGCGCCGAACGCAACTGCCAGCCGTCGCACCCGCAGCGCCTCTTCGCGACGCAGGAAATACGCCATCGCGCTGTTGAACCCGTAGCTGTCGCACGGCTCCAGCTCGCCGACGAGGTACAGCGCGTCCCGCTCGTAGTCGAACCAGACGCGCGGCCGCGACCACGTTGCCGCCGCCGCCGCCGTAGTAGTCATGGACGTCGCGCTCCCGTGGGACGGGGAGTTGGCGACGAAGACGTACGGGACTTTCCACGCGAACGCGGGTTCGTAGCACTGTCGCGCTAGTTCGCGGGTCTCGTGGTTGACGAGCAGGAGAGCGGGCACGGCGCTGGGGGGCGGGACCTGCAGGGCGGGGAACGAGGGCCATGGAGATAAGGGCTCCTCCCCGTCGTCGTCGTCGTCGATGCAGGCTACTGCTACGATGCGCGGCGCTAGCAGGTACTCCCAGATCTTGAGGCGTAGCTCGGGCGGCAGGAGGGGGAACTGGGGGAATGTGCTGTGGTGGGCGTGGTGTCCGGCGCGGGTGAGGGCTTGGGCGCGCGCGGTGTCCTGGCCGTCGCTTATGGTGCGGAATTCGAGGCGGAATCGGGGACGTGGAGGGGGTGAGGGTGTAGGTGAAGATGAGGGTGTCATTGCGGCGGGCGGATTAAGGGGGGGTGTGAGATTACCTAGGTGGTTGATAAGTCAGTGAGTGAGTGAAGTCCTGTCCTCACTCGCTGTTTAGTCTTCTATGTACTAATTCAATACCTGCGACACTAGTAGTTGTGATATACGTAAGTTTGTTCTCAGCGTCTGTATAGGTAGTTAATCTGTATATCTAAGCGCAAGACGAATGACGCGGTTGGCATTTGCATTACTTGGCGAGTTTTGAGTCTAAAGTTGTGAGACGACATCAGAGAATAGGTGCATGTACCTACCTAAGGTAATATTTCGGAGCGGGGACGGGAGTTTTGTAGGTAGGTACATGTAGTTACATACATACCTAACCTAGGTAGGTGTAATACAAGTACATCCCGAGCTTTGCAGGTCTAGCTCCTGCCTCTTACTCCCTTGTGTTTAAACTTCTAGGCTCGCCATTTCTATTTTTATACAATTATAGCTTCACTATTAGGTTAGATAAGTTCTACGAACTCATCTAGTTATCCCATCTTGTTAATTATGAAATTATTAATGACGTGGCGACGGTATCCGTTAAGTGTAGTAGTATTATGTATCTACACAGACACTCTGCGTTTATATGTCCTAAAATTCTACCTTATTGATCTTTTACTAAATCTATTTGTCTAACCATGTATCCAATATCCAAGCATCTTTTCATTTTCATAAAAATTAACTCGCTTTGATTTGAGGGGTAGCATAATATAGCAAATAGCTCCGTCTCAACTTTAGCTCATCTGCTTTATCATAGGCTGCTGCTCCAACCTCCTTCCGTCTCCAAGCTCCACGCAATTCTCCGAACTACCCTTTCCATATATTAGAGAGAGTAAGTAGCTTCCGTGCACCAGATGATCACCCGAGGCTTCAGCCTTGGCAGCCTCAGCACCGTCCGTTTTCTTGATAATGGTTACGTTGCCCAAGCACGCTGACACGAATACGCACTATTTGATATGTTAGTACTGTGATAAGAATATAGGTGGCCGGATTAGAACTTACAAGAACCATGAAGGGCGTCAATGCGACGAATGCCCAGGTAATTCCATTCTATCCAAGGCGTTAGTCGTTTTAATATCTAAGAGAGCATGAATATAATAACTTACCTTGACGCCCTCGATAACGTGAGCTTTAACCTCGTCTGGAAGCTTATGCAAAGCGTCGTAGTCATTCTGAAAAGGGGAATCCTTCGAGATGCCCGATGTGTTGTTGAAGACAGCGGACATGATGGTAAGAGCCAGTGTGCCTCCGAATGTCGTGGCAACAGCCATTACAGAAATCACCGTTGCGACGTGGTTCGGGAAGAAACCGATGGCGTGGAGACTGCCTGTTATGAATTAGAGGATTGGTTCCCTTGGTATAAAAGAGAATCTACTCACAAGGCATAAATCGCAGACCTGTACCTGCACCGGTTAGGGCCATCATGCCGTATATAGTAGGCGAGTGCTCGAAATATAGAGCGTACGCCATCATACCGACACCGATAGCTTCTATTAGGGAGCCTAGGAATAAGGGTAGGAATGTTTGACGAGGCCAGACATTGCAGAAGTACATCGAGAGGTATACGCCGGCTACAAAAGTTAGCCATGTGGTAGTTTAGAATAGGGGGCTAGTTTAACTAACCTCCAAGTCCTGGCGTATAATATAACAACTGAACACCGGCCTTATCAGAAAGAAAGCCCTATAAACGACGTTAGTAATTACATACAAGTAGAGAAAATGCTGAGCCATCCTAGCCCATACAAAAGTCTTACCTTGACAATTGTGAAGTAAATGTCGACAAAGTAAAGAACCTGTACAGGTTAGCAAGTTGGCCTTACCTCTAGTCGTGGTAGTTTACTTACACTATACATAGCCATCCCCGTGGCGAAGTTGACGTATGATAAGAGGCCAATATTTCGATTCTTCATCACGTTCCAGGGCAACATTGGCCGCTGGGCAGACAACTTCAACGACAGTGCACCGCCTGGAGCCATCGAGTATTCGTAGTAAACCCAAGCGCACGCTAGCAGGGTGCCGACGATGAGAGGAACAAGCACCGCAGGATGGTTCCAATCGTAAGTTGCACCACCCCATGTCAAGGCTAGAATTATAAGACCGAATCCGAATAGGAATAGAAGCTGTCCGCCGATATCAAGAGTCAAAATACGCCTGGCGAATCGTTCGCGATGACCGGTCTCGTGTTCATCTAGTTCGGGGATCGGCTGCGGCCCTAGGAGATCGTTCCGCAGGAAGAAAAAGATAACCAAGATGCCGACGAAAGCAATAGGCAAGTTGATCCCGAAACACCACCTCCAGTTGGCCGCCGTGAGGTAACCGCCGATGACAGGGCCGAGACCATAGCACAACCCCCCCACCAGCGAGAAGAGACTCCAATTCTTCGCGTTCTCTTCCAACGACACCTTATCTGCCAATATGGCACGAATAATCGTGTTTAGTCCCGCACAGGCAACACCTTGGAAAGCTCGGCCGAGGAGAAAAGCGCCGAAGGCGGTCGTTGGGGCACCGGTGCATAGGGCGCTGCCGACTAACATGATGAAGGAGCACATCTGCAGAGACCAGTGTCGCCCGAATATGTCGGCCATCTGTGCCCAGAAGGGGATGAATGCGGCCGATGTCAGGTTGAAGGCCGAGATGATCCAGTTAAGCTGGGCGATTTCGCCTGAAGTCATGTTAGTCTGAACTCTTGAACCACTTCAGCAGTTGTGGAAATAGTCTCATACCGAAATCAGCAGCAATCCACGGTAACGCACTAGCGACGCTTTTATACAAGTTAGTCTTATTATACTCGGATGATTTAATGTTATTTGCCGTACATGGTTACGTCGAGTGCTTGGAGAGCATAGGGCATGAGTAGACATAGCACAAGTTTCCATCGATACTTGGAAGCCTCTCGCTCATCAGCTTTACATCGGAGACAGCTTCCGGGTTGAAAAGCCTCCTCTATGGGTTGGGTATTTAGTTCGTCTTGCTCGATATTCCTCTCGTGTATACATGGTGTTGTTGGTTTGCCCTGTTGTTTGTTGTCCTTCGACTTGAAGGCCCGGGTTAGTAGAGTAATCAACATAATGGTCAGATATCCCTATACAAGACACTATGTCTAAAAAAAGCGACGTAAATTTGATAATTATCTAACATTTCGGAGGAAATCTAAGTGAAGCGACCTCATTGTCATATATACTTCCAACATCGCGAATCAACAGCGGCACAGCACCTTGGCAGAAGACAGCTATCATAGCGTACACCCACGATCCTATCTCCGGTATTTGGAATTCAAAGTTCGCATTCGCAAGCTGGTAAAAACAGAAAGAAGAAAGATGCGACTATTCATAGGGCGAAGGTGGATGACCCGCCTAAGGTAGTATTGTTGGCAACGGTTTTTTTTACTGGATTAGGCAGAGAGCCTGGGGAACCTGGGTGCGTTGAGTGGTCAACACGTCATATAATCGGTTTGCTTACCTGAAGAAGCCTTAGGCGAATGCGAGGACGTGGAGATCCGAGCAGAAAATAGAAACTTGAGCCTCACCGTACCTATCTTTAAAACATCCACCTAGAGCCCCAGAATGGCAGAGTCATACAAATTGACATTTGATTTTCTGGTTGTGGCTATGTTAAGTACCCATTATTTTCTTAACTGGTACGAAACTCCGAAGGTGGATATCCCCCTTGCAATTTTTTTTTTCAACTTGACGGGAAAAAAGTCTTGCGAACAGTCTCTAAAATTGTAAACAACAGATAGGTATAATGAATCCTTATGTAAGAGTGCTAAAAACTGGAGTCGATCGACTCCCCGCTTACTTAACCTTATAGGTTCTATACTAAATTGGGTCCACTTCGGATTCGCTTCTACTTCCAATGGACCTCTCAGCTTCTCTCAGCTAAGGGCAAGTGCAAATGTCGAATTACAACTAAACTCGCATTAGTAATATCATTTCTGCGTAGTGGCTGCATTACATATTCGTACTTTGAAAATTTATACTTTTAAGATACCCATCAATAAATATCATTATGAGACCTGGTAGTCGAGCTCCTTTCAAGTGGTGACATATAATCTTGTCATACCTTCCTCTCATTCCTACTCACTTTTGAAGTAGGCCTTCAAGAGTTCTTCTGAAGTGCACTATTAGTATTAGCTTCATACCTCCAAGATTGTTTTAGATCCAAGCCAGCGGTCTCGTCGGATGAACTCAAGTATTCTTCACAAACACTCAGCTGCAATATTGAACTTAGCAATCCAGAACTACGTTTTTTAGTCTTCCCGTTGGATAACATAAGTCAACTTTACTGCTATAAAACTTGGCTTATATCAAATATACACGTCGAAACACCACCCCGCTGGCTCACAAAGACGAGATCACCGAGAGATAACCGGGAAGCACTGAAAAAAGCGAACTGCTTTTAGTATCACCTACAATATTTAGTACCCCGCGATACGCATCATATCATTTGACGAATAACGTCGGCTCCCGGATCGGCTAACATCTCTGTTCCACAAGCGATTGCCGTACCGCCAGACCGTCTCCAAATTTACGGCCCTTTATCAATCAGTAAGATGCCGAAGCAATGATAAGCAAACAACTGTAGATCGGGGCGGGACCATTCTAGCGTCCGGAAGCTATTGTAAGGATCGTCAGATGCGGGGGTTTCCGTGGTCCATTTGCCCGGGATTCGACTAAACCTATTCTATCCTGTCTGAATTCGAATACTAGCACATCGGTTTGCTCCTTCAGGAAGCACTTGTCCGACCGAAAGGCGAGTAAGCATTCGGATCGAGGCGCAGGTAGAGATCGAACTCATGGGCTTGCTTGTCCTCGGGTATAAGATATGGGCAGTTGTTTTCCCTCTGTGGCGATGCTGTGCTCAAGGTTGTTGACTCTACAATATTGTTAACACTTCGCCTATCTAAGTCAGATTCACATGCATTTCTCACGGCACGCGTCGCAGCCCTGCATATCGTCATTTACCCTCGTGCGCACCAACAATGGCTTGGCTCTTATAGTAGGGAGCATTCTAGGGAGCATTCTAGGGAGCATTCTCGAATGACCGTAAGGAAGGGAAGAAAACAAGTTGTTACTTTAAGGATTCCGGGGTCCCAAGCTCTTAACACTGCAGAGTGCGCAGCTATCAACTCCGCTTTTCCTTCTTTTAGGACCCCTGGGCTGTCTGGGTACGGCTTTGCATCGTCAGCTGAGGTCACATTGGTCACGTTCCTCAAGGTCTATGCCCGTTTATATATCAATATATCTCACTGCTATAAACGAGGAGACCTCAGTCGCTTAGCCGATAGATGAACTAGATCCGTCATCTTCTGTTTTTATTCGAATCGCGATTAACGAAGAAAACACCACGCCTTTTCCTTCGCAAGAACGTTACCAAAATCCTTCAGACTACGGTACATAGTAAGGACGCTTTCTCTTTTCGAGGTAGATTTGCTTTAGCGCGACCCCATTCCGATCCGAATCCACGAGCACGAGGGCTTTAAGGCCGCCTTTCCCCCGATTACCCAACCAGAATCCATCCACTTGTCCGAAGTCTACCCCACGACCTAGGCTTGTCCTTTGAGTTCTTTATACTTGCGACTCGCGCCAGGCTGACCCCGTGGGGATGGTTACTTGTCAGTCGTCATTGCGACAGGCTAGGAAGGTATCTTGGTGGGTTCTCGAATTATGTACCTTTCTCCATCGTGTTCAAGCTCTGACTTCATCTCTTTGCTTGTCCTGTGCCTAACCATTTTCGGCATCATTGTTACTATTCCGTGTAGTCCCTGCGTGACGTTCTAGTAGACACAAGTACTAATACAAATTCCAGAGAAAGCAACCCGTGACATATTACAATATTTCTTACTATTAAGTTATTTGATTAATACAAGTCTACTTTACAATAACGCCTTAAGGTCGCACATATAATCCGTCCGGGCGGTTCGTTAGACCCGCGATCCTGGTTGGAGGTATGTGAGATTCCGTTTCACCTCTAGTACCTTTACCCAGAACTCTCGGCAGTTTATGCCATTTCTCCATTCATATTATATATTGTCGGTCCTGCGGATGAGTATCTAGTTCAGTTGATTACACCACAACCAATCACGTCTCTCTCTTTACGCAAAGGATGCGCCACTAACTGGCAGCTCCATTCACACATGTGATAGCGAACTATATGCAATTGGGTTGACATCCTAGGACTTGGGTCTTCGGTCATGGATCCACCCCTAGCTTATTTACTGAGGAGTCTTGTCTCATACTCGGCCTCCGAGTTGATTTATAGCTTCTATCCCCCTTCGATACTTTTCCCCTTGTTATTACTATATGATACTACCTAACCCTTTCCCTTACTGAGGCGTAGCTCAAGTGTGATGCCACCCTATTGTCTTCAAGACTGCCATTACTTTTACCGCACGGCTTTGCGTGGCCTGAATATCAATACCTGTGTCTCGCCTTTATATGCCTAATCTACTAGAAGTCGGCTGACATCATGCCTACTCAAGTTCGTATTTTTGCTATGCCAAAGTCTCTTGGCGAGACTCTCAGTGGCAGCTCATCAACACCTACGCCTCCATCTACCCAAACCCAAGAACGCAAGAACGAGAGGCCGGCGAGTCCTGAACTCAGGGGCCGAATTCCAATAATGGAGACGATACCAGAAAAGCCTAAGGAAGGCGGAATCACGTTTGCTCACCAGGACAGTTTACCTAAGCTGCCTATACCAGACCTGGAACAAACGTGCAAGAAGTACCTGGCCGCTCTGAAGCCGCTGCAAGGACCCAGAGAGCATTCTGAAACGAAGCTCGCTGTCCAAGAGTTCTTGAAGAAAGATGGTCCTGAACTTCAGAGGAAATTACAAGAGTATGCCATTGGAAAAACAAGTTATATAGAACAATTCTGTAAGTTGACTCTTATTAGTTATATAGTTATAACCTTTACTAACGGTTACTATACTTAAGGGTATGATTCGTATCTAAATTTCGATAATCCTGTCGTCCTAAACCTGAACCCTTTTTTCTTGTTAGAGGATGACCCCACGCCTGCGAGGAATAACCAGGTCACTCGTGCTGCATCCCTCGTCGTATCGGCGTTAGACTTCGTGCGAGCGGTACGCCGAGAGGAATTGCCACCGGATACAGTTAAAGGCATACCCTTAGATATGTATCAATATTCGCGACTTTTTGGCACTGCTCGTGTACCGACTGAGAACGGTTGCCAAATCGAGCAGGACCCTGAATCTAAGCACGTTGTTGTATTATGCCATGGTCAATTCTACTGGTTTGACGTACTTGATGACAACTCGGATCTTATTATGAGCGAAAGAGATATTTCGATCAACCTCCAAACAATAATAGACGATGCAGCTCAAACGCCTATCCAGGAAGCTGCCAAAGGGGCTCTTGGGATTCTAAGTACAGAAAATCGAAAGATTTGGTCTGGGTTAAGGGATATCCTCACTAAGGAGGAGGGGTCCAACAATGCAGACTGTCTCGGTATTGTCGACTCAGCTTTATTTGTGTTGTGTCTAGACTACACGGAGCCCTCTACAGCAGCTGCACTGTGCCAGAATATGCTTTGCGGTACGAACGACGTAGTGAAAGGAGTACAAATTGGCACTTGCATAAATAGATGGTACGATAAACTTCAGATCATTGTGTGCAAAAACGGAAGTGCGGGTATCAATTTTGAGCACACTGGCGTTGATGGTCACACCGTACTTCGATTCGCCAGTGACCTTTACACAGACACCATATTACGCTTCGCGAGGACTATCAATGGCCAAGCCCCCAGCCTCTGGAAAACGGCAAGTCCGGACCCGTCTAAGCGTGATCCGGAGAGTTTTGGGGATGTCACCACGACTCCCCATAAATTAGAATGGGACATATCACCAGAACTTAATATTGCTATACGGTTTGCCGAAACTCGACTTGCAGATCTCATCAGCCAGAACGAGTTTGAATGCCTGGATTTCAGCGCTTATGGTAAGAACTTCATCACGTCCGCAGGATTTTCTCCAGATGCTTTCGTCCAGATGGCCTTCCAAGCAGCCTACTATGGGCTATACGGGCGAGTTGAATGTACCTACGAACCAGCCATGACCAAGACTTACCTTCACGGCAGGACTGAGGCTGTTAGGACGGTATCGGAGGAGGCAGTAAATTTTGTTCAGGCGTTCTGGGCAGATAACCCTGCGGAGGCGAAAGTAGAAGCACTACGTAAAGCATGCCAGCAGCATGTTAACGCCACTAAGGAATGTTCAAAAGGACGGGGTTGCGATCGGCATCTATACGCCTTATTCTGTGTGTGGCAAAGGTTTCTAGACGGGGATAGTCGTTCGGGGAGTAGCTTGGGGTACTCGAGCCCAATGGAAACTGGCTCGGAGCAAGGCACCGAGTCCGTGGTTGGCAGTCCTGGCAAGGAATCCGTACTATCGAGCAACGAAGATTTGCGAATGCGGCAGCGCGGCGATAGCATTAACTCGCGGTTTGCAGACCAACAAGTACCAGCTATCTTCGCGGACCAGGGATGGGACAAACTAAACAACACGATCTTATCAACCTCCAACTGCGGGAACCCATCCCTACGGCAATTCGGGTTCGGGCCGACATCGGGCGGCGGCTTCGGCATCGGATACATCATCAAAGAAGAGGGCATCAATATCTGCGTGGCGAGTAAACACCGTCAGACGAAGCGGTTTGTGGACACGCTTGAAAGCTATCTGTTGGAGATGAGGCGAATACTGCGTATCACGAATAGACGTGGCACGACCTCACGGCAGACGCGCGCTAGGGAAATCGACCCGGATAAGCCGCGTACGGGACACCATCATCGTCCGAATAAAACTCGTGGCCGCATGATCACCGGGGCGGATAACTTGCGCGCGCTAGCGGCTCGGTCATCGACCGGGACGAGGAGTCCGACGGAAGAGAGTTTGATGATGAGCGAGGATGATGAGTTAGGCGGCTGTAAGTTTTCTCTCTCTTATCCCCCCTTCTGGTGTTTTAGATGATTAGAGCTAATATAACACACATAGACGGTTTCTTCGACGCAGGCATGCTTTTACAAGCGCTCAAAGCACGCGGCGAGGCGCTCGACCAGCAGAGCGAGACAAAAGCCTCGGATCGGGCGGCGGCGAACGCGCGTAGGAGAGAGATTGGGAAGAAGTTGCGGCTTGTTGAGTATTGACTCGTGCGGTAACCCTCTATGTTAAGAGCTTAGAGGGGATGTATGTAGGTGGTGTGGCGTGTTGTATATACATACCTGTACATACAATACTCAGCGAGTAGGTGTTTTTTTTTAGGAACATAAGGGAGCATAGGAGCGTGTGAGAAGAGAAGAAAGGGGAATCTGTATTTTGTTGCTTTGATTCTGGCTGTATCTAGCGTAGTTGGCTGCATGTGCTTTCATATAGTGTACAAAGTTACCCGTTGAATACTATTTACTTATTGCTTGTATCTCTATATAACTATCTCTCTTAAGCAGGTACTATGTTTTCAGATGTTGTGACAAGTGTATGAGTCGGTGATGAATGTCTAGGTACTCAGGCTGGACTGGGTTGTTGGTGTATACATAACACTTACAGTATGCTATATATTTCTATACTCTCTAGTCGCTAAAAACTACTAAATATCCAAACCCATTATCAAGCATCTCATTTCACAGACCACGTTTCCGCATTTGGGTTTATACCTCATATCTCAGTATATATATCCGACCATGCACAAAGCTTAAAAACTCCGCAATGCAAATGCCGTGCTATCCCATTATGAACTACCTATGAACTAGAGGAAATATATAATATATAGATAGGTACCTAAATTAACCTAATTCATACGTCTTTCTTATATCATATTCACTATCCCCCCCACACCACGAGCTCCCTAGTTCCCTAACTCATGCAGTTGACCATGATGATTATCGTTGTAATTCCGTTCGCCGACGACATTTCCGCCGGCCTCGTGCACGGTAGGCGGGACGTTGGGGACGGGAGAGGGTTGCTGGCCCGGGTAGGGCTGGTTCGGCTGCCAGCCGGAGTTGACGGTCGAAGTCGGGCTTGTTGGTTGTAGGCTTTGTCTGTTGTCTGTGAACTGGGAGTTGACGGGGCTGGTCGAGTCGTTCCGATCAGGAAACTGGGCGGGCTTGTTCTGGTCGGCGTAGTATGGCTGTTGAGGGTGTCCGGGAGGCGGAGGTGCGTACTGCTGGCTGTAGTGCGGGTTGTAAGGCTGTTGGTAGCCAGCAGCGCCTGCTACCGGTTGCGTTGGCGGCATACCGGGTCCAGCTCCTTGTTGCATTTGGGCGGCTGGCGGCTGGGCAGTAATATTACGCTTCTTCTTATTATTGTGACGGATGAGGAAGAAGATTCCGAGCCCGATCAAAGCGAGTGCGGCAACTCCTCCTACGACGCCACCGGCAATAGCTCCTACATTCGTCGAAGACTTCGAGGAGCTTGCGTTCGAGTTCGAATTCGAAGAACCCCCGTCCTCACTATCCACCGGCGAAGTCGCACCTGCAGAGCCTGCGCTTGACGATCGACTATCATTATCATTATCATCGCCACTGCCAGTCTGAGTCTCGGATGGAAACGGGGATGTTGCGGCCGAGTCGTCCAATGTGATAACTACGGGAGTGAAAGTGCGGCCATCTGTTTCACCGTGCCACGTAGTGTAGAGTTGCTGCGGCGTCGAGTCCGACTGGGCGTCACAGTAATAATCGACGATGCCGCTAGAGAATGTGACGGTGCCGCAATACGGCGCGGTACTTCTCGTACTGCCAGATCGTGAGTATATTATATTAGCTATTAGCAGTGTGCAACTTACCACTTGACCGTGTAGGTATCTTGAATACACCCACCGACACACGCGCTCGAGTACACGAAATCCATGTAATCGATACATGCAACTCGAAGACCACAACCATCACCGTCACAACAGGCGACAGCGCCATACGTAGATGTAGTGACTAGGGCGCAAGTTACATCCGGGCCGTTACAGCTATATACAGCGCCTATGTTTATTATTAGTTAGGTAGTCATTTTTAGATAGGCATAATATTCGTTACCGGGTCGCCCATCAAAGTATCCGCATGTGTTGTCAGGTCCTATAAGGACGGTTTGTCCTTGTCCGTTCTGTCTCTTTGCCAATTCTTGAATACTAGGGGGCAATGTGATCTTGGGAAACAGGAAGGTTGGATTCGGCTTGGACGCCTGAGTTGGCTCAGGATGGTTTTTATCGAGAGCTAAAGCCTGAACGGCAGTGACTAACGCCGCGATGGATAGGAGGCTCGCCATTTTGGTATACTAGGGGGCGACGTAACTGTAGGAACTGAACGTCTAGATCTCCTAGGTCGAATGTATCGGAATTCTACTCGACCACGGAATGATACAGAGAACGACGGTCAGCTACGAAAAGAGAGAAAGTCACAACGCGAACGCGGGTGTAGGGTACCCACGCCCTCTTATTAGGGGCGAGGGGACTGGTACAGTATTAACTCTCGCCCTACCCAGCATGCCCAAAAAACAGTAGCAATCAGAGGATCCATTGTGCCAGTCTAGACAAGCGACATCCCGCACTCGTAGTTTTCTCACTGGCTTGAGATGAAGAGACCCAGTCAGCCTTGAGCCATACCTGTTCTCGCATGGGGGAGATTAACTAGCAAGGATGGAGGTGTTTATAACCAATAATGGTGTAGCAACGTTGGAGATGGCTTGCAGAAGCTGAAAGCCTCGGAGGGCTTTCGGTGGCTACGCCAAGAAGCTATACTCGATAGATCCCCGCGAGACCTCTTGACCTCTTGACTTCTTGGCCTTTTGGCAGACTTGATTTTCTTTTCATATCAGCTTAGTAAAGCGAAGCGAGCTGAAATCCTTAATGTTTATCAGAGATCTGACAGGGCTCGATCAGCATCGGCATCAAGGGACGTGCTTCGCTTCTCGCAAACCAAGCCGAGATGATCTTCGGGAAGATCCATGAGGGACCTATGCATTTGGGTGCCCGATTTGTATGTGTCATGCAGTCCAATGTTACACTGCGGCTGAAAATAGACGGCCATTGCAACTATTTGCAATTCTCAGCTCCATTTCCTTTCATCTTCGCCGTTTCGTTGGACAGAAGATATTATGTTGGAGGCCGATTATGGATACTGTTCCTTATGTTCCTTGTGTCTAGTAGACATTGTCTACCGACGGACTCTTTATCTCATTATGGCTAGACACGCCATCGAATAGCGTGGCCGAGCATTCACGCTACCACGTACGAAGCAAACATTTAAGTAGGTAGTCTTCAAACTGCTGTGGGCCTGAAGATCCTTGGCAAGCATGGTTAAGTCTCAAATAAATAGATAAAGGTCTGCAAGTGCCAGTATTTGTCCTGAGTAGTTGTAAATGATAGCTTAGGTAGGTAGGTACTTTATATTGTGCCATAGTAAGTGTAAATAAACAAACATGAAATAAGATGAAATCAAAATCGTGTATGACGAATGCACGATTAAATTTTAGATGGCCAAGTCTCGAAAGACCAAAGGCGGGATAGAGGGATATCACCTAAACGATGATACTAACACTAATGAGGCATACTTAAACGATAAACCCCACTTGCATCGATTAGCGGTCAGTTTAAGCCTACGAAAGGTGTGATTTGAAATCGGGATGCTACCCCCCAACCCTACAAGGTACCTAGATACATTAGGTACGTACCTCCTAGGTATGGAAGTTAGTACCAACTGCCAACGGCCCTACCCGCTTAAAACAAACCCAACATCTCCCTTATCTTACACCTTTCCTTTCCTATACCGAGGTCACCTGACATCGTGAGACCACAACCAACCCAGACATTCGGTGGTGGATCGGTCAGGTCGGATCGGCTAAAGGGCACTGGACAGTGAGATGAAAGTGCAAATGCAAATGCCCGGACCCCGAGCCCCATGACAGATCTGTCGCGGATCCTGCCGGACTTCCCAATCGGCCGGTACGCCAACCTGCTGCCCGCCATCGAGAAGCACGGCCTGACCACCGCCGACCTACTCACTCTTCAGGTCCCCGACATTGGCAAACGTACTCAGCTGCCGCTCCTCGACATCAAGCGTTTATGTACCGCTGTACTAGACGCCCTGCATGTCGACCTCGGTGTTTCCGAGAAGCAGAAGCAGCAGCAGCAGCAGAAGCCGGGAAATGGTGCTAATAATAATAATAATAATGACGAGGCGAAAGGGGGCCCTACCAGCGTCTTGAGACAGACCGGTTCCCAGCTCCTGGCCAAACCTTGGAATTCCATTAGCACTTTAGACGACGATCTGGACCGTGCTCTTGGCGGCGGCATCCCTACCGGGTATATCACCGAGATCACTGGCGAAAGCGGCGCCGGCAAGACGCAATTCCTCCTAACGCTCCTCCTCGCCTGCCAACTCCCACCGCCCCGGGGCCTCGGCCGTCCCGCATTGTACATCTCTACCGAAGCACCGCTCTCCACCCAACGGCTCTCCCAAATGCTCGCCAACCACCCCTATCTGCGCACCCTCCCCCCGGCCGAGCGCCCAACCCTCGACAACATCGTAGGCACCATGACCCCAGACCTCGAGTCGCAAGACCACATCCTGAGCTTCCAGGTCCCGGTCGAAGTATCCCGGCGCAACGTAGGCCTCCTGATCCTCGACTCCGTCGCGGCCAACTACCGCGCCGAATTCGAGCGCGGCTCCGGCGGCGCGAAAGGCGGCGCTAACCTCGCCGCCCGCAGCCACGAGCTCGTGCGCCTGGGCCAGCAACTGCACGATCTAGCGCGGAGACACGACCTCGCCGTCGTGGTAGCGAACCAGGTCGCAGACCGCTTTGCAGGGCCTGCTAAGAGCAGCGCCCCGCTGCCGTTTTCGCTGCCCCGCGTGTCCCAGGAAAGCCCGCTCGCAAGCCGCACCAGAGGACGGCCCGCGGCCCCGCAGCCCCTGCAGCTCTCCGGCCTGGAGCCCCCTAGCAGCGGCACCGCCGAGCTCCTGCGCTCCAGCATGCCGGAGCCGCCTCCCGAGGAGACCCCCGCGCCCCCGGCCCTGCTCCTCGACCACCAGCAGCGGTGGTTCACGGGCTGGGGCGACGAGCACCCGTACCCCTTCGGCAACGGCGATCACAACCTAAAGACGCCTAGCCTAGGCCTGATCTGGTCGACGCAGATCGCGGCGCGGCTGGCGCTGTTCAAGAGGCCCGTTTACGGGCGGAGGGAAGTACTCGACGACGAGGACGGGGAGAGCACGACTATGCTGCGCAATTGGAGGAGGTGGATGAAAGTTGTTTTCGCGCCGCATGTGCCGGGGACGGGGCCGGGATTAGATGGGGCGGTGGAGTTCGAGGTTACGATGGGGGGACTGCGGGGTGTGGATAGGAAGAAGAAGAAGGGGAATGGGAAGGGGAAGCAGGCAGATGGGGAAGAAGAGGAAGACGAGAAGAGAATAGAGGCGTGAGAATGAATATATGGATGACCTTGGTTTATGTATATCATATGGATGAGTTCAGAGACTCTTGGCATATATAAACCCTACTACAGTAAATAAACAAGATGCATACTATGTACTTCGAATCAGAGCCATCTAGCAAGATCTTCGATTATGTTCTCGTTCCAATTTTTCTTTGGAGTCCTTAGTACAAATTTCAGACTGGATATCGAATACGCTCACGTTCACCAAAAAAAGATTAGTTCTCATATAAACAACAAAATTACCCGCATACTTTTTTATATATCTCGAATGCCCTTTCATCGTACAAGCCTGATCTAATACATTACCTAGGTACATGATTCCAAGCCAGCCAATGCCACGCCAGCAAAAAAAGGTACGCCGCCCAATGCATATAAGTGATATCTTGCAATCGCAACTGTAATATTCCACTCCATTCCATACTACATATTATGTACCTATGTAGGTGCCTATTCCACTACCTCGGATGCGGGAACTCGTCTTCCAACTGGAGCCGCACGCCAACATTCATGCTGATCAGTTCCTGTATGAGCAACTTCGCAGCATACGGCATAGTCATGCGCGCGACCTCGCGGCTGCTGTGGCACGTGCTACAATAGCCTTTGTACCCGAACAAGCCGCACCGCTCGCAGATGTCGATCTCGGTCGCATCGGAGCTGATCATCAGGCGTTCGAGGAGGAGTTGCGAGGCACCGTACGCGATGAGACAATCACGTTCCATTTCACCGAGACGCAGACCACCGTCTCGAGAACGGCCTTCGGTAGGTTGGCGGGTAAGGATAGCGCGGGGTCCACGCGAACGGGAGTGCATCTTGTCTTGGACCATGTGCTTCAGTCGCTGGTAGAAGATGGGCCCGTTGAAGATGTAAGCCTGGAGCGGCTCGCCTGTTATTCCCGAGGTAAAGTAATCTTTGCCTTCCCAAGAGAATCCGGCATTAACCAGTTCTCTGCTCATGGCTTCGAGCGGATGAGACCTGAAGGCATCGCCATATCCGTAGTCCTTACGCCCCTTGACTACCGAGGCTTTTCCTGTTAGGCATTCCAGTAACTTTCCAACTGTCATACGAGACGGGAAACCGTGAGGGTTCATGATGATATCAGGTACGAGGCCTGAATCTGAGAACGGCAGATCTTCCTGGTCTACGATGATTCCAACAACACCTTTCTGTCCGTGCCTGGATGAAAACTTGTCGCCTAATTCAGGTCTTCTGGTCTGTCTCGTTTGGACCTTGATGAGCTGTGTCTCCCTCTCAGTCTGCGTAACCATAACTTTGTCGATGTAAGCTGGATCTGAGAGTCGGTATGACAATGGTGTTTCGCGGTACTCTTGGGTCCTGTGGCTCACTCCAACTACTGGTGCTATGTCCACCGGACTCTCCTTTTTGATGAGAATGTCACCATTCCTAACGGGGTATCCTACATCTGCCAACCCGTCATTGGAGAGCGCATTATACTTGGATTGAGTTTCATCCTTGTCACCGATCCTTTCTCGGCTTCCATTGGCATATTTTTGAAGATCCGCTGTGTATTTGCGGAACACTTGTACTCGTCCAAACCCACGATCACAGGATGCCTTGTTTAGAACAAGAGCATCTTCAATATCGTAACCCGAATATGACATGACGACAACAGTCGCATTTTGCCCGGCAGGCAACTTGTCGTAGTGAATAAGCTCGATGGTCTTGCTGATGACCATTGGGCGCTGAGGATAAACCATGGTGTATAAGAGGGTGTCGATGCGGTTGAATTGGTTGTAAGCAATAGCTCCGATAGCTTGTTTACCCATAGCGCATTGGTACGTATTCCTGGGGGATTGATTGTGATGAGGGAATGGAATTAAGCCAGCCACGGCGCCAAGTATTGTGAATGGCTCGATTTCCAAGTGCGTTGTCGCCTTCGTGATATCTTTTTCATAGAGTGCTACCAGCGTGTCATTCTCCTCATTGACGTCGAGGTACTCAACGATGCCTTGCTTCAGAAAGTCATCAAACGTGACCTTTCCAGCTTGCAGCAATCTAAGATGACTATCCTTTATTCTCGCCTCGCCGTTCTTCACGATAATGTACGGTCGACAAATACGTCCTTCGTCGGTTGCGATATGCACAGCTGAGAGATGGGCGTTGACGTTAATGCCGACAAATGGGGATATCCACCCTCGTCGTCTCATAGTGCGGAATTTAGCTGCAAACCGCTTCGGATATCGGGAGAGAGCAAATGGAGTACCGTTAATATGGACGATATACGTACCCTTCCTATGCATTTGAGCACCGGAGAAGCACCGGAGCGGTTCAACCCCAGAATCCAATGTAAACACCATCTTTTTAACAGGATCTTCATCCACGTTGGTCGTGATATGCGTCATGAGGGCCAAGTTTTTAATCAAACCACAGGCCTCACCTTCGGGTGTATCAGACGGACAAAGCATACCCCACTGTGATGGCTGTAGAGCACGAGGACCACTGACTTTCCTCGTCTTTTCGAATTGACTGCTTATACGAGTCATCATTCCGAGGGCGCTGATGTAGCTGAGACGGCTCAGAACGTGTGTTACACCGGCACGGTCCATCTTAAATCGCTTCACGCTCCAATTTCCAGTTTGAATAGCACGGTTCATACCCTCAGTGATGTGCTTTCCTTGGGCACCAACCTGTACCAGAGGATCTACGGCGATTGCCCGATTTTGCTTCCTCAGAGAGTGCTCGACGTTGAACTTGAGTTGAGTCATGAAATTCTTGAATAAATCCTCGAAAAGCAAAGACAGAAGTTGCCCTGCTAACTCTAGTCGCTTGTTACCCACGAAATCTCGATCGTCGACAAGCTTAGGGTTGTAATGGGCCATAAGTACTCGACGAACCATGAGAGCGATATAGATAGCCTTTGGATAAAAGTCTAGACCCTCGACCGGTATATGAGCAATGATGAGGTTGGCTAAAGCATCGAGACCTTCCTCGATGGTACTACGCCGAGCCTGTGGCGGTCCTCCAGGCTGTTTTGCTCGGCCGCCCATCTTCACTCTTGCTCCGATATAATCTAAAGCCTGCTGCTGAGTAAAGACACCGACTCTAGTTGCTTCCTCGAAATTAACAGCAAAATCATCCTGGAACCTTCCGTCGGAACCAGTGACGAGCTCCATTATCTCGTAGTCCGTAAGACCACCAAGAGCTTTTAGGATGATAACTATAGGTATAGCTTCGACAAGAACATTATGCTGAAGAACAATGCGGTCCTTCTTTAGGGTAACGTATGTTTTGGACTTTCTCTCGTGTGTAGAACTCGTCACTGAAGCTGTGATTATACTATTCTTCTCGTCTGCCTCGACAATGACTCGGTTCTTACTCAGCTGCTCCTGGACGAGAATGACCTTTTCCGTCCCGTTGATGATGAAATATCCGCCAGGATCAAGGGGACATTCATTCATGAGCTCCATCTGAGCATTGTTTGCACCGTACAGCCGGCATTTGTTGCTCCGCAACATAACGGGCATACGAGCAAGCTCGACATTGCGACGGATAATCTTCTGCTTCTCTCGTGTGTACGCAATGTCCACGAGAATCTTAGCAGAGTAAGTGATATCCCGTAGGCGACATTCCATGGGAGTGATATCATTTTCGACCCTATATTCACTGAAATCGGAACGATCCGGAGGCGCAACCCGGATGTCTATAAATTCGATCCAAAAGCTACTGTCAACATCGCTTCTGAGCGTGCGGTTGGCCTTGACAATTTCTTTAATTTCATGATCTACGAAGAAATTGTAGGAGTCGATATGTCTAAGCCCATTAATTAATATCAACCGGCCGCATATCATAACCATCAGAAAAAACGTACTGTTTAACTAAACCTAATAAAATGATAATATTAGCATCCTGTAAATACCTGGCTGGTCATCATGCAGATCGTATACATACCTTTGACCTTCAAAAAAGCTGGAAGTAGTTGATTCTTATCGTCAACAGTCGAGATAGGGTCCGTCAACTTCTTTCCGTTATAAAAAGGCTCTAATAGAGCCTCAAATCCGTCATCGACATAAGGCATTTTGACGGCCAAGCATTTTTCATGTATTGGCGGCTGAGTGATAAGTGATTGTGAGATGACTCTTAAAAATTCAGCCTCCTTGACCAAGAGCTTGTCGCGTGTGGCGGCTTGTGCTGTCCCCCACCAAAAAAAAAAAGGAGGGGCTGCTGGTAAGTACCTAAGTATACAAGTACCTCTAGACCTCAAAATCTTACATAATTTTCTACTAGCGTTAGGGTATGTACCCAGGTACCGCGAATAGGATCTTATCTCTATGTAAATTATAGCCTACGTTGAACAAATCGAAGCTTTCAAAATTATGGAACTATATGTAGCTAAATGAATCCGTAGATGACTCCACGGGGAAAGAGTTGATGAGACAAACAGATACGACCCGGGGACTTTTTTAACGTCTCACCTAATGATATTAATCCGAAAATCCACATAAATTGGCATCTCCATGTTCCAATGGGCTTTGGGCTTAATATAGCACAATTTGAAATAATACCCTCTACCGGGAACCATACTCAGAAACCGGGGAATATTATTTCTCTACGTCAGCACATATACGCGTACTAAATGTCGTCACGCTTATCAAGGTACTTATTTGAGTCACCACGATGGGATCTTTCTCTCCGCCCAACACCCACGCTGTTATGCAAGCTTCCTATTTGGAAATCATCTCTATTTTTACCCAAAGGCTGTCCTCCCTTTCGACAGCTACCAGGGACATGCATGTGTAAAGAATCCAATGGGCGGGTAGACGGGGGTTGGCTGAATGCCAAGAACCAAGCTCACCCATATAATGAGCCATTTGAACCCCTCTTTACCCCTCCATCAACTTCGTCCGTAGAGTTACTGCCCCTCGTCTTAACCACTTCTGCGGCTTGCCTTGCATAACTCACTGCAGGAGATAGTACGCTGTGTTGGCAGATCGATCCGTCATGCATTGGTCTGGGAAGCCGCCTCATCCTCTCAGGTTGGATGTGGAAACAGGGAAGATTTCGCTATATTCTATATGTATGTAAAGTAACTGCAAAAAGAGCAATAGTACGACTATGCAGCTATTTCGTCATATCTCGAGTGGCCGTCTAATAAGAAGCATTTATAGAAGAGGGGCCTGTAGGCGAGGATATT